GCGCCTATAACCTATGCGAAATAAGACGTTGCCTACAATTTCGTGTCGCATGTGCGGCAACCACGCGATTAGGAGAGCTTCCACGCTGGCGTATGGGCAATTAATCTTGCTATTGCGAAACTGAATTTCGTACTCCACAAACTCGAGCAGTTCGCCCTCAGAGGATGCGGACCGCATTGGTGTGAGGAACTTGGTGTGAGGATTGTCCCACGTAAGGGCAAATCTCCTTATGTCCTGGCTACTGCGACTGTTGGCATGTTTTGGAGCAGCTGTAGAGGACCACAGACGTCAATATAGGCGAGGGTAATCGCATCTGTTGATAGGCCTAAACGTACTAGAATATCATTTTACGCCTGGCGCATCTCGGTGGGGTGCGCTTGTTTCATGCCGCACACGTCTTCCATACATTCTAAAGATATATTGAGAATTAGCGCGTTGTTCGACTCGATATCCTGCAGCCCACCTGATTTGTCGCTATGATTGGGCCAAAGATTCATCTTTTCGCTTCAGATAGCCCTCCTTGTCGTAGTAATCGCGATAGATGGCTACCGAGCCATGGAAGCCTGTCATATCCATATATAAACTTCTGCAGCTTTTAAAACCTCGTTCTTTTCCCTGGTTCGCGAGGCATGACAGGCCGGACAGGAGCTCACTCGCTTCCCGAATCAAGCGAAGGTCGTTTATTTCTTTCAAGAGAGCCATTTTCTTCGCCGAGCGTACTGATGAGGTGCTGGGCCAGAAAGGTGGACGCAAATGAGAATTTCATTTGTATGTGTTTGCCCAATCGTCGTCGGCGATGACACCCGCGACTAGACTCGCGACCAGTCCTGTACGCAATGCACACGCCTTCCTTTTTTGGTTTCGGAGTGATGGAAGGCGTGAGCTTGCGAACAGTGTAGCGAGTATTACGAGTGGAGCTTGAATTGCGAAGTGGCTGGTATCGAGCCTAACCCGCGACACCCGATGTTGCGGTGTTGCGGCCGGACATCGTGGCTGACACGAGACTTGTGAACAACATGTCCTCAATGTCCAGTTGATAGGCAAATTTCATTTCCATTGTTTTCGCAGGCGTCCATCGAGAGGAGGAACAATCTGCGAGAATCAGGGTCGGGCAACAGATTGTACGAAAGGGAATCCCTAGCCAATCAGCGCTGCTCGTCTAGTCATTCGGGTGACGTCACGCGTCATATCTGAATCTTAATTAATTGTTTAAATAACCGGTCCTCCTCTCAGCCACCTATACCTTGAAATTGATCTTGACTTTTACAGTGTTCTCCAGGGTCAGACTCACGATCAACTTACCTTTGGTATATTGTTGGTGTATTGCTCCCTGGAAAGGCAGTGTGGACGTCGCTGATGGCTGTGGTAGAGTGTATCGTGACGACGCGATGCTGTGCACGGGCGCAGGAACCTTGGGAGGTACTTAAACACTCACAAGAATTCCCTCTTTGCCCCTCTCCCTCCCGGGTGCCACTTCATGCTTTGAACGAAACACAATCTTGTAACGACCTACTAGCGTCCAGGCGATGGCCGCGGACCCTAACCCCCGCACGTGGCGCAGATCCTTTGCTGGTTCTTCCACGAGAACGCGCCACACCTCCTCGGATCACCGACGCAAATCCAGTGCGCCATCATGGACGTACGAACTGCGCCTTCCCGAAATGTTCATCCCCATCCTCCGCGATGACCCTCGGTTCTCGGTGTACACTGCCAGCAACTCGACGGTATCGAATTTACCTGGACCGGGGCGAACGCTCGACCGGCTGATTTCGTACTTAGGCAGGGGCCTGGAGGCGAGGATCGCAGGCTTCCATTGGCGCTTGCAAAAGAGCCGCGATGGGAGGGCGCAGGCGCGAGCGAGGAAGGAATCTAAGAAGTCGTCGGAGCAGGTATCGAATGAGAAGACGCGGATGCAACTCGACAAACCTGATCGAGCGTAAGTTATCTTGTTATTGCGATACATGTTTACCTACCGAGAATATGCTTCGTAGGTTGTCACGGCAGGCAGTTACTTCCTCTGACAAAGGTCATCCTGGGGCGTCTCCTTCACCGGGGGATGGCAGAACACCGGAAAACCCCAACGGTCGTCGTATATCCCTCGCAGGTACGGATAGCGACCTACCATTATACTATCCTACACCAGAGCAGGCCGACATCACAAATCCCTTCTTGTCTGTATACCCAATTTCTCCCGTCCCGTCCACTTCGCGATTCTCCTCCTACATCCATCACCGCTACAACCAAAGCTGTCCGGAGCTTCCCCTCTTGGATTCAACTGTAAATAACACTCCGCCGAGACATGCACTCCTTGACGGAGGTTCCGAGTGCGCTGTTTTCATTTTATCACATTGCCTCCCATCTAATTCCAGCCTTCTTCCCGCTGCGCTAAATACTGCTTCGATTCATAGAGTCCTATCTGACCTCATGAGAGTTGAATCCGCCGGAGTGCAGGCACTCAGCAGGCGCGGGAAGAATGTTAATATACCCTCTGGCAGGCGCCAGGCATATGCATACCTGATACCCAATATCCACAATTTGTCCGGCCCAGCTCGTTCATGAGAGTGGATAACAATATAAATGACTATTTATTGTATTGTCACGCCTGTCTCACGAGACTTTCGTGGGCGACTGGGACCCCTCCCTCGCGTTGAACCGGGGGCATGTACATGTTTTGCTCAGGCTCCTGGCGGAGTCCGGAACACAAAGCTGCTGACCTCGTCCGGTATTTCCTGCATTCACTATCGCAGACGCAGGAGCATGCCCTACAGTCAACTCCGTTGAAAACCCATGCCTGTCGGAGAAGACCCGAAGCCGTGAGTTTTTACAGAGTGGAATGTAGAGTACGTTCGAAGCCCGGGTATTAAATTTTGCATTACCAGACATAGGACGCAAGTGCTGTCTTGAAGACTCGAGGCGTAAAACGCTAGGACTAAGTACCGTGAACAGTACCGACAGCAGAAGTTCCATTCCATCTCTCTGACGGAACCACTCAACTTTCAGGATGCGAATGAGGAAAGTTGGTACATTCAGTTTCAGATTTCAGTGCACCTAGTCGTAGATATGCAATCATCAAAATGGACTGCGCGTAGGCCGTGCCTATATACTACACGCGGCAGGACTCCCTGCTGCCTTGCAAGAAGCCGAGAATGCTGCCTCCACTAGAGAAGTGGAGTTGAAATACATCCGCACGTACTGCACCGTGGCAATGGCGTCGCTCTTCGGCGGGCCCTTCGTCCATCCACTGACAAGCCAGACAACTCGTCATTGAATTATGACAACGAATACTATAGATGAGAACTCACGGGTCGCCGTCGCTCCAGACGTTAAGCAGAACGTTCGATGGCGTCCCGGAGACAGCGACGCCGATATTCTGCATTGAGTCAGCGAGAATGATGGAGCAACAGAAGCCAAGGACGTACCGACGTCTGCTCGTCATTATAATAAAACATTGTTTGCTTGGGAAGCCAATCGAATCGATGCACCCCTGGTGTCCTGCATCGCAATCAGGTATGCGCAGTGGGAGCAGCGAATATCATCTTACCTCAAGTCTCCATTCACCTGTACTTTCTACATCGCTAGTCAACATTTGCACTGACGGCAGATTAGAATCCTACACGCACCTGACTGGAGCCAGGCGTGGTATGCGGCTGGTTCGTGTAATGCACCGTATTATAGTAATTAGAGTCAGACGAAAGGAACTCGATGTCGGTCTCCTGGCTGTCCGTCTTGTACGCAAAGAATCCTTTATATTGCACTCTGCCCTCAGCAAGACGGGACATAACTGCTTCAAGCATAAGACGTACCGAAACATACGCCGGGCACGGTTGGCACCTGAGCTTTCATCCTGAATGTTCCGTATAAAATGTCGTTTCTCTGAAGTAAGACGTCAGCCGATCCTGCCACCATCAAGGAACGCTCTTGGGATGAAACCTACACGCGACTGTATCTCCCCAACGTAAGTTCTATTCTTTCCATCGTACTACAGGTTCATAGTCAATCAGTGACTGCTTCGCAGAAACCCTGAAATAGACTCACAGCGGATGTCTTCAGCCCGAGCGCGTCTACAGAGGATTGAGCTCGTACATTCTCGACTGGAAGCCGTAACTCACTTTGAAACTGGAAGTAAAGTAATGCTCGTCACTCAGTCCACAGGGATATGAAACTCGTACGCACATTGAACACATTGTCCGCAGAGCACTGCATATACGAGTACTTCCTCTGGACGCCCCACTTCTCGACATACCAGTTACTATTTAGCACTGACAGCGCGCCGGCCGAAGATGTGAAATCCGAGACGACTGATTCGCGCTGAAAGGATGCTATGACCCACGTCCGTCGCATCGGCAGAAGCTGGAACGTACCCATAAATTCCCATTCGAATCTCGGTATCCGCACGCGCAGCTAGTCGCTCTGCGGTCGAAGTGCTTTCCATGCCTAAGGAAATTGTCGGAGTGCCCTGCGGACACTAGAGATGGAGGGGATGCGATGACCAAGACTGATAGAAGTCCAAAAACCAGTTGCATGACGTTGATGGTTGCGTTCACAATGCGAAGTTGCGTTTCACGCTTCAAGCCCTGACAACCACTGTCTTATACCTTACCGGATGTTTCTAACGGCTATTCGATTTGGGACCGACCATGGGTGGACGCTGTACATATGTTGCGGTAGTGGCTGCACTTCGTACCGCTCGGAATGAAATAATAGCGCGTCGGGACGGTAACTCTGACGTTAGTGCCTAGGCGGGTTACATACAAGATCGCCGAAAATCCAAGGGGGCTAGGCCATCGACTTGGTATGCACGAGTCCAAAGAGTCCTCTATCATCTACATCCTTTATACCAAAGTGGTCAACGTATATCCAATAAGTATAGAAAAGACAAATATAATTATGGCTTGAAAGCGTTCCATGCATCATTCAACGCCGCGAACACGCCGTTTGCAATCATGCGTTGTTCTACCGTCGTATTGCCCGCATTGAGCTACGACACCCATCAGCGCGGGATTCATTACATCCGAGACACGAACACCCACCTTATCAGGATGCACCTTCGCGATAGCCTTCATGTACCTAATCTTCACCTGGGCGGGCGTAACCAGCTCATGCAACCCAACCTTCTGCCATCCCAGCTCTGGCCATAGCACCGTGTCCAGGCTCGCAATCAGCGCGCGGATATTCGTCTCCTTCCCGCCCTTCCAGGCCATGATGCGCGCATCGATTGTGTCTTTCAGCTCATGCTTTGCCTGATCCTCCGCCTCCGCCGCCTGATTGGCCTCGCGGAGCTTCGACACAGCAGCCTGGGACGCAGCCGCGCCCACCTTCGACGCCCTGACCTGCGCCGCCGACGAAGGCTTCGCCTTTGGCCTGGGAGGCGTCGCCGAGGGAGGCTTGTCCGCTGCCTCCGTATTGGCATTGACCATCCTCCGGCACCGCCCAGCCCCCGTGATCGCCTCAGTCCTGACCTTCCCTGCGAAATCTGCGCTAATGATGGCTTCCCAATCCTTCTTGGCCTCCTCCCACTTCTCTCGCCCTTCATAAGCTTCAGCGCGTCGCCTCCAGGCCTTGATTAATCCATCGGCGAGATCCACCCCGGCGCCGTCTTCCTCCCTCGTCACCTTCGCCTCCTTGGACGGATGGTACCCAGCACCAATCAGCTCGATCACGGCGGTGCAGTCTTCAACTGCACCTGCATGGTCTCCCGTCTTGAGCCGCGCCAGGGCGCGATTATTGTAAAGCTGCACGAGGAGTAGATGCGACTGAGGAAGCGCCGCAATAGCAGACGTATACGCAGTTTCCGCTTCGCTGTACTGCCCGAGCTTGAACTTCTCCCCGCCGACTGCCTTATGCTTGGCGGCGGTCGCAAGAGCTGCTCGCGAGGCACTCACCGTCTGCCGCTGGATTAACGGGGCCGGTTGTGCCGGGGGAGTCGGCCTGGAAGAGGACGGGTGTTCTGGCACCTTATCCCTCGCAGGCGTCCGGTGCCTGAAAGGCGACTGATACACAGCGGGCGAGGCCGAGAATAAGTCTCCGACGGCAGGTTCTGCCTTCTGTGGCTCCACCCTCGCCTTCCGCGGCGCGGGGGCAGGGGCAGGGTCCTCCGGTTGATGGTCATGATCATCTCGGAATCCCTCCTCTCGCTCCTGACCTCGCCTCCGCAGCTGCGTTGGAGACACTTCCCCGTCGTCGTCGGCAGCCTCCTGCATCCACCGCGGCTTCCCGTCCGCCCTCGGCGCGCTCCCAGCGCGCGCAACCGCCGCCCGTTCCTCGTAAACCTTCTGCACCTTCTCCTTCCCCTCCTTCCAAAATGCGTTTGCCTTGCTGAACATACTCGCTCCCAACACGCTCGCCTGCGCGAGAAGTTTGTCCGCTTGGTCCTGGAAGAACGCCTCGGAAGTCGCTCGCTCTCGCTCTCGCTCTCGCTCTCGTTCTCGTTCTCGTTCTCTTTCTTCCGGGCGTCTGCCAGAGGACCTGGGGTTATCCGCGCGCTCGGGCTCGCGGGTCCGCTGTGGCCGTCTCGGCGGTGCTCGTCGCTCGGGAACGGGTGACTCGGATGCAGCACCGTTGGAAAGCAGCGTTTCGAGCGCCGCTTGGACATCTAGTCCGGTCTCTGTGGCGGCTAGAGCTACCCGAGCTTGCTGAGGCGAGAAGCCCATCTCCACGATCTGGCCAAGAATGTGGGGAGGGGGAGACACTGATCTGCCATTCCCATTCTGAGACGATGATTTCGGTGGTGGTTGTGCTGCTTCCTAGGAGCAAGCTCGTGAGTGGGCAGGCGAGATAAGAAGGAATTCGGAAGACAGCTAGAGAAACAGTGAATGTCACGTACTGGAGGTGACTTGCGCCTGGCTGCAGCTGCGGGTCTGCTGCCACCCAAGCCTAGTAAATCGTTTTCGTCTCCAGATTGATCGTCCAACAATCGGTCTTCTCTATCTCCGAAGTCGAAGTCCCCGGGCGTGCTTGATCGGGAGCCATTGGACGGCCCAGGTGCAGGAGATGTATCAGAATGATCAAATCCTTCCAGGTCCAGTAGGGACGCTGTTTGAGAGCGAGACGGTCTGGTAGGAGCAGGTGCGCTAACGGGCTTTGCTGAGAAATCGCCCAGACCCCAATCATCATCATCGAGAGCAGAGTGAGCAGGAGCCTGAGATAACTTCGTCGAGGTAGACAAACCGAAATCCCAGTCATCATGCGGGGCCGATGATGTATTCGCAGTAGCCTTAGACGACATACCCAGAGAGTCTAGGCCATCCCACGGCGATGATTGGGAGCTCCTGATTTCATGCTGCTTCCGCAGCTGCTCCTGCCGCTCTCTCTCAGCCTGCGCAGCCCGCTGTGCTATGGTCATTCTGCTAGTATTGCTGGAGCCTGCCCCCAAGGAACCCGATAATAGTTCTCCAAAGGCATCTCCACCAGATGATTTCGCTGGGGTCGCCGATGGTAGTTTGGGGGTCGACCTCTGAGACTGAATGACAGCTGGCGTTATCGGACGTGGAGAGCCTGAGGGAGAACCAACAGACGCAAGCAAGGAGAAAGCATCATGTTTCGGCTGAGCTCGCTGAGTACTGTTCAAAGACGGAGACGCAGAGCCTAGCGTACGCGCCGGCTGGGCTGGCTTACTCGAAGTAGTAGAATTCCAGAGGTCAGCAAAGGAGTCAGCCATGCTGCGGGTGAATGCACCTGGACCAGCTCAGGCAGAGAGAAGATTGACTATGCACAGAATGAGTACAGATCTCACAAAGACAAATGGCAGAAGAACGTGCTGTGAACGCGTCCGACGCGCTGATGAGGCTGAAAGCATGACGGCTGGTTCGCCAAAGACGGAACTTCCGGCCGGCCCACGTGCAATGCGCCGCCACCACCCCCGACGACGTCCCGGGACGCGCGGGCGGCAAGCCGTTACCAGAGCATTCGAAAAAACCTTAGCGCTGGTGGAAACACTTACATAGAACTGGTTGAAGAGATTTATACCGCCAGACAGAGGTTGCAACCGGGACAGGTGCGGCTATAATGTAGGTTGCACATGGTGGATGGAGGGAAAGAGGGAAAGAGGGGAACAGCAACGGCAGTGTCCTTTTATAATTTATACAGAAGAAAGTAGAAGTGGTATTGAAGCACCTGACATATGCCATACGGTAAGGCACTGTGACTTCAATGTCCGTGAAACCAATCCGGTAATAACACTCCCATAAATGGCAAATGTTCTGGCAGTACATTCCGGATTTCTCCGCCTCGGGATCCCACAGCAGCACGATATGTACTTGGACGAAAAACTCAATGGTGCTGGTGATGGATGACAGTCAGGTAACTCCGTAATTTCAGAGCCGAAACTGGTATGGGACTACAGTGGTCAAGCCTAAAATTCAGCACGAACGTAAGTCCATCTGCAGAAGTATCATTTGTTTACTTCGTCCATACTCACAACTGTGCACGGCCACCGACATCCGTAAATGTGCGACGCTATGGGCCGGTGGCTGGTCGACTGGGTACTGGAACGATCCATCTGCACTACATATTCCTTCTAGCAATAGGACTGAATTACTAACCCCGCGCGACCCACACATCACCGCTATATACCACAGACATTGTGGCAAGCGGCGCCAAATATCCAGGAGAGGGGGGGAGGGACTATATGGGACGATCTGTGTACGAGTGTGCGCCCATGTCTCTCAGACGCCCTAGGATTGGAATCTTCGGTGGTATTCTGTCATTTTATCTCGTGACCCCGAAGAACTGAGGGTATACGTTGACCACGGCGCCAAAGCAGCGCAGTTATGTATATATAGCTTCATCCTTTAGCCCCGTGCTTTTCGAGACAGACAACTCCTTCATATGAGCAAAGGTCAGTACATCTTTGGCACGCCGAACTCTACCATTCAAGTGCTTATGTACTGTTTTTACCGACAGTCTCGTAAATCCGCTGTGTCCTGATCCGCATAGCTCTCAACAAAGGAGTAGGATTACCATTCACGCATCGTATCCAGAATATCACTGCGCAGACGGATGGTCCTGTGCTATGTCCACGGGGCTGGGCGGAGAAATGCAGGAGAATCCGTTTCGACCTGGGCGCATACGAGATGGTGCAGCGTATAAGGCGGTCCGAATGGATAAAAGGATCGTCTGGACCGCCCCAGTAGCTACAAGGCAAGGCAAACACAATGCTGTCCATTTCCTCACTTGGGCATCTTCTCATACTTGCCAGTGTCGGTGCGTAGCTGCAGAGAACTTAGGCGCATACCTTAATCCACACCCGCCCCACCGTAGTTGCGACCTCGTACGCACAGTCGGTGAGAGCCAACCTCCGTAACACTCGAACTCTGTATTAGAGCTCCTTCCAGACCCCCTCCTACGACTACATCATAGTCGGGGCAGGAGTCGCTGGCATCATCGTTGCCGACCGGCTGAGTGAAGCGGGAAAGAAAGTCCTGCTCCTCGAGCGCGGCGGCCCAAGCGCGGGAGAAACCGGCGGCACAGACATTCCCCCATGGGCGAACGGCACGGACCTCACGTTGTTCGACATCCCGGGAGAGTTCGAGTCGCAGTTCACTACTCCCGGGGACGCGTGGTATTGGTGCAACGGTAAGCAGGGGCTACGGAGGAGGTCATAGGTATAAATCTCTTGACTAGCGCTCTAATGCAGATATTGCTACTTACGCTGGATGCCTCCTCGGTGGTGGCGCACAAATCAACGGAGCGTGAGTCACCCATCACTACAGGTGTCTTTCTGAATCGATTATGGGACACAGGATGTATTGGTACCCGCGCGACGTTGACTTCTCGCTCGCGAACGGTTGGCCGGAAGGCTGGCAAGACCATCAGCCGTTCACAGACAAAGTCATAGCGCGCCTACCCAGCACTGACCATCCATCGGTCGATGGGAAGCTATATCTTCAGCAATCCTACAACATCACCGCCCAGCTGTTGAATAAGCAAGGATATAGGGCCATCACCATAAATGACGAACCTAATTCCAAGGACCGCGTCTACGGACATAGCGCTTTTGACGTATGTCGCCCTCCACTTATTATATGGACTTATGATAAGACGTCTCACCCTAACGGCTTGCACGTTGGGTAGTTCTTGGGAGGTATGAGAGCAGGACCGGTCGCCACGTACCTCCAAACGGCCAAAACCCGGAGCAACTTCCGCTTGAGACTGTATACATACGTGACCAGCGTTGTACGGAACGGCTCTGTCGTCACGGGTGTGCAGACGAACGACACGACATTGGGCGCTGACGGCATCGTGTCCTTAAACAAGGATGGGCGGGTTATCCTGTCAGCGGGAAGCTACGGGACGCCAAGGATACTGTTCCAAAGCGGGATAGGGCCCAGTGATATGATAGGGATCGTGCAGCAGAATGCAACGGCAGCCGCGCGTATGCCCCCGACGGATCAGTTCATCGACCTGCCCGTTGGATATGATGTCAGTGACAATCCTTCTATTAACGTAAGTGGCCAAACGGTATTCAACCCCCTAGTCCTGTTTGAATAATGCCCACCAGCTCATCTTCACCCACCCTTCCATCGATGCCTATGAGAATTGGTTCACAGTCTGGGCGAACCCGAGACCTGCAGATGCCGCGCAGTACCTCGCGAATCGGTCCGGAGTGCTAACAACCACATCTCCTACGTACGTAGTCCCTGAGTTGGGTATACCATCCACCTGCCCTGCCTTACGACGCGAACTTGCCAGGATTAACTTCTGGAGGTCCTACAACTCTAGCGATGGTAGAGAGCGCATGGTAAGAATTAGTCCGATTTCGCTGACACCTCCAACCTGAACCGTTCAGATGCAAGGGACTGTGCATCCTGGTGGAAATGTCTCGGTGGAGACCTCCTATCCTTATAATTCCAGGTAAAGGTTACGGGCTACGCTGTACGACATTACTGACCCATATTGCGATGGACGGCAAATAGTCAAGTATTCACTGTCACGATCTATTTGTTAGTCAGCTCCTTGGTGAGACGTGGTTGACAGTTGTGACTTCCCTCTAGGTCTTCGAATATAACCTCCCGAGGCCGGATAGGAATTAATGGATCCTTCACCGCAGTAAGGCTTGTGAACCCATGGTTCACAGACCCCGTAGATAAGGAAACCATGGTCATCGCACTGGAAGACTTTGTGGCGAACGTCAAGGACAGTGAGTCTGAATCATAAATAACCGCCGAGTCAGAGAGTGACCTTGGATCAAGTACCGGGTCTGACTCTCATCACTCCTGATAACACGACCACCATAACCGACTACGGTAAGTGATCGCGCTACCGATGCTGCAAGGCCTGAGGCACTATATTGGATACACAGTCAACGGATATAACCCCGTAAGTATAGCGCTGTAAGACTGTATGAGGACATCACCTTAACGAAAACCGAGACGTCCATGAACTCTAATCACTGGGTGGGATCCAATCGGATTTCCACCTCTCCTTCCACAGGAGTTGTCGATCCTCACTGCAAAGTATTCGGCACAGATAATCTAGTATGACCACGAACTTCTGTTTGGTCGTTTACCTGCTGACACGTAGCTCTTCGCAGTTCATCGTCGACAACTCTATAGTGCCTTCGTTACCGACAGGCAACCCTCAAGGAGCACTGATGTCGACGGCGGAACAAGCGGTGGCGAAGATTCTTTCTCTACCTCTTTGGCGCTGAAGACCCGTCAGAACGACGAACGTAGTCGAAACTTCAACGGGGAGAAAAATCCAAATAGTGTCATGCTCTATTCGTATAGGCAGTAAGCAGTGCAGAATAGCGGTATCATGTCCGTTCGCCTTCATCCTTCTTGTGACAAACCGGACATCCCTGGTCCACCTTCGCTCGAACAATAGCCGTACTGAACCGAGGCTTCAGCACACTAGATATATCCAGCGGGAAGACAAAGAAAGACGCACAATGCTATTTTGCCACTAAGACTTCGTCCGCCGCCCAAAGCCAGACCGGCAAGACCATGATCCGGCTGCTGAGGAAGGGCATCACCACCGCTAGCGCACGTGGCGTGGACGATGTGTCGGCAAAGGAATAGCAATACCAATGATTGCGGAAACCTCTGCAAAGGTTTCGAACATATCGGACAGAGAGTCTTAGCTGCGGGAGATGTTAGAGGGATGTTCTTGTACGACCCGTACTTGTTTCCGCCACTTACCGGACAAGAAGAATCCACTGTTCTGATCCCTCTGTAATCGGCGAGCGAAATCTGCACAATCTCCCTCTAAGATCCTCTGACATCCGTCCAGCAGAGAGATTTGAAGGTTGAAGTCCTGGAGGATCTTGATCAGGGCTTCCTTCAAACCGGGGATCTCCAAGCCATTCTTGATTCGCCGTATAAGACGGATGGGATCTATCTCTGCCCCGACGTTCTCTAAGAGACCACGTATGAAAGCTACCGAGTGACAATGAACACTTTGCCTTAGCCCATCACTCTAGGATTTATAGGCGGCTGAACTCACTGGGTCGTGTCTCAGAGTACTTCAAGAGATCCTCCCATAGGTCGTCGTCGTTCTGCTCTTTCGCAAAATCAATAGCCTATGAATGACGGGGTGAGCTCGTTGTCAGAATACTTGGAGGGGAACGTTGGCGTATACTTACCCGGCTGACGTCGCCAAGTCTCTCGATGATTAAGTTGAGAGCTTGCTTATTATTGCCCATCCGGCCCAGGAGGAAAACCATCTCTGGGACAAGATCACGTTCTTTGCAAACGTTGTATGCCTTCGGGAAATAAAGTCTCAGCTACATTATTCTTAGCATAGTAGCACGAAAACTGGTACCTTCTCCAAACTGTAATAATTGCTGGCACGCAGGAAGTCGATGAGTCGCCCGGGTGCGTACTCCGCGTACAAAGGCACCTGACGGATCTTTAGCGACCGGTACGAGATATATCCCGTATATTCCCTACCTGAGCGTCTGCGAAATCGGACGCTAGGAATGGGTCCTTCTTGAACAGTGCGTCCAAGTAGAGGAAGAGGTAATAAGGGCGGCTCTGCAACTGCTGTACAACTCTGCCTATCTGTTCATAAGCGTTAACTCCCACTTCTGAACTTTCTACCGTCGAAAAGACTGACCGGTATGGAGTGCGTATGGTCGACAAGCAGCTGTATGGCAGTACTCTCGGAGTCATCAACCTCGTAGCCATCTTTCCTTCGTTTCTCGATCACTTCCTGGTCAAACTCGACCAGCAACAGTACCTGGTCCTGCACAGCCGTAAACAAGTTATTTTCCCTGATGAGGTCAAACACGTTCGGGCGGCGCAGGCGCAGGAGATACGGCAGGGCTTTGCCAGGTTGTCTGTTCGCTGTATACCTAATGAGGCAGAAGAGTTATACGATCGGACAGAGTAAGGGAGATTATCACACTTACAACTCTGCTAGGCACTCCATGAGTATGGCTGCCTCAGGAGCTGTGCGAGCGGCGGTCGATGTAGATGGTGCCTTATCGAGCTCCGATTGGACAGCGACAATGACAGCGGAGATGTCATATATACCCCTTGGCCAGTCTTTGATCGTTTGCAGCAAAGCCTGCGCGAGGACTTAGTCCAATAAAAAGAACAGAAATTTGGACCCGCTTACATTTCTATCGTGAGTGAGGAAATAAGCGAGTACCATCTCGTACACCAAATGGCTTAGTTTCGGCGACTCTGTGGGCACATATGGAATGATAGTCTTGGGGTCGGTATGTTATATACAGATGGCGCGAACAGTGACTGTAGTCGACTTGCCTGCATCTGTCTTTTCTGTGCGAAAACAAAGATCCAGTCTTCCCAACGCTTCGCGTCTTGGCCGCAAACCTTTGGACATAACTTTGCAGCCTTGACGAAGTCGCCTAATGCAACGTAAGCAATGACTTTTGACCACACCTCGCAAACGACTTGACATACCTTCAACCACGAGATGCTCGATGTACCTTTGTCCAATCTCCACGGCATCAACGGCGCCCTCCCCTTGTCCGGCCTCGTCCACCCCCAAGTGCTCCACCTCCTCAAGTGCTTCCTCATACCGCTCTCTCTCAACTAACCACGCAATATGATCCCGTCTATCTCTCGACCTGACAATGACCAGATCCTTCGGGCTCAGCACAACGTAGGCCCGATCTCGCACAGTATCTAGCCCCTCACTATCGACTGCGGTAAGTACATAATCGTTGCAGGCCCACTTCTCGAATCCTTGTATACTAAGTAGATCCGCTGAGAGCTCCTCGCCGGCCCGGGAGATGATGCGCAATTCAGGGCGTTCCGCGGCTTTGCGAGCCTGCCGAGTACGGTCGTCTGTCGCTTCCTCCAAGAAAGACATGTCCGGAGGCGTGTACGCGAGGACCAGGAAGGTAGTGAGGGCAGGCACAGTAGTAGGCGCAGAATTCTGAGCATGACCACTGGGCGTACTCCGTCCAGAGGCAGAGGGGGCGCGGGAATGAGCGGATACAGAGGGGTGTACAGCGCAAGTGGGGGAAGCTAGTGGATGGGGTACGATACCTGCGATCATGCAGTCCAGTTTGAAGACAGCGGTGATTTCAACGAGAAGCGGGGGGAGATTGGCGGGGGAGGTGGGGCTCCGAGGACGGGCACGGATACGAGCGACTTTGATGTGGTCTGCCCATGCTATCAAGAGAGTGGAATTGTCCTGCCAATGCAGGGTGCACTTAAATAGATCAGCACGGGGACTATCTGGTGGCCGGTCGATGAAGGTAATCCGTGACTGCGAAACAGTGTCGTAGATCTTGACGCCCTAAATCACGGCCGTTGTGTAAGCAAGGATGGCCCTTCGCCGGCGCATACTTACTAGGTCATTGGCCCAGGCTATCAGCCGGTCCCTCCACCGTACATTCCAAATAGGCCCTTCCCCGCTGTGTAACACGGTCTCCTTGTGTCCTAACCAACCTTTCTCGTGCAGTACGAGAGAGCCGGCCATACCACCACAAACGAAAGCCCGCGTGCTCTTCTTAGCAAAGTTTGGCTCCATGCTGACCGTCCGCATCGGCCGCTTCATGTCGAACAGGTATTGTTCCGGCGTAGAGAGCGAATGTATGACAACCTGTCCTAGATGCAACGTAACATAATCTGTCGTCTATGTAGCTATGCCCTACTCACCATCCATAGATGCCGTAGCCACAAAGTCCGCTGTGGTATCCATCCCTATGTCTATGACCGATGCGAGATGAGGTTTGTAGGACTTGATCCTCTTTCCAGACATATCCAATATATGCACTATGCCGCTGTGTGTGCCCAGGGTCTAAGAGCGCCGATCATATTTATTCCTTGCATAGGTAATTCGTGCGAAGGACAGCGTACCAGCAACTTGTTGGATATCGTCAGAGCAGACGCGGAATCCTTCTGCAGAAGGTCCGGGACAACTCCTCCAAGTCGTTCGTACTTCAGAGCAGGTTCCTCGTCTTCATCTTCCTCCTCATCCTCGTCTTCGTCGTCATCCTCGTCTTCTTGCCCCTCCCGCTCTTCGTCCCGTCCATGCCCTTCGCTCTCACCCTGTTCATCCCCGCTCCGTTCCTCTTCGTCCGACTCACCATCTGTGCCTTGCGGACTTGCCGTCTCAGCAATACCGTCTGTACCATTCATCGGCTTGTTCATAGTCTCCGGGCTGGCCGTTACGACCCCGTTCTTCTCCTGATCATGACCGTCCGCAGCGTTCTCCTCTGTAGAGCATTCTTCGTCGGTTGAGGGGGATACAGACGACATCGAACGTCGAAGAACGGCGAAGCAGACTAGCAGTCGAGGTAGTCCGGCGGTTCAGAGCTAAGAAGCAACCGTGGTTGGAGCGCGCAGGTGGCGCGTAAACGCGTTCCTTCCGCCACATTCCCCTGGACTTGCTCTACAGCTTACGCTCGGTACTCTCCAGCCAAAATGGCAAAAACGCAGGATGGCTACATGTTCACAGTCGGAAAGCTAGGTACGGAATTGTCTAGCAGTTACCGTGACGAGAGAAGTATAACCGCAACTAATGTATTGCTGTAGACGCTGGCATGGCGGTATGCAGGATATACCCCAGATGATTGCAAGCGCAGGCTGAAATCCATAATACAGATTCTGCTGGGCGAGAGAGCTCATCTTATCGAGTTTCCGTCGTTGCTATTACCTCCCGGAACTACCGCTGGTTCGATAGTCAACATCTCCGTCACTCAGAACCATGCCGAGGAGAAACGGAGAGACAATGAGTTCTGGGCGTTGCAGAACGAGATTCTGGATGCATTTGGAAGGGAATCTCCCGAGCCACCAAAGCTTCAGGTACGTCACATCCGGGACATGAGACGATTGGTTGACATGGCCGTGCGCAGTTGCGGAACGTTACACAAACGTCTGTTACTCTCGAATGGCCCCCATTGAAGCTGGCGACGGCGAAGCTGCGCTCACTCGATATATACCGAAATGGACAGCGCCTCGCAGCCATCCCCTCTCCCCTCCAGAATACCTCCTCCAAGCTCTCGGGACTCGACATCAACACCGAGTACTCCTTCCAACTCATCCTTCGTACGACTGCCGGCACCTTCCCCTCGAACCTCATCCGTGTCCGTACACATACTATGACAGACACCTCCGGCATCTCCGTCTGCTTCGGCAACGTGCAGGACTTGGTGCTGCTCGAGAACGCAAAGATGGCGCTGAGAGAGATGAACGCGAAATGGAGCGATAAGATCCAGATTGACACAACGCACTTTGTGTGCACGACGCCTGCTGCTACGCCCAGTGGGGCGGAGGCGAGCGGCAGCATCAGTAGTGCGCCCGGCGTCGAGTACCAGCGCGCGTTACAGTTAAGTATACCCGTGGTCCAGCCTCAATGGATTTTGGCTTGTCACGCAGAAAAGAAGTACGTATACGACACATTCCATCCGGATGGCATTCTCATGTTATTATCAGAATGGTGCCCATCGCTGGTTACTATCTAGGCGTCAACCCAGGCACGCCGATGCACTCAGCGCCATTCACGCGCCCCCAGTCAATGTCGCAGGTATCCCTCCCGCACTCCCCGACGCGGCCCACCCCAGGCTCTCCCGCGCAGAAAGCCGCCAATCGTGCCTCAATGCCGGCCCCCGCCCGGTCGTCCAGTCAACAATCGATACCCACGGAAAGCCAAGTTCGCGCTGGATCCGCGACGTTCGAGCCTACTCCCGAAGAACAAGGGGAAGGTGAAGAGGGCGACATCGGAGATTCCGCGCAGCGCAAAGAGGAGGGCAGGACGTCGAAGAGCGCGAAACGGCGGACGAGGAACGGGACGATGGACAAAGCGTTCAAGTTCCCTCCTGAACCTGAGCCTGGGCACGCGGAGCCGGCTGCGTCGCCTATACCAGAGTCACCTTCGCCGCCTAGAGTGGAGAGCCAGCCGGCTCCCTCGCAGCAAGCGGAGGAACCAGCGCATGTTATTGCACCTTCGAGCGTGGAAGTGCCGCCGCCGCCGCCTGTGGAGAAGGAGAGGGCTCCTGCGGCGCATGATGAGGGCGAGGAGGATGTCGGGGAGACTGAGGAGATTTCGTTGAATTGAGGACCTACGCGGCCGTAGATACTAAGATAGGCTATTAGGATTTCTAATGTTTTTAATACGTCGCACCATGATGTGATTCCTGCTACGTGCTATATCGTGACGGTATAACCCTGTTGTGGCATTTCTGTACCGCTTTCCATTTCCCTCTTGACTGCCACTCATAAGCCTTGTACTTTGCTTGTACGGCTGCTAGGATCCGTCATCCGCGATGCTACACATTTGAAGGAACACTGTTGAGCTGCAAATGATTGACGAATGGTCGTCGAACCTCTTGCAAACGGATCCGATGCGCGCGTACCGCATGAAGCGGGACGCAGCCCGACGCACGGTGCAATCCGCCTACACGATCCTGGGATTCATCTCTTCTGGCACGTACGGGAGGGTATACAAGGCGCAGAGTAAAGGTGACGATGCGAAGGTGCATGCTATCAAGAAGTTCAAGCCTGACAAGGAGGGGGACGCGGTTACTTATACCGGTATAAGTCAGAGTGCGATACGAGAGATAGCGGCGAGTAATGAACGCGAATGGTATTTTGGTGTAATTGACAGATTATCGCTCTAGCTGAACAGGGAGTTGTCTCATGAGAACGTGGTATCCCTGAAGGAAGTTATCCTCGAAGACAAGTCCATCTATATGGTGTTCGAATACGCCGAGCATGATTTCCTCGTACGTTCCTCCTTCCTTTCATGTATCCCATGCTGAGGCAGAATAGCAAGTTATACACCACTACTCCCAAACTCTGCGCGCGCAGATCCCCCCGGTTGTCCTCAAGTCGCTCATCTTCCAACTCCTGAATGGGCTTGTATACCTCCACTCGTGCCACATCCTGCACCGCGACCTCAAGCCCGCAAACATCCTTATCAGTTCCTCGGGAGTGGTGAAGATTGGTGATCTCGGTCTGGCACGACTGATCTATGAGCCTCTCCAGCCTTTGTTCGCCGGAGACAAGGTCGTCGTGACCATTTGGTATCGCGCCCCGGAATTGCTTATGGGTGCGAAGCACTACAACAAGGCGATCGATTGTTGGGCAGTGGGGTGTGTGATGGCCGAACTGGCGAGCTTAAGGCCCATATTCAAAGGCGAGGAGGCAAAGTTGGACTCCAAGAAGAACGTGCCTTTCCAGAAGGATCAGCTGATGAAGATATTTGAAGTCCTGGGCACACCCGAAGGTGCGCAACCTCATCTTCAGGTCTGTTTCTTCAGTCTGATTATTGTGTCAATAGAAAAGGATTGGCCAGGCATGAAGGAAATGCCCGAGTATCAGAACATGAAGCGGCTTGACAGGTGGGGAATACTGCGATCTAGCCTTGCGGGAATCTGAAGATGGCTCAGGTTCGAAAATCGCCTGCATGACTGGTGCCAGACCCGCGTCCGGACACCTTCCGGGTACGATTTTCTCCGGCAGCTTTTTGCCTACGACCCCGACCGGCGTCTCTCCGCCAAAGAAGCCATGCTGCACGAGTGGTTTCAAGAGGAGCCTAAGCCGACTGCAAAGTACGGACCTTATGTTCTGTCGGTCCGTGCAGCAGTTACTGATATGAGTGTTCCGCAGCGCCTTTCAGTCAGTGTCGACGCACCAGATACCCCCGCACCGACGGATCACGCAAGATGACGCGCCGTCCATGATGCCCATGCCGCAACCATCGCAGGCGCAGGGACACTTGCACCCCTCGGCTAAGCCGGGAAGTTCGACGAGCTTTGCGAGCTTGACTCAGAGCGCTGGGGGTGTCACCTATCAGGTTTCGAGCGCATCAGCCAGGAAGAAGGCTCGAATGGGATAATTGCATGCTTCTCCTACGAGTATGACCTCTCTTGCGCGGCATCTGCTATTTTCTTTTGTGTGGACATCGATGTATTTGCAGGTGAGTTCCGCGACAGACTGTTATGGAGTGCTATTTCTGGGTCCCGAATACACTTGCCTGCGCTTAGAATATTCGCTTTGTATAATGGAGCATCTGTAGCTAGGCCTAGGGCGGTTCCGAGTCTTGAATTTGTTACAACGCGTTACCCACTCAGGCTGCGTAGCCAGACTGCGCTTCGTGTCGGCTCTCAAATATCACGTGATGCGTCTATTCTTAGCGCCTGTTTCCCCGCCTGCAGCCACAAATTCGGTCGTGCACTTTACATGCATCTTCCATGGCTTCCGCTCCCGACAAACGACGCGTTTCTTACTATTTCGACCGTACGACGTCTGTTATTACTGACTGATATAGTCGACTGAGATTTACTGGCTTTCAGCGGATGTCGGTTCCTACACATACGGACTGGGCCACCCCATGAAACCCCATCGGATCCTCATTGCGCATCACTTGATTTCAGCGTACAATATGCTGGAAAAGATGCATGTTTTAGTGAGTGAATTACCTCTACAGAAGAGCTACGAGCTGACTGGCGCCGCTAGAGAGCGAAACGCGCGTCAGCAGAGTCAATGACGCGCTTTCACACAGATGAATACGTACAGTTTCTACACAGGGTCACGCCGGAGACAGCAGACGAGTTGACATATCATGGTTCGAGGTGTAAGTGTACCAAATTCAACTCTCGGGATAGTATTCATACTGTGTAGTCTGCGTAGGAGACGACAATCCGCCGTTCGAGGGAGTATTCGAGTTCTGTTCTATATCAGCGGGAGGGTCGCTCGGTACGTCGTGACTCCCTCTTTCCCACCCGCGTGGCTCATAGAACACGCAACGCCAGCTGCCGCACATCGGTTAGCAAGCGGAGCCACAGACATCGCGATTAACTGGGCAGGCGGACTGCACCACGCCAAGAAGCAGGAGGCCTCCGGCTTTTGCTACATCAACGACATCGTACTGGGTATCCTCGAACTCCTGCGGACGTACCCGCGCGTGCTGTATATCGACATCGACTGCCACCATGGGGACGGCGTGGAGGAAGCATTCTACACGACCGACAGAGTGATGACCTGCAGCTTCCACAAGCACGGGGAATATTTTCCCGGGACGGGTGACTCCGCAGATAGAGGAGAGGGCAGAGGGAGGGGGTACGCGGTTAACGTGCCGCTGAAGGACGGAATCTCCGACGAAACATACAAAAGCATCTTCGAACCGGTGCGTACTCACTCTCACCCACACGATGCAGTCCGAACCCATCCGACCAGGTCATCACCAAAATCCTCGAGGTCTTCCGCCCGTCGGCGATCGTCCTGCAATGCGGCTCGGACTCGCTCGCGGGGGACAAGCTCGGGTGCTTCAACTTGACGATGCGCGGGCACGCCGCGTGCGTGCAGTTCGTGCGGCGGCAGAACATCCCGATGATGCTGCTTGGCGGCGGCGGGTATACCGTCAAGAACGTCGCTCGTACGTGGTGCTACGAGACGGCGTGCGCGTTGGGCATCGAGGCGTCCATAGACGAGATGCTGCCGTACAACGCGTACTTTGAGTGGTTCGGGCCCAAGTACCGGCTCGAGGTGCCTGACAATAATATGGAGAATATTAACCTCAAGGATGGATATCTGACGGCAACTCGGTAAGCACACTTTTCGCGATTCCCGGGGCCGCGAGTGATCCTGTTGGTAGTGACAAGGTTTTGGCGCAATTGTCGGAGCTGCAGCCCGCGCCGTCCAGTCAGATGCAGGACGTTCCGCGGGAGAGCGTCGGCGCGCATCTGGGCTGGAGAATACAGGGTGAAGAAGCTCAAGATGAACTGGACAAATCACTCGCACGTGCGTTTTCCTCTCAGCTTGCATGTGTTCCCGAAACTACCCGCTTTCTCTAGGACACTCACGATTTGTGTACAAAATGCAAGAGCCCGATCCCTCCGACGAGGAGACGTACGACTCCGACGCGTCCGCCTCCACGTCGGCGCGTAACGCTCGCAAGTCGCACCGGGCGTCCCGGCCGCAGACGCGGAATAAGAAGCGCATGAGCATAATCACGAACCAACCGCTGGATCTCCCACAATGGAGGGAGTTTGAGTTGTGCAGCGGCGCGGCGGAGATGGACAGGAAGACCAGACGGAGGTTCTTCACGAGTGGGGACGAGAACTCGCCGGGCGTGGATGAGATCGTAGAGGTGTACAATGGTGTAGTGAAGGGATCTGGCGGGCTGAATGGAGCCTCGAGGTTGGGAGAGACGATGAGTAGAGGGGGTGTGTCGATGGAGGTTGACGAGGAGGACATGTCAGAGTAGAGTGGGAGGTTACCTCGGGTTTTGTAGCATATCTTGGTATATTGTATTGTTATCCTGCTTGCCTAGATTAGTATTGTGTCGACGTAATGTACCCCTAATAATCAAAACCACTGCATTCCCTTGAGTCAAAAATCGTGTATATACAGTTGCGGGTCTTGATGCAAGAATACAAGCTGGCGAGGACGTACGAACGTCACGGCTACACGTCTTTCCACAGGCTGAAATCGGGATCGTGCATAGGTTGAGGGGTCCCGATGGGATTCACGGGCATCCGGATATACTCGTATGCATACGAATAATGCAAGCAAGCGACGACCCGGAGGGAGGGACAAGCGGACTCTAGGCTACGCAGAGTGTCAGGGGTAACCATGTTCCAGAGCACGAGAGTTCGTAAATCTTTGAAAGCAGCAAGAGCATTCATGATTTCCCGATCCTTAAGTAGCAGAAATCAGTAGTACTCGACATGCCATCAGTATCATAAACGTACCTTTGATGTGAAGGGCCTCAAAAATCCAAGGGAACGTAGATTCGGCGCTTGAAGGGCGAGCGTGGATAAGCACTGTACGATGGATCCTTTATGGAACGGGAAGCCCATACGTAGGGATAGCAGAGGTCCTGTCGACCTGCTTATTGCTGTGATAAACTCTTCATACATGGCGTTAGCCTCATTCGAGACCCAAAGATGTGTCACGGGTCGACCCGGTACGAGTCTCATAGCCATGCCCAGAGAGTCGGTATGGAGCAGCTGAAGCTGGGGTAAAGCACCCTGCCCAGGGGAAGGGGTGTCCCGGACAGGATCCACCGTTCGTGCTGCATTGTCCGTGTCGGTCCAGTCGATGGAGGTGATCCGGCGCTGCGTCTCCAAGAACGCGATGAGGTCGCCGTCCAAAGCAAAATCGGAGCTCAACTCTCTGAGCGAGAACGTGCACCGCCTGAGAATCCGAGCATTTGGGTTGGTGAAGCCATCATGAACGCGCAGGATTTCGAGATGGGGCATCCTCTGCAGCGCTCGGCCCATGTTATCCCAGAAAGGGGGCAAGGCAGGATAAGAACCGTGGCGCTCATCGTTAGCAACTATCAGCGAGCGCACAAGGCTCCCTATACGAGGGCATTCGACGACGAGCTTGCAAAATGCCTGGGTGCGGCATCGGCGACGAGACTCGACGGTGTGGTAGATGAGACTCTCGGCTAAGGCTTGCACCGCTCTTGAGACGACGCTGATGGCGCATAAGTCGCTCTTGCTCTCTATGTGCCCTATAACCTCTTGATACAACTCGATAGGAAGCTGGGGCACGTTCCGTCTGTCCCCTGCTTCTGTAACGATTTCTGGAGTTTCTTGCATTGTGGAGGTTGAAGTTGGGAAGATGATGTGATCAGTTCTAGGTGTTCATGGGGAGTCATGGGCACGCCTATTGATACGTATCAACTCCCCACGAATAATACAAGGCACGTTGAGTTAAATCATCTTCACTGATATATGTAGGCTCTGGTCAAATTATTTGGATGCCGATGTGGGGGATATCGGTCTATTCTAGGGCCCCAGGATTGCTGTCACTACATCACGCATTCCATCGACGTATCGCTGTAGCAAGCCGTCAGATACTGAGTAAAATCGGCGAATATCGGTATTTATGAATGTGCCCTTATCTTTATATCTCTTTGCTATAGATAGGTAAAGAAGCACTGCGATCGCCTGCGGTAGAGGCTTAAAGCTCGTAATCTATCGCGGTTCTTCACCTATCCCGCTGCCGCCATGGTATCTTCCAATCCGCTGCTGAATGCAGCCTATGCTCCCCTTCCCATCGATAAATTATTCTACGATCGAGCTGCTCTGGACGAGGGGAGGACCATCATTGACTCCTTCGTGATCCCCATCCGGAGCGGTAGGGCGTGGAAGGTTGCTGCAGGCCACGTCTTTCGAATCAGCACGCCTGAGGGGCCACAGGTACGTGCGCATAGACGATGTACATAACGTTTCATGGAATTAGCATTGAGTTCTAGGTTGGAGATCTGAATCGTAGGTGACAAACATTATCGTCAGTCGAATGGTAAGCTCTGATATACATAGTGTGGAATGCGAACGATACCCGAGAAGTACGTATTTTTGCACCATTCAGGGGGAGGGGGGGCCTGACTCTCGGGCATCTGCATAGCATATGTGGGCTGCGAGGACACGCCAGCTCCAAGCAGCTCATGTCAGCGTCCACGATCGCCTCTGGTCTAACTTGCCTTTCCGTGAGGGTCCTGAGAATATCACTGCTAGTCCGCATGTAACTGGAATCTTGATAGTGCGACCTCTGGTTACCATCGTTTCAGACACGCTGAAAGACTATGGTGTCGACGAGGACGGTGGTCGCGGTAATTGTCTTCCTCCAGATACGCACCTATTGTGGCATTGATATGTCAGACAGTACACGATTTACTGGGCACACGATGCGATCCGTACGTGAATAAGTACATGACAGGTACGTCGGGGCTAGCACCACCGCTCCTAAAATATATTCGAGCAATGGGCAGGGATGGATTTCGACTTGCATTGCCACTCGAACCTGATACGAGCGGTGGCGCCTTACGGCCTGACCGAATTTGACGTGCACGTAAGTAATCGCCACAGCCCTTCAAGCCCTTTACCTGACCGAAGACCGATATGCCCAGGATGTCTTGAACGTCTTCCAGTGCACTGGGCTGAACTCCCAAGATCAGGTACAATGCTACTGGCTCTTTACTCGGTGGTCCCCTTGTAGTAACGATGATCCGTCCCGCGGATACCTTTCGACAGTACTTCATGGTCTGTACCCGCTCTTGAAATCCACACTGTATTCCCCCCTGTCGCTGATATATACCTCCCAGAAAGCGTGTCCAGCTGAGAAAGGCTCGTGTAGGTATCAGGCGATGCTGCGGATGACCCGTTGTCTGACTTTAGACGGCCTGATAGACATCGAGTTCTTCGCGGAGATGGATATCTTGGCTGCGCTGTCGACATGCCCAGGCGGAGATCTGAGCATCCGCATGTGGGGCGATGGTGAGTATGATGCGCGTCGACTTCATTCGTCCGCAACTGACTCCTATGAGGTAAGACGTACCTGAAGGCGGCGATCCAAGTTAGTATGCTGAATACGAGATACGAGACTTATGCTGAACATAATTCTAGTGCTTTCTGTGTGCCGCCCGCTCCAGGTAGATGTATTCAAGCTATCGGATGATACACTAAAGAGCTGGGAACCGTTCAATTCCGATACCTACCATGGCGACCATGGCTTGAAAGCTGCTGGACTGCGGGGAAACTAAACCGTCTAAATGAATGCGAGGACGAGGCCAAGAGATGTAAACTATACATCGAGCCTTGCCAATGCCTCGGCGTACTTGGATCCCACAGTCATATTATACGTTCTGTGCTTTGTCTAGTGTGCCCATCATACGCAGATAATTCGAAGACGAAGCGGAAGCTCCCTTTCCCATAGAGCCGATAAACGACTTAAGCTTCCCGCTCTCGTAGCCTTGCTTGTAGTCGTCAAGAAACCTCTCTACGGTGGGCAGTTTGAGACCCGTTAGCTTGGCGAGTTTCTGGATCATCGCCCTTTCGTCTTCGGCATGCTTGGGCGATAGTAGCAACTCCTTGTATAGACCGTATAGTGTTTGCCACCGGCCGTTGGCGGTAAGCAGGTGGGGGTTGGTGAAAAAGCGATATGGACGCGCCACGTAAATTACACGAGGGTGAGAGAAGGAGTCGGTCGTTTCAGGGTTGGATAGATCAAGACCTATGCGAGGTGAAGTGTGTATCGGCGGCTTGGGCTCCGGTCCCGAGGGTGAACGACGCTTGAGCCAAAGGTTAACTTCACGATAACTCGACGTCGCAGGGAACGCTGATATGTCATCATTCCACTTTTGTTTCACTAGTGAGGCGATGGACGGCGCGTCACTCGTACGAAGAATTTCGTCCACAAGGAGCGAAGGGCCGGAGATTACTCGGCCATCGGCCACGCAGCGAATGGTGCGCAAGAGGATCCCGCCCACCGTGCTTGTTTCCGCACGCGACGAAGCGGATGAACCTAAGGACGCAAAATAAGGGGACGTAACAGTACTTGGCATGCCAAACGTGAGGTCGAGGCCTTTGCGAGTGCCCCCTCTGTATCCTCCCGCCGCTGTCAGCGAAGCGGTTAATGTCTGTGGCAGCGCTGACCGCCTCGGCGCTTTGTGAAAATACCTAACGAGCCATTCATCGTCCATCATCAAGTGTAAAGGGAATGTACAGTGCCCTTACCAATTTCCGCTGCGTGTCTGTTCGTCCGCACCATGCGTGAATGGGTCTTCATGGCAGCCACGTTTATTCAAATAGAATTCAAGCTCCAAGATCTCGTACTCCGTTGACGCGCTTCCCCGGGTCAAAAAAATCCGATACTTGTGCAAGAGCGCCTCAGCAATAGCCGCAAAACGGGCGGATATATCACTTTCAGAAGTAAGAGAGGACAGATCGAGAAGAGGAAACAGATCATCAGACTCGGACGTTTCGAATTCTGGTACTTCCGGAGCCGAGGCCACACCGCAGCGTTTCTTGAAGACGCCGTGGCTGTCCTCTTCCGCTTCGCGGTCAAGGGGATCGTCACCATCCCGAGACCTTTTGGCAGACATGTTCAATGGTATGCATCCGCCGGGTACTAAGAGCAGCTGTAGTGTTTGCACAGCCACGTTACTCCAATCGGGTCTTGCCGCGCTTTGTGGCAAACCACCCGAGAGTTCCTCTTGTTAGCTGATGCCACCCTTCATTTCATCGTGAAGTTGAGGATTTAACATGGCTAATTAGCTGCTCGGAAGAATGGTATGCTCATTCGCACTGAGGAGTGGCGATATCCAAGTCTTCAAAGGACTTGAACTATTGACCTGATGTCGTGGTATTAGCTTCCGCCCATATCAAAACTGTCGATCGTGCCTGCGGTGTCAGCCAAGGCGGATGTGCGGGTCGAGCATATCCCACTATGCGTTGCGTCATGGCCGTGCAATCGGAGAACAGTATATAAGTCGGCCGATCGCTGAGCGAGGCAGGTATCGCATTCTTGTATCAGTTTCGGCTCTCTGCTCGTCTTACACTTATATTAAGTAACGCCCTAACGACTCCTAATGCTTCCTCACTTGCTCCTGCTTCAACTTGTTGGATACGCGGCGGCTGCGTCTATTCAGCCTCGCGCGAAATCATCTTCTTGCGCTTGCGGTTATCGCGATTCTAATGGGCATGTTTGGGTAAGTGATTTCGTCCCATTTCCGTCACCGTGTCTAATCATGCCCAATAGCGGGAGTCGATTGTGTCCAATTTTGCGGGATCCAACGCGCTGGGCGTAGTGCAGCAGAATTGGGCCGTCCAGACGTGGGGCCAGCAGCGGGAATACCAGTATATTCAATACAGCGCTGACAACGTCTACAACGTAAGCCGTCGTATATTTTTATCAAGAACATTTGCTGACGACACCATAGTACCAAAACGCGTTGGGTGTTCGTACCAAAGCATGGAAAGGCAACGGGACATCTGTCTCAACCGGCGAAATTCAGACGAATCGAGCTGATATATTATACGGTACCTTCCGGATGTCGGCAAAGATTCCTACTACCCCGGGCGTGTGTTTTGGTAAGTACGCTTCTTGGTCACATTCATTACGTCCCTAATCGTTGCTTTGATAGGGTTCTTCACTTATTACAGTGATTCTCAGGAGACTGATATCGAGTTCTTGACCAATGACACGAACTCCAAACACACGGTGCACTATACGAACCAGCCACGCACGACGTCGGCGTCTAGCCAAGAGGTCGTTGTCAGTAATGACTTGACGTAAGGATGCCGTTGCGATGCTTGGTGCTCTTCTCACCCAATTCTCTTCAGCGCATTCAATGTTCATCGGCTTGACTGGTTGCCGACTCAGACGATGTTCTATCTGAACAATAAGCAGATGAGAGTGAGTGCCGGTAGTCATTTCGTGTTGTATGGTGATTGAACATTCTTCAGACTATATCGCTCGATGTACCCAATACCCCATCTCGCATGCTGGCTAATGTTTGGAGTGACGGTGACCCGTGCGTATCTGCTGGCTAGCTAGCGCATCTCAACTGATCCATTCTGTTCAGTGAGTGGTCGATGGGTCCGCCCAAGGCCGACGCCATCGCCACCATCCAATACATCAATCTTTACTTCAACTCGACTTCGTATAACGAGACTGCTTTCAACAGCGCTTGCAAGCAGTCTGGCAAACCGGCGGTCTGTCAGGTATGAGTGGGGTTCAGGGGGAATATATCTACTATATTTAAACATTCCTTTCCTTTTCCCCGATTTAGTTTGAAAAGTTACGCAAATCCGGCGCTTTTAGGACGCTTTCACAGGCGCCCGTTGCCCTCATCAGCCTTTCTCTTAGTGCGACATATGTAGCATTACTACTCTTATAATATGGCGAGCCTGTCTAGATTATGCACGAACGTAATAATTTGATCGTATTCACGTTGCCCCGGACATTATAACATTTTTCTATCGAAGCGATTGGACGACGAACAGTCTCAACCATACGACACATATAATCTTCCTCTCACACACAAGAAAACTACATCTGAAGGACAGTTAATTCTCCTTGGATTGGAAGGCTTGTAAATCTTCCGTCATGACCCTATTTAGGGGATGAACGCTGCTTGAGTTTCTTCACGTCTACCAGTCATCATTGTAAGGGGAAGCAGCGCTATGTATTGGCAGGGGAATTAATCAACCTGTGAAAGCAATGGTGTATTGGCAGGGGAAGTAACCAACTCGGTGGCTGCTGAATACCGTAAGCGCGGGAACTCACCTTTTCGGGAGTGTAAGTACTAGTCTGTGCAGATCCCCCGCGTTGTCTATGGCTCTGCTATTGTATGATCAAGGTAAATCAGAGTTCCATCTTCCCCATGCACCTATGAATAGCGTTGGGTAGAGTAGGCTGGAGCATGCGGACCAAGCTACACTGGCACTGATCCATGTGGTGGAACCACATGGATACCTTCGCTATGTTTGCACAGGGCCCGTGGCTGACAGTGAAGTAGTCCATCACGGTTCTCGCAGTCAGGCTTTCCGTTAAGGTTAAAAGACGGAGGTCGCACTGAAGAGCAGTCCAGAGTAGCCCTTTTTACCTTGCTCACCGACTACGAGCTACCAAAATGCTTCCCCATCTCATTCTCACTGGCTTAGTGGGTTACGTCGCGGCGGCATCGCTCCAGACTCGCGCCACTCAGGACTCTACCTGTCCTTGTGGTTACCTTGACTCGAACGGCAATGTCTGGGTAAGTATTGTGCTACTGATCGTCATACCAGGATTAATATCCTCCTTACAGCGAGAGTCAAGCGTCTCCGACTTCACCGCAGGGACCCCCACAAGCGTGCTCCAGCAGGCTTTCGCCGTTGAAACCTGGGGCGTGCAGGGGACCTACCAGTATAGGCAGAACAGTGCCGACAATGTTTACAATGTATTGGACCCCTTTGGTTCTTCGGTGGGCAGGTGCTGACCTCACTGTAGCTGAATGGTGCGCTTGGCATGCGTACTCAAGGGTGGTCCGGGAGTGGACCCGTCTATACTTCGGAAGTTCAAAGCCATCGTGACGATATCCTCTACGGTACCTTCCGCATAACAGCAGAAATCCCCACCACGCCAGGCGTGTGCTTCGGTGGGTCCAAGTCCTCTCAGTCACGGCGACTCTGCGTCGAACTTGGTTGCTCGTCTAGGATTTTTCACCTTCTACAGCAATACGCAGGAGGCGGATATCGAGTTTCTATCCGCCGACACTAATGCCGCGCACACGGTGCACTATACAAACCAACCGGGCCAGACTGCTGGTGCCACTGAGACGGTCACGCTTGGTCCCAACCTACAGTGCGTGTGGGATTGCATCCCGAGAACCCAAGCCTGACCCTGGCTGCTCAGGACCTCGTTCAATGAGCACAGAATTGATTGGCTGCCAGACGTCGTGAACTATTACCTGAATGGTGGCCAGACTGGGGTAAGTAGCTATCCCATTATGAGTACGGTCCATTCACTAATCGTCCCTCCCTCCCAGTCTATATCTATTCAAGTGCCTGACACTCCCTCGTTTGTACTAGCGAATGTTTGGAGTAATGGCGATCCGTAAGTACCCAAACGCATGCTTGCGTCGACTATTCTGACCGGTTTTCAGTGGTTGGACGCAGGGCCCACCGACGGCTGACGCTGTGGCGACTATCCAGAATATCAAGTTGTACTTCAACTCCACGTCACTGAGCGAATCTGACTTCAACAGCGCCTGCGCGACAGCTGGGAGACCTGCGTCTTGTCAAATTTGAAGACGGTGCCCAGGAAAACGAGGGCGTAGCTCGCGCTACGTTTTGTCCTAGGCTAATTACCTTCGTTCTCATCCAAGCCTTTCACTTTCTTTATGATATAGAGTTTTGTCAATGCGTCAGCTTGTAGTTTGCGATGTGGTGTTAGGCATCTCATCAAGTTACAGGCCAAGATAATTGTATAATTTTTCTCCTCGCTCCCGAAAGCGTACATCACAACACTTTGCGAGGTTCTCCACCTATTACATAGCAACGAAAGTGCCGTTTCGGCAGACGAAGCCAGGGTCCGGCGAATCGATCGGAGGATTGTTGCACAGTAATGTCGCTGGTACCCCGCTCTGCCGACAATTGATTCAACAGTCCAATATAGTCGAGACCAACGTACCTGTGTTCTTAGATGAATATTAGACAGGGTGAAGTTCTGGCACGCTCCTGCGTTGCATCGCAATATTGCAGCCTGGGTGCCATCCGCGCCCTCCTCATAGTACCTGCAATGAGGCACTTAGACGGATTAAGGCCTCGACGGAATATAAAACATACCAGCACGGGTCACTGATGCAAGAGCCATCGCCTGGATGGAAGGTGTTAATGTCGCCGTAGAAGTTGTCGTAGGTGAAATCCTGCATGATCACCGACGCGTTGTTCACGCGTGGTGCACCGGGGTATTCTTGATCTGGGGTATGTATCTCATGTTAGTATACTTGACAAGCCATAAAAAGAATCCCAGAGCGATGTCACCGACCGACATAGGATTGTGTCAAGTAAAGCGGGAACGAGACATTCCGGACGCCAATATTCCTATACGTCACGTTCCGCGCTAAACCCGTTCCGCCGACCCAGCTCTTGAACCGCGCGCCGTACAGCGTGTTCTCCAGGAAGACATCCTCAAATAATACGTCGGAGACGTTCGCCGGCATACTCGGGTCCTTGCCTAGCGAACCGATGGACAACCCGTGTGACGAGTACGAAACGTAGGCCCGGCGGAAGGTGACATTCTTGGTCCCGACGGAATTTTGGCCGACTGTGAAGGCATCATCACCGTTGTAGATTATCGAGTCCTCGACGAGAAGACTGGGCAGGGTTAGGGGGAGAAGAGTTACGATCAGAAATAACATGATAACAAGAGGAAACCTACTTGGAGCCAGAGCCGTCAATGCCGTCGGTATTGAATGGGAACTATATCCATATCAACAGAGGGTCATGGAATTATGGATCACGCTTTGGCTTACCGAGCCAGTTGATCGCGCGTCGATCAATGTGTTACCGACATGGACGTTGGAAGCCGTCGCCAAGCTCACCACCCAAGCTATGGGCTTGTAGAACTTCAGGTTGTACAGAGAACCAGTACTACCGGATAGGTCTCAACTCTTCGCGCAGACATAGAATACGAAGGGTGCACTTACTCAACTGCAAAGCCAAACATCCGAGGACGCGCGATGGTGTTGCCCGCATCCCACCATTGTTGGCCTGTACGTCACCGAGAGATCAAAGCAAGCATGAAGATCTATTTGCGCCTACAATAAAACCACCGTAAACGTACCATGACCATCAATCCATCCGGACCAAGGATCTTCGGACCCCAGGACGCTTACATTCTGCCCGCTGAAATAAATCCAGAACCCCCCATTCGACGATGCGTTCACAGCTGCCTGGACAGCCGTAACGTTCGTTGGGAGTGTCAAGTTACCCTGTATGAGCACGCTATAGTCGGAGTGATTAAACTGGACAGGTGTGAGTATGTTGTAGGTAGTGTTGGGCGTGAAGACGATCGGTCCGGAGGGGCAGTCTTGGAGGGCTCGGTAGATGTTCGGTGTATCGTCTGCGCCGTCGGTGTGGACGACGTCGCACCCGCCTGTCCAGCGCTGTTGAAGGTGCACGCTCTGACCAAACATCGGCCCTACCTGGAGCAGGCTGAGGAGGATAAGCGGAATGGATCGAAACATGACGCTCTCCTGAGGGAGAACCGAAATGAGTATCCGGGTTGCGTGAAGGCGGTATTGATACGCATTTGAGTGGGCTCATATAAGGGCTACACCTGCGATATTCTCAGAGGCTAGCATCCTTTACGCCATACAGTCTTCTCAAACGGTCCGAGTGAGATATTCAACGTTAGGTGCCTTCATTGAGTGACGTACCTGGGGACGATCGGAGTGCACGTACGGAATAGCGGAGCAGGCGGCCCGGCTGTGTAAGAAATAGGTCAACTTGTTGAGTGTCCGTCGTGTCAGAGTTTGATATCGCACACCAGGGGTGTACGTGGATGTCGGAGGTGTATGTCTGAGAACGCGGGCTTCCAACGCAGGCTTCTTCTGGGAAAGTGAGATAATCTATTTGCCTTGTTTTGCATCATTTGAGGCGGTTAAGCGAGTCCATCACTTGAGTGCGCATGGGCAGAGTGAGGCAGGGAGGCAGGTCTAAATGTCCGGCATATTATAATTTACAAGGCTGATCGAAAGTCGACGGTGTCAGGTGTGCATTATAACCACAGATTAAAAAGTCAGCATCCGGGATCATGATGTGTAAGGACATGTGTTGGGGATGTGTCTCAGACAGTATACATAGTAGAGAGCAGCAAATTCGTGATCATATAGCAAATCATACCGTGTCGTCTGGCACGAAACATCAGAATCGAAGGATGAGGAAACCTGGCAAAACATACGAAAGTGACCGGTGTAACGGTGTGACGCACGAGGCCTTTATAATTATGATGATTCTCGCCGTGCAGCATCTTGTCCTCGGGAGTATTTTTGATTTCTCCTATATATGGTATTTTGCTTTTACCGTGATCTAAATCCTTCTATGACTCTGACGCCGACGCAATCCACGGTCTACTCGACACGCTACTGGAAGGTGCGAGTGGCTTAGTCACCTCGCCATGAACCTCGCTCTAGATAGCGATATGCTCCTACTCTCGTTCCTCGACTTAGGCAACAATTCATATCGCAGATGTGAGCGATGTGTTTGAGATATCGCGTGGGTGCCCACGAGTCGGGCTCTGACGGACAAGACGTTATACGCCTGCTCGTCATTACCCGACCCATGGCCGGCGCCCAGCAGTGGCATATTTTTGACGTTTGAGCTTCTCCTTCCTGGGTCGCAAGCCAACAACACATGACGAAGTCACGTGCGTATCAGTTCTCGAGCGGGCCGTAGCGGGTACGCGACTGACACGAAAACGCATTACATGCCGACACCGTGTCGAGGAGCCTTCAATCCCATAAATTGACGGTGCCGGTGCGACCTGGGTGTGCGAACGACCCCTCCAAAAGATGTACAGCAGACTCCTCGCCATCCTGAGCCTCGGAGTGCTGGCTACTGCCCTGTCTTCCGACCCGTGCACGGTAGCACACTCTGCAGATTCCGATGACTCGCCGGCGGTGTACGCGGCAGTCTCTTCATGTCCTTCTGGCCAGCCTATCGTTTTCGCTCCGAACACGACATACAACATCTACACGCCCCTGGTGTTTAACAATTCCGACCTTACTCTGAGCATCCAAGGAAATTTGAGTCTGCCTGAGAATATCACGCAGGTCCAGGCGGGAGTGAACGCTAGTGCGAGCGGGTTCTGGTTCTACTTCACCGGGAGCAGGGTAAATGTCACTGGAAGTACTGACCCGTATAACGGGTGGATCGAGAGCCATGGTGAGAACAATACCATCGAATTTGTTTGTTTGGTACATGCATGACTGACGAAATATCCGCAGGCCAGCAATGGTGGGACGTTTCCAATCAAGTGGCGCGACCCCACCTCTGGGGCTTTGCGGTAAAGTGAGAACGTCCATGGGTGCTTGGCCCAGCATCATGGCTTACTTCGCTGCGTTAAAGTGATGGCTACATGTACAACCTGAAGTTCCTACAGCCGATCGCATGGACCGTTAGTCTCTCAGGCGCGAACAACGTCTACGCAGGTAACACCCTCATCGATGCCCGCTCAACTGGCGGTTTCCCATTCAACACGGACGGATTCGACGCTACCGGCTCCAAGTAAGTGTTTCATCCCTTCCTATTGAACTACAGCAGCCATACGCTCACTACTGCTTAGCCTGCTCATCGAAGACTCGGTTATATACAACGGTGACGACGCCTTCGCCGTTGGGCAGAACTCTGTCGGGTCGACCAATATCACCTTTCGCCGCGCGTTCGTCGGCTTCCAGTCGCATGGATGCTCCATTGGCTCGCTAGGCAAAGACCCGACCAAACCGGCGAATGTCTCGGATATACTCGTGGAGGATGTTTTCCTGGAGAACACCCTCTACGGTGCGAGATTCAAGAGCTGGATGGGTGGGACCGGCTTTGCCAAGTGAGTAGAAGCACGCGGACCTTATTGTTTCGTCCTCTCATCGAATTTGTCCATCGATAGGAATGTAACGTACAGGAATATCGGAGTGAGGAACGTCACTTTCCCGCTGTACCTGACCCAGTCCTATGTCGGTACGTCTCGGAACCCCGTCTTTATGGTCCGCATCGGTGAAGCTCGCTCCCGGCTCCCTCAGACCAAAACTCCCCCGGCGCACCCCGCGTCAACAACGCCTCGGTGATCATGCAAAACTTCACTTACGAAAACTTCTTCGGCGACATTAATACGTTCCACCCGGGTGATGGGAGTTGCGTTACAGATCCTTGCTGGTGCGCTCCCTTATCCATTATCTATCGGCGCTTCGCTCATGGTCCACAACCGACGCTTTGGCGAACAGGTACTATGAACCGGGTGCCGACGGAACTCAGGCAGCAATCCTGCGGTGCAATGCGGGTGCTTGCCAGGACTTCACCCTCAAGAACATTAATCTGAGGCCACAGGTGTGTCTCCCTTCATATGGCTCCAACGCTCGTAAGACGGCTGACTCCAATATCCTTATAAACAGAGCGGCGTCCCTGCCACAATTCTTTGCAATAATCTTCCGATTGACTCGCCGGATCTAGGTATTGTATGTCAGAATGGAACGTTCGTGGAGACCTGATAGCTACGTGTGTGAGTCTACGGATGTTTCCGGAGCTGTGTCTTTTCAGGCTATCAGAGAAGATGGATAGTCACTGCCTCCAACAGCCTCCTTGGCCGGGATTAGCGAGCATTGATAACTGATCTTAGCGCTCTCGCAACATACCGATCCTCAGCCGGCGGACGTCAATGCACAGAATATTTATGTCTCGCCTCAGACGTCATGCTGTGTGCCTGCCACTTGAGTCCAGCAGCATGCCTTTGCAATGGTGGCCGTAGAGCAAGAACGTCGGTGAGGAGGGCAACTTCAGTCTCGAATGATGCGCTGCCAGTTTATTCTTGCAGTCGTCTACAACGTGTTTAGTGCTTGAGACGAATACCTGTTCCCTACGCTGAGCGTCCTTACCATCGAGATCTGCTTACCGACACTATCCCGAGAATAGAGGGGGTGAGTGGGCTCTCGCATATCTACGCCTCCAGGCTGTATTGATCCCGACACAATCTTCTTTGATACGAGGTACTTCGCTTCCATGTTCGAGGAATACTACCTACATAGCAGGTGCTATTGACACCCACGGGTTCTCCCTCAACTGCAATCTTGAGCGAAAAGTGAGATATAAGTAAATGGTGCTGTTCCTTGCTTCCTCCAGATTTTCCGGTCCCCCGCTACAGATACTGGACAAATGGCAACTCTTGAACATAAATGCCATTCTTGTCTGACTGCTCGATCTACATCGTGCAGCTCTGATTGCATTTTTGCTGACCCTGATGATGTCCCGTCGGTCGTGGCGCTTTCATTTGTTTCCGACTCTACTGCATCACACCGCCTAGGGTTGGGTCATACTCTTGACAGACTAACTGGACTTCTCGGAGAGCATCTGACAGCAGCTATAAGTCGGATCTCCGAACGATACCTCGGTGAAGGTAGGCAGGATGCTAAATTCAATTGACTGGGACGCTACCACTTGCAAGTCCATACTTTGCCCGAACAGCAGGTCCGGCCTGCAGAAAGCCAGCAATCTGGTTCTGCCTACGTTTCCTAGTCTCGGCGATATCATCCACCTCCTTTAGGCCCCGTACTGCCCACAATGTCGATCTTCGTATGCAGAGTCGCTGGCGCGCAACCACAAATTCCAAGCTGGATGTCAGAAATTGCTTCGTGATCTAAGATATGTTTGAGCAGATCTCGATGGCATCTACTGACCGCTCTTTGAAGCAACCGGAACCACTCTGTTATCCTTCTAACATCCTACTATATTTGTGCTTTGGCGTCTTTTCACTCAACACTTCGCGTCGGGTACTCGGGAGCGCGGATATAGTGCTAGCACTTGAGGCCGTTCTGCATGCTCAGAGGCTTAGCCGCTGCAGCGTTCGGAGGATCCCCGCCAAGCGTGCGATTGTGAGCGTTGCGGGAGAGGGTTGTTTGCCCGCCCTGAAAGAGTTGGATTCCCTCGAAATGGCGTTGAGCCGTTTCCATCATAGGAATCCCTCAGATAGCGAGGTCTGAACATTGTTTGACCACCACGCTCGCGTAACCATAAGCCTTGTGCATTACTTGATGTGAGTGGTCCTGAAAGTGCGTCGCGAAAGCCTCACACTGTACTTATGAGCTCCAGGCAACCGGAATATCAAGTCCTTGTAGCTTCGCGACTGACGCGCTCCGCAATTGATTACTGGTATCGTTGTTTTCAATGTATCCAAATGTACATGTGAAGGCCGCGTTCGACTTTGAAACGATCACGCAGCTCTCAGGCTGGTTGTCTCTTGCCAGGTCAACGGACCCGCCAATCGTTTTTCAACTCTTGCTATGCATCATCTCCCCTAAGTCAGGAAGCCAGAAACGACTCCGGATCAACGAATTGAACAGGCTGGAGACACTAGAACATGACTGGGATCATGCACATGTGGACCTGATCGGCCAGCTCATGAACCGGGTCATCTCTCGTCTATATGGATTCCAAGGAATACTTTGAACGGTCGATGTCCGATGGTAACTCGCGCGGCCGGCAATACCAAAGAGCGATACTTCCCACTCACCGCAATAGGAAGCCTTAGTTGGTCGCAAATAAAGCTCCGGTCTCGTCCCCTTGGCTTCCATAATTTACAGAGAAGCTCGGGAAGGCACAGGCGCAACGTAGCGTGCAGAGCGACGGGAGGGCTGAGAAAACGCGTGCCCACACAGAGAGGCACCTCCCGTGGGATACATGGCCATCGCCACGAATCATACTACGACTACTGGTAAACAAGACAGTGATTTCGCAAGGGTTTATAGTCACTGTAGCCTGGGCGAAGCTGTATGTCTTCTAGATAGTCCCTCTCGCAATATCCGTCTGGACCCTACCCCACTAATAAGCATACCTTATCCATGAATTAAGGCGATAGTCAGCTTACCCATGCACGCCAACACCTGCATAAGTGGAAGACGTCTTTGACAGGCAAGTCGTTGGCACGTTCTTCTCCGGTAATCCCATCTACTAATTTGGCTCTGATTGTCCGTAAGCGCCAATGGCCAAGGATGTTCGAGACGGATACACTTACTTTGTCATCCAAAAGACTCGAGTCCGGGTACGTCCCGCGTCTTTGGGAGTGCAAAGGACGTGTATGACACGTTCTTTCGTTTGCTGCATTTTCGACCCTTGATGTAGTAACTCGTCTCGTGTGATGACCAGGATACGATTCATCCCCTGGCCCAGCGGGGTGTCACGAAAGCGGCCAAGGTACAACTCAGAGGGACCCAAAAGAAGCTTAATCGGCTCGTAATAACCTGTATTACTGTGCAGTTCAGTGGCAGCTACCCAGAGTATGTCGCGATACGGGTGTTCAGTAATGAGATGCATGCAGTGGCATTGCTGATTATAATCCCAAGCGATCCGATCTGGTCTCCAGAGACCTCGATGAGTAGAATAGATCTATGGCAATGACATATCTATCAAGTCATATCGACCTTGGACAGAACGACGCACCTCTACTTCTGGCTTTTCGAGCACCGTCGAAATATAGGCAGCAACCCCGCTGCACCGCAGCCGATACCGAGAGTCGTCAGGATCAAGATTCACGCGAAAACTCTCCTTCCAGTTAAGAGACTGTATTCGCGGTCGAAATTCCAGGACACATCTCGTATCCCACCGAGGTGAGATCGCTTCCAAGATAGGTTTTACAGTGACAAAGTCATGGTAGTCGCGAACCCTAGATCAGGAACTCTTCAGTACCAGTGCGAAAGATTGATATGGACGCATAATCCTACCCAGCTAGCATCTCTGTTACGCGCGTGCATAGCTCAGTGAGGCGTGCGTGAGGTATGGCCCGCTGGAATTGCCTCGCAACTGGGTATCTGGGAAGACATCTTTCACGATAAAACATCCCCAGGCATTCAAACAAGGGCGATATGATCTGGAGCATAAGCTTGTAAACCGGGTCGGGACGAGCAGCTTCATAATCCCGCTCTATGGCAGTTTTATTGATGAGGATATGCCTTCGTAAATTCTCGATTTGATCCTGTGCCTCCCAACTCAGGCGCGAAGGCGTGTAGCGTGAACTAAAGAAGGACAGGCAGGCGGCTTCTAGAACAGGTTCCCTGATGCTCTGGAGAACGTTGGGGAACTCTAGCCTAGTGGATGCGAGTCCATATTCGAAATCACAAATGACATGATAGATGGGTACTCACCGCAATCTGAACAACGGCATTAGTAGGCAGTCCCAGGGCCACAGCAGTTTCGCTCTAGTCCCGTGTGCGGCAGAAGGTAGGTCTTCTTCGTAATACCAGCCCCACATCATGAAGTTATAGATGTCGCACATGAAGCGTTCATAGGTAGCTATCACGATGGGGTCTGTCGCCCGTGCAAGAGAGAGCCAAAGTCGCATGACTGTTTCACCATTCAAATTTGCCCTGAGGCCAGGATAAAGAGAAAGCAATGATAACCATTGGTCGACGGAAGAGCGAGATATGCGTGAAGCAATGAGGAGAAGATGGTGTGGTTGCCTAGGGATTCATGAATGTTAGTGGAGCTCGAGGTATAACTTCGGACGGCTTACGTTAAGCAATTCAAAATGTTCCTCGTAACCTGGATGCCTATGGGCAACAACCTCTTTGTCTCTACCTCCGATGCAGCCATGTGGTAGTAGCTGTTCAACCTTGCTTCCAGTGCATCGAATTCCTTCACAGCAGGTAAACACGAGTCACCGGCTAGGCTGATGACAGCACGCTCGGCAGATACTCTAACCGCTCTGGATATTGACGGTCGACTAAATGGTAGAGCAACCTGGAGCCCTTGGATCAGATCAGCCTCTACGAGAATTTGCCGAACAGTCGGGTGAAAGGATGCCAAAGCACAGCAATAGTAGGCAGTGAGCATAATAACAGAGCCGTTGTTCTGACTGGATTCTGCACAGTTAGCACATGCGAATAGGAGAGACAAACCGGACGAACCGTAGATCACGTAGAAATTTCCGGCAACCTGCTGTGAATTCATTACTATGCGCTAGAGCATCTGCATAGAGTCTCCTGCAGCGCTGGCAATACGGTGCATAGAGCACATGAGTAACATCCTGCATCGTAGGTGGGCTCGGAAGTATCCGACGAGGGGAAATAGGCTCCACGCCAGAGTCGCGGCGATTATTTGGACAGAAAGGATAAGTGCAAAATGGGGCGCTCCAGTCAATAGAATTGAGCATCCTCCCTATATGGGCGTTGGGACCTTTACACAGGTACCTCTCGGAGAAGCGGCTCACGAGGGACGTTACACGACGCCCGAGGGGGCTAAGCACCCCGTCTATGGTACTGCCCAGTCCTGGCCTGCCCGAAGCAGTAGAATTAGAGTCGCATTGTGACTGGATATCGTCCGGGCAGCAGCTATCACGACAACGAGCAAGGGCATAAGAATTAGTGGCAGTTGTGATGTCGAGATGGACGAAAGCGAGTTCAGACAAACTCATGGTTACGGTTTGATCGTACGATGAAAGAACAGCGAAATCGAGTCAGAGGGCGGAGATGCAGAACTCAGTAATCTGGGGTCTTATACGTCTTTGTCTCTGCGGCACTCCCGTGTCGACACGAAGTTTTACCTCAGGTCTCGAGGAATGTGGCTCCGGCCGGCATTGATTGCATAGCTGAAAGGTATCGTGGAAGATCGGCGCAAGGACAGAGCGGTACCTTGCTTCAGCGAGGAGCAAACATCCCTAAGAGACCGGAATTTCCACTTCGAGCAATGGGTCTCGCGAGATTGAGATGATAAGTCTCTAGTCAAAATCGATCATAGACGCCACTCACGGAAAGGCCCGGTGGCAGGGTGTCTTATTCGTAGATCAAAACTGCGCCCGACAGCCAAACGCCACAGAGCCTTGCGGTGAGATGATATTCTATCGCGCCAAGAGACAGGTGACAAGGAGCGCACTTCGCCTTCATCAGAGGCGAGGAAGATTTCTTCTATAAGTTCATTCCTTTCCGTGCTTATGCGTTCACTGAATAGTGGATACTGTTGCATCCCGTCCGTCAGCAGGAATTTTCGCTCAGGCATATCCACTCACATTCTAAAAGTACAGAACATAGGAAGGTCATTTGACGTCTTCCGCGATACGCAGCGCCGGAGATTTAGCTACAGCCAATCTGAGGACCTCCGAAGGCTTGAGACGCGGATTAGGTTAGATCTTCTCATCGTGGTATATGCATAGCATTTGAGGCGCGGTAGGCTCTCAGTCATCCACTGATCTGTACTGTGCATAGCACTGGCACTTGAAGATGAGCTTTAGCTGAACAGGCACTATGGTGTCCTACTCCTCGCCGTCTAGTGGGTGTTATCAATAAAAGGTAGGACCTCGCTTTGCAGGAGCATGGACGGAACTCCATACACCTATTAGAAATGGCCAACATACCGGAACAAGATCTCGTTATCGTGAAAAAATGTAGACGCTAATGAGCGGTGTGTTGGGAGCCAGCATATGGGGAGCATCATATGTTCTATCCTTGAAACATCCCGCTGCAACTGTAACTCGATGAAACTTGATTAGAGGGATTGCGCGCCTGGTCGCCCGACGTCAGACGCATTTGTTGTAAACGCTAGGCCTTCAGCGCAACGAGGGTAAGCGATTTCACCCGCTGTCACTGTCGGGGCATGAATTGGCCGCAGCCCATGAGAGATCAGTCCTGGTCTCGAAGCATCACGGGCCTCGTCCACGGTCCGAAACGAACAGCGATAATCCCCTCCGAACGCAGATTTACGCAGTCGTCGGAAACGCAGCGGCTGCATGTAAGAAAAATCGTCATGTAATCAGCTCTCATCGATGACGAGGAGTTTCGAGAGTACTTGCAAGATCACACATTACTGCCAGTGGTAACAAGCTGCTGCTTCATATACCATGTGGCCTCATCAGATATTGTCCACCAAGCGCGACTCCGATGTTAGCACTGGCACTGGCAGCTCCTGCCACTAGTACGGGTGACTGTCAATGTTAATGCGGGTGGCAGCCATACAATCCCCGGATCTTGCGTTCCGGATGTGCTCGGCAATTGCCGCCTGCGTCACCCGTGGACTGTCATGAAAAAACAAGGTAAAATAGGATGAGCGTCGCGTCGTAACGTCTTTCATTAGTGTACAATTAGTTCTAGTATACGCAGTACAACATGGAAAGAAAAGACTATCTTCAGTGCTTCTCCTTGTCCCCATGAGCCTCCACATCCACTGTCTCGGTATGCACCTCGTCCTCCTCTTCCTCAAACAAATCCTCCTGCGGCAGTATCTGATTAAGCACGACAGCGACAATCCCTGATATCAAGACTGCAATCACACCCTCAGCAACATACGTCAGTCAATCAAGTCCGGAAGGAACTCACAAGGTGTGCTCAGGACGATCGTAATCGAATCAAACAGCCCTTGTAGTCCCTTATTCGGGTTCCTGACGCCATCAAACAGGTGCGTGAAGATTGTCGGCACTAGGAGGTCTCCGATCCCAAAAGACAGAGCGGCGGCTAGGACGAACCGGTCCCGTCGGGTGAAGCGGTTATACGAGAGCACACGGATGCCAGACACGGCGACGGTCGCGAACAGGAACGTCGTGACGCCTCCCAAGACTGGGTTCGGTACTGTTGTTCTCCCGTCAGAAATCACACAATGCGAGCGGAAGGAGATTAGATCTCACTAGCTAAGAACACCCCCGAGATCTTGCCCAACACCCCGAATAAGATCAGGAAGAAACAGCACCACCTCCCGGCAGTCCGGTTTGCGCACCGAGTGATCGCGATCACTCCATTATTCTGCGCGAATATGCTCAGGGGCGTGACCGTGAAGAGCGCGGAGACGAATCCCCCAATACCGTCGGACAGCACGCCGCCCTGGATACGCGAGTCGAACTCCTCCCCGTCGACTGCGACACGCGACACTTCCGAGGAGGCAGTGATGTCCCCGATGGCTTCCATCGCAAGCGAGACTACATCGCGCGGGTGAGTTGGAGTAAGCTACCACAGGAAGGGACTTGGCGTACTGTAGACGGCCAGCATGGGCAATATGGCTGGTGGGTAGACACGGATTTTGAACGTCTTGACCCACAAGAATGTGATCGCTGGTGCAGTCTTGATCGAACTCCCGTCGATGTAGCCCGCTGCCCCCGCCACTATACATCCCACCGCGAGGCCCACAATAATACTGATATTCTTCATGAAAGGGCTCCCAAACAGCTCTGTCAAAATAATACTAACGAAGCTGAGGAAGCCCAGACCAATGAACTCCGGGCTACCCCAGGGGAGGGGGCGCGGGGCCAATGTGGTCGGGCAGAGCTGGAATATACCTGACGCGGGTCGGGACATGCAGTCGTTGGATCCCCCGCCCCAGTTCGGAATACCCGAAGAGCCGATGAGGGATGCGCCAATCATGAGGATGACGGTGCCCGTCACCAGCGGCGGGAAGATGCGCTGCAAGATACGCGGCGAGACGAATGACATGAAGATTTCCAGGAAAGAGCAGATTAGGGAGGTACCTGCACATGAACCGTTCAGGGGACGTTCGCAGAGAATAAGCTAAGACATACCGAGCACGTATCCGTAGGCATCGGGGCAGGGCCCGCGAGTTACCGTACCGTCTGCCGCCGTAGTGGAGGGGCACGTGCCATCAGAATACATCGCATTGAAAATCTGAGCGGCGAGGAGAACATCAGTTTGAGCCTACCGAGGGCTGTTCAAATGTACATACAGCATTGGCTGTACTGAGAGTGGCAAAACTCGTCCCGACTACTGTGATCAAACCGGTCCCGATGTAATAATTTCTGAATAGTCGAGTTCTAGACATCTGCACCAGACTCAGGATCCCTGCCGTCCCAGTGTCAGCCGAGGTCTGCGAAAAGCTTTGGATAGCAATATAAACTCACCGCATCCGATCAAGCTGGCGGAAATCATGTACGAACTCGTCGCCGCATCCAGATTCAAAGCACTGGCAAAGATGATCGGAGGAGTAATTAGTCCGGCGAGCATGGCAAGTGCGTGCTGGAGTCCCGTAGTCATGGCTAGTACCAGCGGGAGTTCCGCATCCAAGGCGTAGAAAGGCGGAGACCTCCTCCGCGCCAGCCTCGCTTCCCTGGATCCGTACGCAAAGGGCAGAGTAGGCATGCAGAGCCAACCGTAGTCATAGTCACCAAGCCAACCGTGCCTAGTACTGACTTTGTTCGCCCAATGAGTCGCGCGGGCCTTCAGCTTGGAAGCGCGCGAGTTTGAGGGTGCCTCGAGACGCGGGGAAGGCGTCGGCTCCGGCTGCTCCTTGACCATGGTGGTTGATATAGAGGACATCTTGCCTTGTCGGTCGACTAGAACTCGGGCGCAGATGGAGACCCGCGCTCGATTCGACCGCTGGCGGCCAGGATTTATATAGCAGCAGCGTCAACGGCGTTTGAAAATTCTCCGAGACTGTCACTGGAGATAAGGGTCCTCTTATCTATGCGGGTCCCCAGTTTGTACCTCGATCGGCTCCTCTAGAGCAGCCACGCTCTGGATTTGAACGCCACATTCCTGCAGAGGTTAAGAGACTACTTAGTCGCTCCATACCTGTCCGCTTGAAGCGAGTATGCCACAGAATAGCGAGGCAGGACTCAGCATAGGATGTCCGACTCGCGCGCCGGCTTCGCTCACGTGACATCAATTTGAGGGCGTCGCGTCGCGTACGCGTCCGGCAGTCACCTTATCGTCAGGGGCCATGTTGTTAGTTCGGGAGTGTCAGTTAATCTGCCAGTGCTCGGCAGGCCCGGGCAGGCTACTATGTCAAGAAACAGATGCAGGAGGCACCAGCGAGGGCGCAGCTGGGCGGGGGGGGGGGAGAGAAGATGGGGGGATGAAGAAAGAGAGATAACATTGTGACAATGACCGGCTCTGATATATAAATGGGGCACCATGAGAAGAGAAGCAGTCACGGTCCTACATATGCCAGCGCCAGAACCACTTCAGGAAGTGCCAGTCCTCAGTGCACTATGCAAGACACAAGAGTAACACGTGTATGTGCCGTACTATTAAGCAGGTCAAAGATACAGAGGACAATCCAAAGTGATCCTGTTAGTTAAAACACTTCTCAAAATCCCCCTCCCCATCACTCCTCGCGTACGCCTGACTCTCTACAAACCGCCCAAGCTCGCACAACCCCGTCCCATCTCCACAAAACTCGAGCGGCTGCACCGCATCGTTCACCAAAATCCTGACATGCTCCTGTCCGACACACGCCAGCCTCTCCACCGCCATCCGCGCCGAGAACGGCACAATATGCGTCGTGAGCCACGTCCGATCCGGATCCGGCTGCCGCGGGTCCAGCGGCGCGGACTGCTTGAACAGTCCCATGGCGGCAAAGATCGCCACCATCTCGTTGTCGTGCGAGAAGTCCGCGTAGATCGTGCGGTCCAGCGGGAACGTCGCGCGCGACGAGTCGAGCGTTGAGTTGGTCTGCGTGTGATCCTGTACTGGCTGTCCCGTGAGCCGTGCGAGGAGCTCGTTGATGTAGCCGACACCTTGAACGGGACCGAGTGGCTGCCCGTACCTGCAATTCAATTAGCGCACAGCACTGTAGGGATGAGGGAGAAGAACGCATACCCAGTACCGTAGTATTTATCCAAGTCCCCCATGTATTCAAACCCCGCAAACTCCTCATCAGTGAAGAGCCTACAGAACGCGCTCGTGTTCTCCTTTGCGACGGACTCAAAGGGGCACAACGTCATGATGTTGTACGTGTCGACGTCAGTGAGATTCGCCCCTGGTGCACCAGCGTTCAATCGCGCCGTGATATTGGGCGCGAAGACCGACAGCCACGCGTCTGTTTGAGCGTCATTGCTACCAGCCTTAGGGCACATGGCATCGTCGAGGGTGTCGTTCAGCTGCATAGTCAATAAGAACATAATCAATTCATCAGAAGAGTGTATACGCACGGATTCATCGATGATGACAGATACTTTTGGGGCGTATAGACCTCCGTTAGCGTGTGCAAATCCTGTAAAGCCTATCATCAGAAAGCTAGCATCGATACATGTCACACCACTATTACCTGCTGTCCAATTGGAAGCTGAATCCACCACTCGTGTCGAGCCGGACGCGCGCACGAACGGTATACTGCTCTCATTTACAAGGCCAGCATATCGCTGGTACACGGCTTGACCAGCTTCAAAGGATCTTAAGCCAGTCAGTCCCAGCGCGAGTCTCAACCTCGACCACTTACTGGGTGGCACCAAGACCAACGAGGTCGTCCGTGCCCAGGTCGTACTTGAACATTTTGAGGAAGCGTAAGCTGGGATCCGTGTATGTTTGTACGGACTGCAGCTTGGCCAGCGCAGAGGTAAGGCGTTGAGCCGCACCTGAGGTAGGATACCTCGCTCCGTGCCGCTGGATCTTCACAATTGTTCAGTTGCCGAAAGTGGTCCATTCCGTATGCGTACTTACAATATTGACCTTGGTTTTGTTTCAGTACAGGCCCATCGCGTTCGGTTGAGATACTCACCTGCGTTACACTGCATCCCTGTGGCGGAGTTACATACTCCTCAACAGCATACCATGGCGAGTACTGGGCCCAATCCCGAAAGTTATCCGGCAACTCGGGCAAAGCCAGCACTAAGCTAGTGCCCTCTGCAGAATAACTCCAAGCCTTCCCGGAGAGCAACAGCTGCACCACGGCCACACATGCCAGAAAGCCCATGATCAAAGCGAGGGTCGATCTCGTCGTTCCCGCCTCAGGCTTTCGTACTCTTGGATGATTCTCGTTCCCATGATACGGGGGAAATAGAGCACCCTTCCGCTTGGCCATCCCTACGATGCGGACAGTCGGGTTGTGAGCAAACGTCGCCGACTGCAACTTCGCATGGTCAGGATGTACACAGCCCGGCAGTATTTGTACAAATGTTGCGTCAAAATCCGGAATCAAACGTTTGCGCTGAGATTGCCAAACAGGAGCAAGAAAATCGCCCTCGCGAATGAATCAGACCGAATATTTGCATGAGTTTCTTGCCGCGGGATAGCGCAAATGTTGCACAAATAGAGTCACATGACCTGCACGGGACTGATAACATCAATCACGCCATATGCCTGGATTGGTCCCCTTTCCCACCCCATTGCTCGACGGCGCAGCTCATATGGATGCATGGAAAACAATGTAATCATCATATGTATCTACTACATACACATATGAGCATCTAATGATACATCTTGCATGTCGCAAGACCCAATCTTCCTGTGGTGCACCTACTATTTCAGAGATGAAAATACTAAGGTGATATGCCGCACGCTCGTCGGCCTATACAACTTCTGCATCATCAGTATGTTCAGAGACTGCAAGAGTATCACACTTACCCATGCAAATCGAGCATCAGCGAAGCATCGCTGTAGATATGGTACACGTACCATGTCGAGTAGAGACAACAGCTACAACAGGTCGAGAGGAGCTGAGGCGAGGACAGGCAGATGGTGGTGGTTGAAGGGAAAGAGAGGATGAGAGAGAAATTTGTTCAAGTCCAACTCCAACCGTTACGAGCGGAGATTGAACTCCGGCACCTCGGCATGATGAAGGAGCGACGCGACGTGTCACGAGACCACCGGCACGCCCCCGTGCCGATAAGTCCGAGTCAGAATATTGCGCAATGGAATCCACGACGCAAATCCTTTGCAACCTGTATTGCAACGGTTGCACAAATGGCACGCACGCAAAATGAGTGCGACTGTTACGCAAAAGTACTGAGAATTATACTACTGACATTTGCACGAACGCCCCTTGGATTTTTTCACCAGATTCTGGGCTGGCCGTGTACTGGTAAGCTCAACACGTTCGTGGCCGCCACGACCCGGTCACGGAGACGAACGCGCGCACTTGCAAGCCGATCCCGCGGAGACCGATGCGCACGTGGCTGCTGTGTGGCTTCCCCGGGACAGCGGCCAGTCTTTGGTTCTGCCAGTGCCAGGCAACATCAATCCTTTGACGGGATCAGTCCACCGGGTAAGAGCTCGAAGTAAGTAACTCACAGTGAAGTCAAAGCTCTGTACGTCGGGTCGACACTGTCCGCTGTTGAGAGCTCTTGAGAAAGGCAGGAGTTTCCATCGACGATGCCTGAATGGTGGCGGTTGAGAGGAGAAGGGCGAGGAGGTGAGAGACGGCCTGGATTACTTTTTTATCTGAACTCTGAAAAGGTACATATATCGCGCGTCCACATATGTTAACTCAGTCAAATTGAATCCTGGTTTCCTTTCTCCAACATATCTATATTGGGAAATTGCATCTCCATAGTAGGCACGGACTGTCGCCTCGGAGCCGCCCCGATTCCAACGGGCCCCACAAGAATTATTTGATTCTGACATATTCAAAGACATCGTGTCTATCATAACGTATACAAGTTCATTCTTTTCCATCAAGGGTCCAGTCCGTCCTAACCAAACAAAAAGGCGGCCAAAACGGCGGCAAGGGAGAACAAGGAGGAACGGGATTAAGGGGCTCGTAAAGTAAGGGCATCGCAAACAACAACTTGCAACTTAACAATAAATACGACGACAGAGCTTATGCAATGAGGTATTGGACCCGCCTGTGGCGTCTGGTGCTTTAGTGCTTCCTGGGGAGGAAAGCAAGCTTGCACTTCATGGACGCCGGGAAAATGACCTGATAACTGGACGTCAGGATGTGAGCATTCATGTAAAGCGAGCTACGAACAAAACTGTCTCTCATATCCATACTCTTCTCACTGGTCTCCGCAGGAGCCACAACCGTAAAGTTCGAAGCGATGGCCGCTACGACGATTCTCAGCATGAACTGAGCTAGGTTCTGACCGCCGCAGACTCGGGTACCTGTGCCGAAGGCCATCAGGTGCTGGTTCATGCGAGTGAGGTCCTCGGTGCTAGTGACAGTCTCGAGCCAGCGCTCAGGGAGGAACGACTCCGGGGACGGGAAAATCGAGGGCTCTCGGTGCATAGACCATGCCTGGGTTGCAACCACCGTGCCGGAAGGCAAACCGTACCCCATGAGATCGAAGACCTCGTTCATTTCGCCTTTCTTCCCCGTGGACGACGGAACGACTCGCTCAAGCAGGCTGGGAGCTGCACCGTAAAGACGGAAACCTATACGGATGTGTGAGGATGACCCGTCACATAGCAAGCGGCTAGGTACTCGCCCTCTTTGAGGAATGCATTCAAATACGGCAACTTCTGCAGGACCGAAATATCGGGGATAGCCGTATTGTCAGGCATCGCCGCGTCGAGCTCCTCCCGAAGCTTGGCGACGATATCATCACGCCTACTGAGCTCCCAGCACAGGTACGACAGTGTGGTAGAGGTAGTGTCTGAACCAGCGATCCTACGGACGAAGGATATTAGTTAGGTCGAGAGGAGAAGCACAAACATACTCACAGATGTCCCATGCATTCAGAGATAACATCTTCATCAGACATAGGAGAGTCAGCGATGCGGTACTCAAGTAGCCGTCTGAGCAAGGAGAGTCTGTCCGAGTCTTCTTGACCGGCATTTCTAAGAGCCAACCGTGAACGAGTCTCGTAGACTCGATCGGATACATACTATCGAAAATCCTGAACAACTCGGCGCATATGTAGCAAGCGTACTGATTTAACACACCTCAGCCATGATTTTATCAGAGTCGCACAGTTGACGGAGACGTTTGTTGGGTATACTGCAGACGAGTTTCCAAGCCCAGGTTGGGACGGCGCTCCTCTAAGTCAAACAACTCAGTCTACGCCTTGTTAGAACACTACAGGACTGCTTGCCAGAATGCCTCGCTTGGGGAAGTCGTTGATTGCTGTAGAAAGCGCATCCTCCGACTCGGTGGTCCAATTTGCAAGGGCTCCGGCCTCGTGGTCGAACGAAGACGCGCATACGACGTCGACCATTAACTGGCGGAAAAGAGTCAGGCAGTCCAAGGCCGACTTCCCTCCAAGGTTCTCCAGTATCTAGCTGATGGTCAATGATGGAACAAGACAATGGGCATAGACGGTGACTTACGCTGACGAGCTTCAACGTGAGATGGTGCATCTCAGGCTGGAATAAAGACAAGTTTGCGGTCGTGTAGTGAGAAGCGTAGCCCTTCCTGCGGGCAACGTGACGGGCATGTTCGAGAGTGGTCATGCTATTGTAACGCGTCAGTCTGTCGTCCAGGTAACAGCTATTCGCGATCTTACGCATGGTCGTTATTGTTCCTGAGCGAAGATATTAGCGTGATCTCTGCCTGATTGCACAGATAGCACCCACGTCAAAAGACTCTTGTAGTAGGGGCTCTTATCGAACTTGTGGACGCTGTATACTCTCTTCATCGTCGTGATATCGCGGAAGACGATTTTATTGGGACCGACGCGAACGACCGGACCATACTGGTCGAAGAGTCGCTGGACTATTTTGCATTGCTGGAGGCGAACGACGTGCGTCGTGAGCCAGAAGTCGGAGACGGCTGCGTACCACGGGCCGGGGATGGTATTGAGAGGAGAGAAAGCAAGCTGATAGATGGCGTTGACGATAACATAGACGAAGGTGCAAGATAGCGCAGCATAACAGAGGTTTCGCGGGGTAGATAGCGGGGACAACAGAGTATCGATGTATGCGTTCATTGTGAAGGTCGGTATCGAGGGTAAGGCCGCGAGAAAAGATCGTTGGGAAAAGGAGCCCTGGTCGCTGTGGGGGATCCTGGGAGGGGATAGTCGTGGTAGGGAGGAAGGGGGCGCGTGGGGGCAGAAAACAGCAGGCTGCGACTTTATAGGTGGAGGACATGGCGTGATGTGGTGAAGTGCCAAGGGGTGAAGGACGCGGTGGGTCTAGGGCCTTTCCAAGAAGGATTCTAGGATCACCTCCGCCGAAGCGCACGCCACATTGGTGAACGAGTTCCCTCGCAATTACATCAGCCACATCCTTTCTGGAAGGCACAGAACCTCCGTGCCTCTTCCCGATCTGGAAGGCGGATTGCCTTTTGCGAGACGTAGCGGCTCCTTCACGGCGCTTCTCGCTGTCCAACACGTCCGGAGGAAATCGTCAACAATTTGTGAAGAGTATTCGAAGCATCCCGAGCGGTCCCGAGGGCACCCTTCACGATTGCACTCTTCAATGGCCACCGCCACCTGCATGACGACGGACGGCGAAGGCAACGGCAGACGAGAGAGCGCCAGCATTCTTCCAGGCCCAAGTCATTTCGGTGCCGGCGAGAATGGACAAATCGTAAGGCTGAATGCGGACTTCCTTTCGAGATAGACAGAACTCAGTCGCGACAGCCATCCGCTCCGGACTGGTCGGGTGATTGAGAATTGTCGTTCTCTGTCCCAGCTTCCAGATGATATCGGGGCTAGCGAAGACGGTTGACAGCCTTCGGTTTCATGACACAAAGCAGGAAAATCATGGAGATGTCACAGCGACAGTGTAGACTACTTGACAAGCGCATGTGCTACGCCAGCACCAGATGAATACATTCGGTGGCGTGTCTTCAGGTGTCTTCTGGCTCGTTGTTGGTTTTGCGTAAACAAGTTCCGGCCTGGCCGCTTCCCGGATATTCAGTGCAACGATCAGCGAAGAGACGGATAGGCAATGAACCTCCGAAGCGCACTTGCAAGCACGGCTCGAGTAGTCTTCTATTCATCATGATAGTCCGGAACTAGCGTCGTCGCATCCAACGATCAGCAGTAGATGCTGGGCGGTCCTGAGAATGTTTCGAGACGTAGCGCACTATGAACCTTTGTTGAATCCTAACGATGCTCTACACTGGTCGGGTGACTGAGAACTATCGTCCTTCATCCCATGATCCAGACGATATCGGGATTGGCTTGGACCGGATCAGTGACAGTTGTTGACAGCCACCGGTTCATAAGTCAAAGTCGAATAAGCATCGGAGTGCCACATTAGCAGTGCAGTATACTTGACAAGCGCATGTGCTACATCCAGCACGATGGTGAATACATTCAACATACTGTGTACAGCGGCGTATCTGCCGCACGTTCGGTTTCAATTGCAGGGATTCGGGTCTGGCCTCCTCACGGATATCGATAGCAAGGATCAGCGCAGAAATGACGGTGTCACACACCTCTGATGAGCAGTGAAACTTAGCCGGGTTGACTGGGGAAGGGTGCGCAGAGTTTTTTATTGATACATCGGTTTGGGACTAGCGTCGTCGCGAGTACCCTATCAAAGGCTCAGCAACAGACATCGGACGATGTCCACAAGGTTCCGAGACGTAGCCGCGCTATGCACCTCGGGTTGATCTTCTACTGGAATGAGGAACAAAGGTAGTCGAGGTGCAAGATCCCGCCAGGCTCGCTAAGCAAAAAACCTTTGCATTCTCGAAGTCATTCCAATTGGCCAAAATCGAGCACGCCAACGGGATGGAAAAGAATAACTTGCTTATCCGTTCTTCGAGATACAGCCAGGCTCCGGTACACCGGTGATGATTGCGTCTAGGGCCACCATCGGTGCACTGGCACAGGAAGTCCTTCGGAGATCATGATACATTGCCCGATCGACCACCGTCTTCCGTCGCCCAAGGGTATGGCGGGAGCACAGAGTACCATAGAATAAGACTGGCAGGGCCTCGAGTACAGTACAGTGCCGCAGGCATGGCAGGTGGCGGATCGACGTCCAGGTACACCAACAGCGTGTCGTAAGATAGGGAGCCTTTACAAGGTTCACGCTGTTATGCGTATCCATCCTTCCGGTCATAGCCAGTAAAGTCCGCATCGTGGTACCTCGTTAGGGGTCTCGGTAGCCAGCGGTCCAAAGCGGCGTGCTGGTAAGATAGCCACGACGAGATCGGTGCGTCTGCCTCACTAGGATCTGGATGCGCGCAAGGCTGGCTAAAAGACTAGTATAGACATGAGGCGGAGTAACAGCTAACAGGGTAATCCACCTCGCGCGCAAGGCCGTTCTCTAGAACGAGGGACGATCATGACAGCAACTCTTCGTCATCTCCGACGTCTTGCGAGTACATACCGGACCAGCGTTATCGACGAGGAAGTTATAAAGCAGATGCACAATCGCGATAATCATCCACTCAACTTTGAATGGGAAATCTGAGATATGCTTCCGTAGGCAACCCCGATTTGGTAGGCAAGTGGCGCTACCGGGCGTTGTGGCGCGCGGAATGTGACAGTCCGGAGGATGGGCCCTGCACACTTGGATGGAGGGCCCGGGATGTAGAGCCCGATACACTAAGATGTAATGCTCCTCACACTCCTCGCTACCGACAAGTTCCTTATGCGCTCGTCGTTGATTGTACAAACATTCTGTAGGAAGTCGTGCAAGTCTGAATTCTCTGCAATAGCATCCACTGTGTATGTGACTGCACACACAACCACGCTTGCGACGAGCTCAGCGGACGCAGGTCTGATTTACACGGCCAAGTGTTGCCCACCAGCGAGGAGTACGACAACAACGCATCAGACCGTCGTAAGTATTTCCAGGTGATGAGTCCCGCAGCCTATCTTCATCGGTAAGGAGCAAGGCGATATGCCACCGTAAAACATCAGACTCGGCAGATCATTGTTTCAAGAATGTACCGTAGAATTAGTAACTACTATAAACGTGTCATGGCATCTTTGCAATCGTGAAAGCATCGTAAGCGACAAACAACGACAAGATTCCAAGGTCCGTGAGCCGTATCATAGTAAATATACAGATATATTGCACGCATAGATCATTGCCACCGAATCACCAAGGAACCCAAGACAGAAATTCGACAAGGACCAGGATTACCGACCTCCCCATAGTGGCAAGTCGGTGGCACTCTTATCCGGAGAACTGGGCTCACCTCCAATGAGTTCCCCGTCGGAATCGTAGGTATCCCCTGGATCTCTGTCCGGGGCACCCTCTTCACTCTCATCGGCCGTCAACCGAAACCTAGACACCATAGCCTCGGGCATCGACCCCACGCGGTCCTCGAGGCTTGCGCTCGCGGTGGACGTCGGCGAGTCGGGTATGCGGAAGACTGGTGTCACCGATCGCGGGCCGCGTCCAGGGATATAGTGCGGCCTGGCCAAGGGCCAGGGAATGGGCGACGTCTGGTCGGGCGGGGTGATGTACCCTTGCGGAGGCAGCGGGTACATCACGGGCTCTTCTACCCCAGGTACGTAGAATCGGTCTGGAGAGGCGGACAACGGTGGAGGGGTGACGACTGTTCGAGGCGGGAATTCGTATGCGGGAGACGAGGAGACGTGGTCGGCGAAGAAGGTATATACGTATCCGGGAGAGGCGGACGACGACGGCTGCCGTGGACTGAGGTAGTCTGGTCCTTCTGGGCGCAGACTCTGCGAAGGCTCCGCAGTGATGGGTGAGAATGCCTCGGCCGCGGACTGACATGTCCGGTACCGGGTACCCAGGATATTCCCACTATCAGATAACATGAGGATTAGCTACCACTATGGTACAGAGGGGCACTCACCACACGGCACAGCCGATGCCCTCCTTTAGACAGCCACATCCGCTTCGGAGGATCATTAGCGATCGGGTGCCTTTGTCGAAATATGACTCGTCTAGGGAAACAACGACATCTGAGGCATCTGATTTGGCTGTCCAGACACCGCATCGTCGGCGGGGCGTCGCATTCGCATGCAGGAGGGCACCGCAACCGTTTGACCGTTTCCGAGACTCCCGACGACGTGGCCGTGGCGCTTCGTTCGTATCAGGATACAAGGGGAGCGGAGAAGGTCTATACGACGACGACTGAGGGAACATGTCGTCCTCTGAGTCCGATTCCTCTTCCCTTCCGCAATAAAGTGTATAGAACTTGGGCTCCTCGTCCTGCACCGGTTCGGATACGGTGTCCCACTCCCTTCTGAGAGTTTCCTCGTCACTATCTCCATTCTCTCTCGAATCCCAAGGTGGTAATGAGGATGCATACGAGTCGCGACGATTGGATACCCTGTGAGTGTAATCTAAGCGCATAGCGCCCCGTCTGCGTAACCTCGAAGTTTCGCCTGTCCGCACCAAGTCCGAAAGCACGATAGAGTCGTCAGCATCGGTTGGAACAAGCGCGGATTCGTGAGTAGTGGTTTCTTCGCTATGCGGACGGTATACAAGAGGCATCAGAAAGAATCAATGTGAAAGCCAGCAAAGGAAGATTATGGCTCGAAAGCAAGAGTGTGTTGCCCGGTGGCGTAGGCGGGGCATGTTTGCCGCATGCTTGCTTACGTAAGGTGTCGGCGTTCACCGCATCGCCACAATCCGCCACACTTCGTTCCACGGCATAAATAGCAAACACGACACGAAATATACATGAAATACGAAATAATAGATGCAGGTATTCCAAAGAGCTTAAGGATGCGGCACTTGGGGAGGTATCCAGCTCACGGCAACAGAGTTCGGTCTGAGAACTCGAACGACGCAACGATGATGAATATCAGGACTGTCTGGATCTCGGTATATCGAGGTATGGTCTACGCCTTCAACCCCATGCCTTCATAAAACACCGTCAGGGCTGGAGTATAAGATATGGCGGCTGACTCACATAGAACGAAAGTGTAGACTCATATATTGTAGGGGCACTCTGGCACGGCAAATGCCACAGAAATAAGAAGTGGATGCTTCCCGGCAACAGCATGCGATTGGAGGACGTATTGACGGTATTTCCCTTTCATGGAGCCGTTCCAGCGTTCGAATGTATGCAGCTGAAGCGTCATCTAGTTTCGTCCAAGATATGTGGCCGATATTCCCTGTATGTTGCTTCAAAGCATGCTCGATCTATAAAAGTCATAAAAAACAGGCGCGCAACCGAGTACCTGCGTGGTACTCACCGCGGTCCTCCAGGTCATACAGTACAGAGTCGAATTAGTGCTGCAAGTGTTACACATGAATCTCCAATCAAGCGCGTCCATGTCCTTCGCGAATGTGAAGCTGGAACTGTGGCCACCGAGCCTTACCAGTGTCGCCGCAACTTCAGCAGCCTCTGCATGATGCGCGATTTTTTTACCGTCGAAATTCCAAGGTTCGTGGCCGAGGGCCTTGAAAGTCGACCACTGTTCGGCGGACCTGTCCTTCACTGCATAATTTAAAGCGGTCATGTGGTGGTGGCACAGAATCCTCGGATAGTTCAGAATCTCGTCGCAGCCGGTGCAGACTCCGACGCACTTGAACCAAGTAGTCGCCAGATCCAGTCTTCGAATGTCGTATCCCGGCAGTCCATACGGGCTCCAAGGTACCAGGCTGAGCAGGAAGTTCTCTGCCCTTCCCCGCCAGAAGAAGGCTAATTCACGAAGCCGGGGGATGAGCTGAATCATCGCGCTGTGGACGTGGTAGTCTTCGGGAGATTCCATCAAAGCCTGGAACTCCTCCATGTCGCAGAAATCTGCTACACTTGGCAAGAGCTGATCCAGGCGGAGACTGGAAGCATACGCTTGCACTACTTTGGCCAGGATCGCCTGGCGGTGCCTAATCAATCTTCTACGCTCCTCTGTTTCGCGCTGGGCCCTCATATCATCGAGGAACCTCTCCAATTCTGCTTGAATCGCGGCCCAACCTTAGAAATACCGAAAAGTGAGTCAATCTGGCGGTGAAGGGAGGAAGGCCATACCTTTGTCCGTAAGCACCTTAGTCTCCCTGACATGTTGGTGGGCGGAGAAAGTTCCTGGTTTCCATTCGTCCAGTTTGCGCAGCTCCGCGGTCCATCCAAGCGCGCCTAGTCTTTCCCGAATTCTTCGCGCAAGGCTTAGCTTCCAACATGCGAGAAGTTGTGTCATTGCCACTTACGCTCTTTCGCGCTCTTGCCTGATATCGTGCAGCTCATCCGAGCGTCTGCGGCGCGTCTCCGCTTCCCATATAACACAAGCTTGGGCGTGCTTTAAGTAATGTTCAATAACGGTAAAGGGGCAGTATTGGAAGGACATACGTATGCTATTGACCGTTTACGTTCTTGCTTGGCCAACACGAATTTGGCTAGCTCCTCCTTGTCTCCGTAGACCTGCATAAACTGTTTGAGAAGCTCCTCGCCTTCGGCCCTGCCGAAGAACAACTCAGTCCGACCTGTAAGAGTAAATTGGTTGAATGGGTATTACAGATGACTTCAGAGCACGAACCATTGCGGGTGACCAGATCGCATGGCACCGCGTTGAGAAAATCAGGATAAAACGCTTTCGGCACGTCGAGTGTGTCGAGGAACATGACGAATCTAGACTCATAAATTATACATTTGTTCGAAATGGATGAAAATACAGACGTACCTGTACCCGAAGCAAGTACTGCAGCACCTCGTCCGACAGTTCCAGTATACCTTCTGAGCTCGGGAGAGGCAGAACTAAACGTCCGCCAATGAGATAAGTTTAGAGTAATTCAAAACGGTATGTACTCACATAGCATCGGGTGTCGAAGAGGAGGCGTATATAGGCCGGCTCTATCAAGTCCTCAGGGCACGGAGGCAGCCCCTCAATAGTTTTGAGAGTTTCCCGCCAGATCCACCGGCTTTCACGAGACATGAGGTATTTCCGCAGGGCCTTGGTAGTCCATGACATGCGCAGCAGGTCAAGGGGATGGAGCCATATGAATATCTGGATGGCGTAAACTCGCCTCTACCCAGCTGCTGTGCAATGTACGACGTACCTGATCAATTATGTCTCGCGGCTGTAGTAGTAGTTGCTGAATATTTCCGCGGGTGCCTCGAGTGGCACGCACTTGACCTGACAAAGGAAATGCGTCGGTTCGCATTCGCGTTCATATGTTCATAATTAACACAAACCTCTGGGTCCAGCCATTGAGGACAAATGTCTCGTCGTACAGAGGCGCAGCTGCAATGGGATGGCGCCGACGAGACGAGGCTGGGCCGTTAAATATCGCGATCATAATGGGTGGCTCAATCTGCGGGTGCGGTGGCTGCAGTTTGACGAGTGACTTGGGTTCTTTCTGCTCTGCCCGAATCTTCGTCATGGCAACGCCGTTTCGTGAATTCACCGAAGCCGAAAGGGACGACTGTGAATCGGTTCTTTGAAGGTGCGAAATCTCGACCAAACAATGGAGCCCGGGTCGTGCTTCCAGTCGACAGAACCAGGGATAAGAGGGACGCTTTTAGTACGTTACCGATACACCGGAGTGGCTTGTCCATGAAAGCCATGATTTGCGGTCCCTGTGATGCACAATGTCGTGTAGAACAATGGCCTGATGGGTCGGCTTTGCTGTTGAGTGGCACTCGTAGACATGCCTGCAAGGTGGAAACGGGCTATGCTACATTCAAGGAGGGCCCATGTAAACTATTTAGCACAGCCTATTTACTGCTATATGAGTGTCAGTGCATCGCGAGCGAGTAGAGCAAGTGCGCACGCACACCCTTGCTTGGAACGACGGTGGATGCTGTTCCAAAGTTGTACACATCCCGCACAAGCTGTATCGTATATAGTTACAGATCAGCCTGCAACAGGATTGCGACTAGACAAGCAATTCTTCAGAGGCAAAGCCATAACGTCCCTGAACGCGTTTCATGAGTGGCGAGGCTGAACTTAAGGATCGTCCGAAGCGCTGTGCAGCGTGGCGGGATGCCTGATATGGAATACCAGCTGCCTAATCCGTCCATGTCTTGAGTAATAGACCAAGTCCCCAAGCAGCTCATGCTGTCTAATTCTCCGCTGCTTGAGCTACATCGAGGCTTTATAAAAGCAACTGCTTGAGTGATTCTGCTATGGAATTCTCCTTCCTCCTTCCCTCCCCCTGGACCCCACCACTATCCTCAGTTCGAACACCTTCCATGACGGCTCCTGACGCCCTTCTGTCTTCTCTATAGAATTATTTTCTGCTTATACTTTCAGACATTTGCTCAGGTGGAAGTTGCATAGGCTCATGCGGACCAGCCCCCCTTTGTCCGATTCTCGAGCCTCCTCTGGTATCGTCGATGACCGAATATGGGAACACCACGTGTCGGGATCTTGACTATTCCCCGATCGTAATTGGACCTTTACACGTCGCTCACGCCGGTCCATAGGTTAAGGATGTTACTAGACGTCAATGTGAGTAGCATCAATGTCGTGGAATGGTAAACTCTGACCTAGTCCCCAGAGAAGATTCTTCCAGCGGACAGACCGCGTAAAAGGCGTCGACTTTCATCCGACCGAGCCGTGGCTGTTGACCGGCCTGTACAACGGCTCAGTGAACATCTACAACCATGAGACGGGCGCGTTGGTCAGGACGTTCGAAGTCGCTGAAGTACCCGTGCGCTGTGTCCGATTTATCCCTCGGAAAAACTGGTTCGTCGCCGGCTGTGACGACTTCCACGTTCGTGTCTTCAATTACAACACACACGAAAAGGTCATCGCGTTCGAAGCGCACCCCGACTACATTCGATGTCTGACGGTGCATCCGACGGCGAGCATCGTGCTCACGGGAAGTGATGACATGACGATCCGGGCATGGGACTGGGAGAAGGGATGGAAGTGTATTCAGGTGAGTATATGCGCTGATATGTGCTGTGAGCGCTACCGACACCATGCAGGTGTATGAAGGGCACACCCACTACATCATGAATATTGCTATCAACCCCAAGGACACCAATACATTCGCATCAGCATGTCTCGACCATAATGTCAAGATGTGGTCCCTTGGCTCCTCCACTGCTAATTTCACTATGGAAGCGCACCCTAGCGGTGTGAACTATGTGGAATTCTACCCCGGTCCTGATAAGCCATATCTCGTAACCTGTGGGGACGATAACACTGTGAAGGTCTGGGATTATCTCAGCAAGAGCTGCGTGCAGACTATGCAAAGTCACACAAATAATGTTTCCTTTGCGGTGTTTCACCCTAACCTCCCTATCATCATCAGTGGAAGCGAGGACGGGACAGTGAAGATCTGGAACAGTGGGACGTATCGGCTCGAGAACACCCTAAGCTACGCACTGGAGCGGGCATGGTGTGTCTCGCTGCGCAAAGATGCGAACGAGGTAGCGGTGGGGTTCGACGAGGGCGTCGTGATCATCAAAGTGAGTGTATGCTCTCTTATGATGATTAGTATGTTTATGGAGCCATGCTAGCTCGGCCGGGACGAACCTACATTCAGCATGGACCCGTCGGGCAAGCTAGTTTACACCCGTAACCAGGAAGTTCTGTCGGCAAACCTGCAGACGCTGCAAGACGATGTAACGGCGGAGGGCACCCGGATACCGGTGTCCGTCAAGGAGCTGGGCTCCACGGAAGTCTTCCCCACCGCGCTCATCCACTCGCCAAACGGCAGATTCGTTACTGTTGTTGGTGATGGCGAGTACATCATCTACACTGCGCTTGCATGGCGGAATAAGGCCTTCGGCAACGGCAACTCCTTTGCGTGGGCTGGTGACTCGAATACGTATGCGGTGCTGGAGGGTAAGACGAAGGTGCGGGTGTACAAGAGTTTCCGCGAACGAGGGGGCGCGGGGATGAAAGGTGCTGGGACGTGGGCCATCGAAGGGTTGCATGGCGGCACCTTGCTTGGAGCGAGGGGTAATGGGTTTGTCTTGTTCTGGGATTGGGAGACCGGTGAGATCGTGCGGAGGATCGAGGTTGATGCACAAAATGTGAGTTCCTCCTTTCGTTAGTGCGCCTTCTCAGCTCAATATGTCTCTTGCAATAGGTCTTCTGGTCAGGGACTGGCCAGCTTGTAGCGATCAGCACGAAGGACTCTTTCTACGTCCTTCGGTTCGACCGCGACGCTTACACGTCAAAACTCGAGGAGGGCGCTGACATCGGCGACGAAGGCGTTGAAGAAGCATTCGACGTGGTTGCCGAAGTCCCAGAGAGGTACGCCGTTTGGCAATTGACCCGGGTGTGCGTCTTACTGACTTTTCTGCAGTGTCAAGACTGCGAAGTGGATAGGGGATTGCTTCATCTACACAAATAGCAACAATCGCCTGAACTACTTTGTGGGCACGGAGTCGTATACCATCACTCAATTCGATACGTGAGTACGAGTCAGCCTGCATGGTCGGCCTTGCTAATGATTTTTGTAGACCACTGTACCTGATGGGATACATCCCGGCACATAATCGTGTCTACCTGGGCGACAAGGATGTGAACGTGTACGCTTACACCCTGGCACTCAGTCTGGTGGAATATCAGACTGCAGTGCTAAGGGGTGATATGGAAGCAGCCGAGGAGATACTGCCGACCATTCCCAAGGACCAGCGGAATAAAGTCGCCCGCTTTTTGGAGGGCAGAGGTAAGTCCGGTGTTCCGAATTCACCGCATCACTGCAACTGAGGGACCGTCAGACTTGAAGGAGCTCGCTCTTCAAGTAGCCACCGACCCGGATCAAAAGTTCGATCTCGCCATACAGCTAGATGATCTCGACACTGCCCTTGGGATCGCGCGGTCCGTCCCCGAGTCAGAAGCAGAGTCTAAGTGGAAGGCGTTGGGAGACCGCGCTCTGGCCGTCTGGCGGTTCGATCTCGCGAGAGAATGCTTCGAGAAGGCTGGAGACCTAAGTGCTCTCATGTTGCTATTGCTCTCAATAGGAGATCGAGACGGGTTGTCTAAATTGGCTCATGCTGCTGGTGAGTCTACTTGTGGCGCTTCCGTTGCATGAGCATGAGGTGACTCAGATGCTTTGCATTTCTAGAGGAGAAGGGTGCGAATAACCTCGCGTTCGCAACGCTTTTCCAACTCGGCAACACGAAAGCCTGCGTTGACTTATTAATAAAGACAGAACGTATCCCAGAGGCTGCTATGTTTGCGCGAACCTATTCTCCGAGGTTAGTTCCACCGCAGCGGTGTGTTCCCGAGAAAGTACTGAGCTTGTCCGCTATGCAGTCAAGTACCCAGGACGGTCGACGCGTGGCGGGATGACCTGGTTGCGAAGAACCGGAAGAAGATCGCGGCGTCCATAGCCAATCCGAAGGAGAACCCAGAGCTGTTCGAGGAAGGCTGGGAGGACGCGCTCGCACGTGAAGAGGCTGCGTTGCAGGCTGCTCCTTCGGCTGCAGTCAACGGCGAGGGGGGTGCGTGGCAAGATATCTACGTCCATTTCAATTTGCGATGCTAACTTACTCACAGGGCTTGACAAGTCCGCTTCGTCGGACGATTCTGAAGGTGTTTTGGTGGACGCATCGTAGGTGCGACGTTTACTCTAGTCGTATTGTATATTCCTTGGACTCTTCTATGTAATCCAGTTTATAACCTCAATAAAAGGGCCACTAAACACGGACCTAGACCTCCTGGTATACCCGGAAATTGATCGAGAACCTATGTTTGCATCACCGTTTTTCTGGCAAGTGCTCGAGAGTGCTCGTGGCGGAAGGCAGTTCCCGTGCGAACGGTTGCCAGAACAGGCTTCACACGACGCACGCGGGGGAACGTCGACTTCGCCTCCCACCGTTCCTTTGCCTCTTCATCTGACGACGTCGCAGACAGCCTCGACAGCGGGCGTGTCGTTCTTTTCCTTTCCTTTGTAGGCCATGGCCTCCGCGTCGGCAAACCAGGCCGTTCACTCTGGCGACCTCGTCGACCTTGTTTCACACTCGGCATCTGCAACGGTCTACCCCTCCGATGACACAATACTCTCTGTTCTCCAAGCTCGCTTTCGCTCTGATTTACCTTACACCCGAATCAACACATCCCACCTTGTCGTGGTTAATCCGTATAAAACACTCGCGAACCTGAACGACTCGAGCGCGAAGGAGTATGAGGAGAGGTCTTACAAGGACACGAGTCTGCCCTTGGGGCAGTCGGGGCCGCCGCTACCACCTCATTTGTACGATCTGGCGGGAAAGATGTACCTGCTCATGAGGAGGAGAGCCGAGTCCCAATCCGTGGTGTTCCGGTGCGTCATTATGCGTATTTGCCAGCCGTATTTCTAGCCTGACTTGTGTCACAAGAGGTATCACCGGTTCTGGCAAGTCTTCCAGCAGCAAGGTCGTCGTGGAGCAGCTGCTTCGTCTCTCATCACATTCCAAAAGGGAATCAAAACTTGCGGAGCAAGTGAAATCTTTGAATACGTTGCTCGACTCGTTTGGAAATGCGAAGACGCTCATGAACCCCAACGCATCGAGACACAGCCGGTACCTCGAGTTGCACTTCAACGAGCGTGGTCGTATCGGCTCCGCGAAGGTGCTGACGTGGGGCTTGGACAAGTCGCGGCTGAATCACCTGTCGCACGAGGAGCGTACGTACCACATCTTCTACCAGTTATTGGCCGGGGCGAAGCGGGAAGAGCGGGATTTCTACAACTTGGAGGATCCGTCCGACTATGCCCTATTAGCGTCCTCAGGATGCTACCGGCTGCCGGCGGGGCCCTTCAGCGACGACAGCATCGCGATGGAGGAGCTACGAGCCGCGATGAAGACGCTAGGGTTCAAGCCCAAGCACATCTCGTCCATCTTCAATCTTGTCGTCGCTATCCTCTTGCTCGGTAACCTGCAGTTTGGTGAAGCGGACGCCCGCGATGTGTCGGCGTACGTTATGAACACGCAGGTGCTGGAGCAGGCGGCTCGTCTGCTCGGCGTGTCCGCGGATGATCTTGGTCAGACGCTGACCAACAAGACCAATTACGTTCGGAAGGAGCTGTACACCGTCTTACTGAACGCTGAGCAGAGCGCCGCACAGCGGGACTCGTTTGTCCGGGATCTCTACGCCATCCTCTTTGCATATGTCGTTGAGAGCGCTAACCACCGCATTGCACCGAGCTCTCAAGACCCTCCTCCTTCGACGCAGATCGTGCTCTTCGATCAGCCGGGTCACCAGTCCAAGGGCCCGACCGGCACCAATTCGATGGCCTTCACCAACGCGCCTCTTATCTCTGCGTACGGTCACAATGGGTTCGACGAGTTCTGCATCAACTTTGCCGACGAGGTCGTGCATTCGTATGTCGTGCGGAACATCTTCGAGGACAGTGTGGGGCTGAATAGCCAGCTGACCGGCGATGGTGTGTCTTTAACACCTATCACAACCATGGATAATGGCGCCTGCATTGAGCTTCTCAGAGGTACGACTCTCAGCGAACGCGCTCACCGCAAACCCGGAGGGATCTTGGGCGTGATGAACAAGGCTTGTTCGTCGTACAAGTCTGGTAAGAGTAGTGAGAAGAAGGATGAGGATATGTTACAGGACCTGGTCGAGAAGTTTGGCGTCCATGCCTCCTTCGTTTCCAGCCCCAGCATGGGAGGTCAGGCTGACAGGAACCTCTTCGGCATCAATCATTACGCCGGAAGTGTTTCGTATGATGTGACAGGTTTCGTCGAGAAGGATGCCGACCTCCTGGACTCAGCCTTCGTGACCATGCTCCGCGGCTCGTCAGAGTCCTTCGTCTCCAAGCTATTTTCAGGTCCCAGCTTGGCTGCAGAGCGTCACCCTCGGGACGAAGGTATCATCGTCCAGGCTCAAGTCTCATCACAGCCTTTACGCCAGCCAACTCGCATCATCGCCGCGGATGGGTCGGTACAAGCGTCAGGCGAAGAGCACCCTCGGTTAGATCCTGGAAAGGTGTACCCTGTTACCACACAGCTCAACTACAACCTTTCCGAGATCCTATCGAACATCGACCGCACTCGATTATGGACAGTGTCCTGCATTCGACCCAACGACTCAGGCTCTGCCAACTCGTTCGACAAGCGACGGGTTAAGGCGCAGATCCGGGCCTTGCTCCTGCCTGATATTGTTGCACGGCGTAAGCAGGACTTCATGGTTGACTACGAGAAGTCGGCATTCTGCGACCGATACGTACCGACAATGCGTGGGGAGGAGGCGGACCGGATCCACCAGTGCGCTGCTGCGAACGGATGGCGGGAGGGCGTGGACTACTTGCTTGGTCATAGATCGATATGGCTGACGTATGACGCCTGGAAGATGGTCGAGGACCCGCTGCGTGCGGCGGAGAAGGAGAGGAAGCCGTCCGACGAGGATGCGGTGGAAGACGCTGCATACCCGGATGATGCTACTGAGGTCACTCACCATTCGACGGGCGGGCCTATGGTCCAGAGTGGCTATGGTGACAGTGCAGATAACCTGCTGTTGGCCAGGACGGGCGCCGATGGCCAGCAGTACCGCGATCCCAATAACCAAAGTTACTATGGGTCAGGTGGCCTTCGTACGCCCAACGCTCCTGCGTACAGCGATGCCGACAACAGTGTTTGGGAGTCTGATTATGACAAGAAGGATGGGTCTCCTGGTGACCGCTCGCCTTACGAGCCGTCTAAGGAGGGCGGGGGGATGGTCGTGAAAGAGGCGCCGAATGCAGTTGAAGAAGTGCCTACTAGTCGTTCGCGACGTATGTGGCTCTGGGTTGTATGGGGTATAACATGGTGGATACCGTCGTTCGTCCTGAACAAAGTGGGTCGCATGAAGCGGCCTGACGTGAGACTAGCTTGGAGGGAAAAGGTGGCCATTTTCGTACTCATCTTCCTGCTGAACGGAATCGTCGTGTTCTACATCGTCGAGTTCGGCCGGCTCCTGTGCCCCAATTTCGATAAGGCATGGGGGACGAACGAGGTTGCCCAGCACACTGGAAACAACGACTGGTGGGTTGCGATCCAGGGCGAAGTATACGATTTCTCCAACTTCATCCACGGGGACCATAGTGATATCCAGGGCGAGGCTAGCAATGGTCAGGATACTCTCGAGACCCTGGCCGGCACTGATATGACGGACTACTTCCCGCCACCGCTCTATTTGGCCTGTCCCAATCTGGTCAACGACAAGACCATGGCTTTGCAGTATGCGAACTTCACCCCCCTAATACCCACTGCCGTGCATACTTCTGGTCCCTTGGCCTCGGACGCAAACAGTAAGCTCCACGATGACAATTGGTATACGGACACGTTCCTGCCCAAAATCAAGAACTATCATAAAGGGCCCTTGGTATACTCCAAGAACGATATTGCGTCGGCTGCCTCCACTGACGGTGGTAACACTGATATACGGTAAATCTTTCCTTTTTAATCCACGAGTACCTGCCCAATCCTAATGTGCTCGCAGCAACTGGGTCATATGGCAAAACCAAGTCTATGATCTTACGGATTACATCAATACCCAAAGCGTCTTGGGCGGCACGAATAGTGCCTATAGTTTCCTAGACAGTGATCTGGTCGATATATTCAAGCAGCAACCCGGTCAAGATGTCACGGATGCCTTGAACAAGGTGTACGCGGGAATGGATGCGCAAACTCGGAATCTGAACCAAGTTTGTTTGAGAAATGCATTTTATGTTGGAGAGATGGACTTCCGGAAGACCGCAAGATGTCAAGTTCAGAACTATCTCTTACTGATATTCTCAGCTATTCTCATGGCGTCCATGGTCCTCAAATGTGAGCGTAAATCAATGCGTAGACTGTCATATACTTACATTGCATGCTAGTCTTGTCTGCCTTACAGCTCTCACCGAAGCGCAATCCGGAAATGCTTGACAAATTCGTTTTATGCCAAGTCCCTTGTTACACCGAGGGCGAGGAATCGTTGCGACGAACTATTGATTCCCTCGCCGCTCTTAACTATGACGACAAGCGGAAGCTCATTTTCATGATCTGTGACGGGAACATCATCGGTAGTGGCAACGACAGGACGACACCGCGCATTGTCCTTGATATATTGGGGGTCGATCCAAAGCTGGATCCGGAGCCACTTTTGTTCAAGTCAATAGGGGAGGGTTCACGGGCTCTGAATTATGGCAAGGTTTACTCTGGTCTGTATGAGTTTGAAGGCCATGTCGTGCCGTGAGTCCCAACATTGTTTGGAATACCATTTACTCTAACTATGATCAGATACATGGTGGTGGTAAAGGTGGGCAAGCCGACGGAGCGGTCCAAGCCCGGCAACCGTGGCAAGCGAGACAGCCAGATCCTTCTTATGTCCTACCTGAACAAGGTCCATTTTGACTCTCCGATGTCGCCCTTGGAGCTGGAAATCTATCATCAAATGCGTAACGTTATCGGCATTGACCCGGCGTTCTATGAGTACATCTTAACTGTCGATGCGGATACGGTGAGTATTGTCGACGTGTCTGGTGAAAACAAATTGCTGACCCCGTGCGCTAGACCGTTACACCGGACTCTGTGAATCGACTGATTGCCTCATGCTCTGATGACTCGAGTATCATTGGAATATGCGGTGAAACGAGATTAGAGAATGAAGAAGGCTCATGGTGGACGATGATCCAGGTACGTGTTCCGCCTTTCTGCTCAACCGCACACCACTGACTTGCGCCTTTGAAGGTCTACGAATACTACATCTCCCACCATCTTTCCAAGGCCTTCGAGAGCTTGTTCGGTTCAGTCACTTGTCTGCCTGGTTGTTTCTCCGTCTATCGCATTCGGACAGCCGACAAAGGTCGCCCTATCATCATCTCCAATCGTATAATTGAGGAGTACTCTGACCCTAACGTCGACACTTTGCATAAGAAGAATCTCCTTTCGCTCGGTGAAGATCGGTTCTTGACCACCCTTCTGATGAAGCATTTCCCGACCTTCAAGACCAAGTTCATTCCGGACGCTGTCGCTCACACTATGGCCCCCGAGTCCTGGCGTGTACTATTCTCGCAACGTCGGCGTTGGATCAACTCCACTGTGCACAACCTTTGCGAATTGGCGTTCCTTCCCGAGCTATTTGGGTTCTGCTGCTTCTCAATGCGATTCTTCGTCTTCGTGGACTTGTTGGGTACGCTTGTGAGTAGTGATTACGTCGTTGGGAAGGAGGATACTGAATTGTCTTGCTGTTCAGATCCTGCCGGCGACCTGTGCATACGTACGTGGCCTTTCTCGTTGCATGTGATTACTTGGAGCTGATCCCGTATGCGTAGCTTGTCTATCTTATTGTCACAGTCGCGACGAAGGCAGCTCCAATTCCATACATCTCAATTGGAATGATCGCGGCTGTGTATGGTTTGCAGGTCAGTCTTTCTCGTCTACCGGTACAAATTTCGGACTGAAGGAAGCGGTTAAATCAGGCGATTATCTTCATTCTCAAGCGAGAGTTCATGCTCTTGGGATGGATGGTTGTCTACATCATCTCGTGCGTCGTTGATTACACATGCGTCTATGCCGAGCCTAATTCTCTTGGCTACAGGTATCCTGTCTACAGCTTCTTCCTGCCTATATACTCCTTCTGGTTCATGGATGACTTCAGTTGGGGTAACACTCGGCTTGTCATCGGTGAAGGCAGTAACAAGAAGGTCGTCATGAACGATGATGAGAAGTATGACGAGTCCATGATCCCGCTCAAGAAATTTAGTGGTATGTTGCCTACTTGCTATACCGTGGATGACTGGTTCTGACCCATTGTCTAACGCAGAATACGAAGCGGAGGCATGGGAAACGGGCTCTCGCCATTCTGATGAGACGCAACGGACAGGCAGGACCGGACGCACTGGATATAGCAGCAAGCCTCGCTCGCGTTCGCACGCACCTGGCTCTCGGGGCGAATCACCACACCCGTATAACCAGTCATCCCAAGCAGGCGACTTCTACCGTGATACGAACGTCCTTAGCTCGCCTAATCAGCGGTTGAGGAGCCAACCCTCACAGGGCCAGATGTCGCAATATGGAGGGGGACAGGCCGGCTCGATGTATGGCGGCCAGATGCCACAGCTGCCCTTCATGCCGTTTGGCGGTGGACCGGGATCGGTGGCGGGTTCTGAGCGCGGCGGTCCGATGTTGCCTCCACTGGGGTACCAACACACCGGCAGCGTCTATGGAGTGCCAATGGCTGCGGGGCCGCGTAATACGATGATGACGAACTACAACATGTTCGGCGGCGACTCTCAGTCCGGATTTGCTCCACCACCATCGATCCCTGCGCTCGGTATGCAGCAAAGACCGATGTCGACGTTCTCCTTGGCTACGTCGGTCAATCCGTTCGCTCAAGCTCCGCCTAGTATGGACCCCAATCCTACGGATGAGGACTTGTTCAATGCGCTGCGGCTCTATCTTAGCACCCAAGACCTAATGACTGTAACGAAGAAGTGAATCTTTCTCGTGCTTTTCATATCGTCTTGTGACTGACGAATGTCTGCAGAACTGCTCGCGAGGCCATCCAGGCTCGATTCCCCAAGGCGGACTTGATTTCACGTAAGGACTTCCTGAACGAATCTATCGACAAGATCCTCTCCGAGTCATAGTAGACTTCGTATCTCTGTTCTCAAGGACTGACTTTACTCTCATCGGACGGTCTGCGGACAAAGACATTCTGTCTCTAGTGCATCCATTCTCACTCATTTGCATCTCGGACTACTACTTCATGATAGCATCGTTTCAGTTTTTCCGTAGCAAGAACACTTCTGTATTAGTTCGTGGTTTGGACCGATAGGATAGATTAAATAATGCACACGGGGAGTACGCCCATCCCCATATGTGGCTGTGGCTGCGGGCGCTTGCAGGGAAATGCTTGGGACGCGTGCCGGCCGGCTGAGGGAAGATGATCTCCCGCTTTGAAGCTGCGATCTGTGTATTATTATAAACGCAGGGCTCGCAGCTCTCTCAGCACCATCATCTTGCCTGGGGGCCGTCAGATACAATGCCCGGTCCAGCTGTCTATGCCGTCGTAGCCGTCGTTGGGACTGTCGCCGCCGTCGTGGCATTCAAGGAGGTCAGATGGGCCGGTTACATCGCCTGGAGAAATGGATGCTAATGATATGTCTAACGCAGTTCGTATATGAACCCCACATTGCCCCGAAAGTCGAAGCGTGGGCGGAGAGTTACCTTGCTCGCCGTCGGGCACGGCGGCGTCAACGGCAGGGCCCTGCACTCGCTCAGCCTTATTCGGCAGACGAAGGCGAAGCTGGGCCGAGTCACCCCAGACGTTCCTTCGAGCTTGGGAAGGGCTCGGATGCCGACGACCGTACGTCTATCGAGCTGGAGAAGCTCGTTGCGAAAGAGGTTGACGAATGGAGGAACGGCGTTGAGCGATCTCAGTCTGAGCTGCGGCAGAGGCATAACCGCAATGCGTCTGCATTGGACGAGGTGCGTCTGAGGCCTTTCACCGTCACGCTGCGTATATCTGAGCATGGACGTTAGTCGAATATTTCGATACCTTTTGCGCCGATGTCGCCTACCCATGTCATCTTCGACACTACTACTACATCCTCATCCTCGCGCACGTCCGTCGGCCGCACGCCGTCCGGCACGCTGACCATCAGCGATATCGATGAAGGGTCGGTGCGAGGTTCGGAATACCAGGAACGAGTCGCCACACCCCCGACAGCTGTTGCACCGACCATAGTCTATCCTCGACTTCCGACTCCCTCCTCGTCCAGGTCTTCCACTCCCGCTGTTCGCTCGGCTATGTCCCGCTCAGCGATCTCTGTTTTCGAGTCGGCTTGCTCAGGCTCTCCCTCAGGCTCTCCCTCTAGCTCACGTTCGCCCTCTCCGCCCCGTCAGATCGTATTGTCCGGCTCTCGTCCAGAATCGCCGTTCTCCGATCTCGCAGCTGTCGCGCAGGCGAGGTCGGCCATGACTTCGCCGTTCTCTTTGCCCTCCGACGCGGATGATGTACTCAGTTTGCACTCTGGACTCTCCTCTGCAGCAGTCAGCGTCCACGAGGACGACGTGCAGTCGCTTGACGGTAGTGAGGACTCAAGCTGGGCCAGTATTGGTAGCCCCAGGCATCAGTGATCTTGCACTCCCGGAATGTCTTGCATGAATCATCCCTCTAGACTGGACGGAAGTACAGTTGTATTATTTGTTTGACGCCAAGCGTCATATAGCGGTAGCTATCTTGTTGTACATTTCTCTGCTCTTTCTGTGTTATATCGGGACCTCATCCTCCGCGCCAGTCCGTCGTATTGCATCTCCATTGATACTTGACTGACGCATTATATATTCCACTGTTGCTGTAGATCCGTAGTGCTGTACATGTGGGCAATCTTACTGTAAAACTCTACAATCAAATAAAGCGCGAAAATGCAGATTAGCAACGTTTCTACAAGCGACTGCGTATCCTTCGCCGTCGATTAGATCTTCGCCTTGAGTGGTCTCTGAACTTGGCCGGGTCCGGGACTTTGTCAGGATCCAACCCTTCTTCTCTCTGGGCTTCTCGAAAGTGTTCCGTATACTTCATTGCGCACACGATCCGCTCGAACTGCGACGGCTGGTCGGGAGCCTCCACTTCGAATTCGGGTTCTTGGGCGTAGCCAATGGTTGCGACTTCGATCAGGATCGCTCTGCGAAGGCCCGTCAGTCATCGTCTCGAGGATACGATATCATGCGTGGGCGACATACGCGGTTAAACCAAACACGGGCTTCACCCCGCCGGCTTCTCTCCCGGTGAGGAACCTATGCATCCTGATTTTCCGCTCCTTCTCTCCCGACTGGCTGTATCTTCCCCATCTCCAGTTAATGTCGTCGTATGAGTGATAGGGGAGCTCCGTGGTTTCGGGGTCATGAGGGAAGGGCGACTCGGAGGAGAGGAAGGCCGCGAGGGGATGCGAGAAGAGAGAGGTAACTTCCGATCTGTTGAGAATCGGCTAGGTAATGGGATGTGAGCTGAATACGGGTGAAAAAGGCTGAACGAGGCGTACGTACGCGCAGGGTGTTGTCCAGGATGAGAACTACAACTCTGGATTGGTTTGGAGTTAGTATAGACGAGTGTGCAGTGAAGAGCTAACTTACGGAGTAACGATCAATTGATCGCGCGCCATGAAAGGCTCGAGGACGCATAGCAGTGGTGCTTTGTGCCGGTCCATAGGTAGACCTATCTGCCGGCACGGTCTCGATTACGAAGGAGATAATGAGGTCTATATCAAGTATACCTCTTCAAATGCCTCTCTACGCTTCAGAACGCATCTCTCTATGAGTAACCTTAATGGCGGAGGCGGTCGGCTCACCTACCGCAGTGTCTTCGATCGTGCGGTCTTGGGGTTCGACCTTACCGCCCGGAAGTGAGGTGTCACCCGGAAACGATCTCAGGCTCGCAGACCGACTTGAATGTAAGTCAAGTATTCGTCATTTGAGGAGCCAAAAGGTACATCGCGATGAATTATGGACCTACCGGCTAAGTACGACATACAAGTCACCCATTCGGCCTACAAACAAGGCCACGAGTACCGCCGCACATCTCGACCTGGGGAACTTCAGCTTCGGTGGCTTGCTACGGTACAAGGCGAGCCGCCTCAAGCATCTACAGATGAGCAATGATTAGTTTGCTATGTATGTTTCTTCAGTCTGCGATCCCGAGACGCACGCTTTCGACTCCTCCTTCAATGGATTAGGTGTCTCCCGGAGATTTATCCTTGGCCTGTGAAATTTGTAAAGGTCACTCTGATGCTTATGCGCCATTACTATCGCGCGAGACTGAAGTAACACTTCAAGAGCAGCTGTCTATAGCTAGGGACTGGTGACGGTGACGAATGTTGCCACAATGATGATGGACAACACCGTATTGTGGGGCGCTAATCAGTTTAGCCGGTATGAGGTAGTGGAGACTCAGACTACTTAGGATCAGGCAGTACTAGTGTAGTTGTTCGCATTGCTATAATCACTTGGCGTACGATGTAATATCCTCCAAAGGGGTCGTAATTGATCATGGTAACAGACGTGTCATGGGTAAAGATACATACAAAAATGTGATAAATACTCGTACAGACATGTCAAGATGCAATCATATGCAAGGAAAGTCTCAGGCACATCGTCAGTACCGGTGAACCCGTCACCGGGTCAGGAGAGCAGCTGTGAGCAGCACGCCACCGAATCCGCCCAAAGTGCCCAAGACAGTCCATTTTGTATATTCATCGAAGTGTCGTACGATGATCTTGGAGTTCGTCACAGAGAATCCACGGAAGGAGTAAATGGTCACACCCGTAACGAATGCGATTATTGAGTAGGCCAGGAAAACGAGCGGGAGGGACATGACCACGCTCCGTTTCTGCGAGCCAGATTACTTAGTCAGGCAAGGTGGAAGGACGCTATGCTGCAACGTAGACTTACCGAAATGACGATCATGCCTTCCTGGCCTACGAACCGCACCGTCCTCTCCGTCTCAGTATTATACCTGAACATGGATATCACCCACGCAGCCATACTCGCGATTGAACATAACACTGTCAGAAACCCCGACACCCTCGCGACATCGTCCAGCCCAGGAAAGGACAGGAACGTCACAGAAGCACTGAGCAGAATAGCAGCCTGCCGAAAGGGAAGAGGCCGAGCGAGGGCGAACGTGAATATCGTCTCCGTCGTCGTGCCCGGGATAGACTCACGAGAAGACACGCGCAAGCCCCAATCATGAGCATCGGTCCCGCGTTGCGGAGGTTGCTCTCTTCGTCCAGGCGGCGGTGCGACGTGCGATCCATGAAGATGTATGGTATACCCAGGCAGACGACGGAGACGACGAAGTCGAAGAGTGTTCGACGGAACGGTACGCGTCGCTCAACGTGGGAACTTTTGCTAGCGTCATTGGGAAGAGGCTTGTGAGGGCGGAAGTTGCTTTGACGCCATTGAGCTGCAGTCCCTTTCAGCGTATTGACCACACGGACATCATTGCGGTACTCACCGACACGCATGAGAATCTTGGACACGATGCGAGTATGTACCACAGACTGGGTCTTTGATCTCTCGGCGGGATCTGCAGATGCCATCAATTTAGTCTGTACGCTGCACCGCTTGCCGTGACTTACCCTCAAGCGATCTCAATAATGTCATCAACTCCTGACATTCCCCTTGTTCGAAAGGAGCTACAGCATGTCTGCTGGAAGGCAGTAGACAGTCTGAAGCTGCAATTAGAATATATTCTGTATACAGCTTACGACGGCTTACCGGTGTACGACCAAGTCAATGCATCCATCGCCTCCGCGTGAGCGTTCTCAGGCAGGGAGTGATGCGCGGGGTGACCCTCTACGAACGCCCAATACCGATACTCCACATCTAGTTCTGGAGGTGACGTTAGAGAGGGCCCCCCTTCCCATGCACGAGACCACACATACTGTCGTCGTCGGTGAACAGCATCTCTGCACCACCCTGAGCCGGCGGAGGACTGAACGACAACACCCTGGCATCGTGGTTGATCCAATGCCTGATGAACGAGAACTCGTGCTTCCCCTTCGCCCGCGCTTCTCGCAGCCACATCTCCCATCCAACCGGAGGAAGCGAGAGCTCCTCTGCGGTCTTCTGGTCGAAGTACGCTGTGACTGCCTCTAGCTGCTTGGGGTTGCGCAGATTCATGTCGGTCGTGACTCTCATATGGGCGTGCACGTAGTACCTCGAGCCGTCTGGAAGTGTGTACTCCGTCCAGCCAAATGCTTGAGGAGTCGGGGGCGCAGCCACGGGCCAATGGCTCCCTGCGGGCGTCGGGTAGTACGGGACGACGGGCTGACCTTTGCCACTGCTAGTGTTCTCCGTACGCGATGGCACAGTCGAACGAGGGAGCAAGGGAAGAGTCTCGCTACAATGCATTTGCGATCAGGGTGGACTATTTCAGCATAGACTACTAAGATACATACTCGGTATCAGGCTGGTGGTGATCTTGAGTCCCAAGACTGTACCGCGACGCTGACGTGTGGACGTATCTAGATTGGACGGTTAGCGAAACACTCGTACGTTCAAATCCGACTACATACTGGCCCGGTATGACCTGCTGCATGGGGGGCAGAGGCATCGAGATAGGAGTGGGAGTAGCATCGTACGACGAGTCATTGACCTGCGGCTGGGGCATGCCCAGCTTGGACCCTTTGGAGGACACAGCGCTCTCCGGCCTGGTTCGAAGATCAGATAGAACAAAATCGACGGTATCAACGAGACTCACTCTATCTCCGGTACGCTCTCCACAGGAGAGAGAATATCGACATGTCGGCTAACAGACCGGGAACGCGAATGCCTCCTGGATGGCGGGTCTGCAAATGGGTCTTCTGTAACGACTCTACAATGGCATATACTGTGAGGATCCTGTTAAATAACCACTGGAAAGGACTTTGACGCACTCCACCGGTGGCCCATCCTCTCTCGCATCACCATTACTCTCCGAGACCAATATAATCCGCTTGATCTGGTCAGCCCTGATGCTCTCCGACACCGACGCACCCCGGGCTCTCGTCAAAGCTCGGCCACGCGGCTCCTCAGAAGAAATAGACACCCGCCGCGACTGCGTGCCCGAGGTCCCTCCGACAAGGCTCGACTTGGACGGCTTCGTGGTGATAGACGGCGCCGCGTCGGACATCGCCTGGGGGCTCTGCGAGTACTTTACGGAAATCGTATCCCATGGATTCGCAGGCTCCAAGTCCGCCGGGTGAGGCGCGGGCATCGTGACGGGCGCTGGCTCGGGAGCAGGCATAGTGAAGGGTGCTGGCTCCGGGGCGGGCATGGTCACAACCTCAGGCGGCGTGTCCTTTGGGCTGAACGGCGTCTCCCCGTGTGCGTGCGTCTCCTCCGTCTGCGTCTGCAGGACCAGGCCTGCCTCGGTCGGCACGAGCGCGGCTGGCGGGGCAGCATAGGGAGCCCGCTCGGACGGGGCACGAGGACTGGGCGAGCGCGATCTCATCTGCTCCGGCTCAGCGGACAAAGATTCACCCAAAGCAGGCGCGTTCTGTTCCGGCTTCTCATCCTCCTTCCTCTCGGGCTCGTCCTGCTGCGCGACCGTCTCTAGCGTAGGTGCAACAGCGACCGACGGCAGCTCCTGCGCATTCTCCACTATCGGAGTGGGCGACATGTGGATGTCGTCCGCGGGCGGCGGGGTGGCAAGTGGTGCGGGTGCGAGCGAGCTCTGTCTCGACGGGGCACGCTCAGAGCTGGCGCGGGGCGGGGTGGAGGGCCTGCTGCCCTCCCGCTGGCCGAAGGAAGAGGCGCGCCGCATGACGGTCGTAACGCGGTTGCGGAAGCTCCGCTTGCCCGCATGGGGGCTTGCGGAGATGGGTGCCTCGCTGGGCGGGCTGGTCGCGGGGCTGGCCATCGCAGATGCCAGAATAATTAACTAAGTGGTCGAATGCGAAAGAAAGTCTGCAGAGAAGTTGAGAAGGCGGGGGTGGGTGTGGTGGAAGAGGCGGCAACGCGAGGGCTTATGAGCACTGCGGGGGCTGCCTGGAGGTTTCGTCGAGGTGGTGGAACACGCAGTTCCACTCCTGCATCGAGAAAGTGCCTATCAGGCGGCCAGATGGAGCGGGGCACCATTGCAGATTCCAGATGGCCGTCAGAATTACGAACACATACACGTGTAGTGGGCGTTATGTCGCAGCATCATGTTCAGTGCAACGAACTTGGCGGCACTCTTGTTGGATTCGATAAGAACGATAAACACGCACTGGTTTCCAGTAGGTTTGCACTATTCCATAGACAGTGCAAGTTTCGGACTAGAGCCGGATTCTGAGTATCGTAGGGATTAGATGAGAACGCGAAGCACGTTGCGTGCGTGTTGCCGCGGACACGTTGCGTGCTCTTGTCATCGGTCACGCTGGGCGATATTAAAACCTAGGCAGGAATCGAAGATAGCTCCATTCCACACGACTGATATGCATTTCATGGCTGCGCAGGTTGATCTAGGGACCAATGGCAGGGTGAGCGGAAGAACGCCGATGCTGTGCAGCGCCTTTCTGTCGCGTGCGCTGATGTGGTACTCGTGGACCCACAATTCGATCTTTGCTTCCAAGTCTTGACATCCGGTATTTCAGCAATTTTTTAAAGAATAAGGATATCCAGTGCGCAGGGAGAAATATACCCTCACACTGGGTCGTCTGCCCGTGCTCGTCAATAAGAGGAAATCGTCCATGTCTGCTGAGCGAGTGAGATTTCCACGATCTTCAAGTTCCTCCTTCTTGTTGAGTGCAAGACTTACATCAAGATAGTGTGCACGGCCTGGATGGAAAATTTCCTGCAAGTTTTCAGTATTGCCTGACAAGGGCTAACTGTGAGATGCGGCACTCTTTGCGACAAAGTAGTGGTCGTGGACGAAGACACATGGGTTGCAGCAGAAACCAGCGAGTCTCTCTTTTTATACCTTCCTGGTACTTTGACGTGTGTACAATCAAAGAATCATCTCCGCCTCGACATGTCCGCACTAAGCAGGTACACTTCCATACATGGCCGTATGTCATGTCCTGTCCGCCAGCTATCATTCCCGCGAATCCGACCTCTCCAAATCAACTCCGAATAGTCAACGCTCAATATTGCCCAGAAGCATCGCATACTCTGCCGGTCATCTCCCAGGCACACAAGCGTCTGTTGTACGTTGCTTATTAGGCTTCGGCAGCCTTGAGACGTACGTGAATATCAATCTAACGGGACAGATTGCAGTAGTTGCACTAGCTTTGTCACGGGGGGTGCTTTACTCTGGTTCCGTTCCACGCTTAGACTAACTAATACTGCCACGCTCATCCAAGAATATGCGTGCAGCATAAAGAAAGGGGACCAGATTTCGGAACCCAGATCAAGTACGACAACTTCAATACGGTCTGTTCCTGGATCGGACTTCCACTCGATATGTCTCCGTGGCTCGCTACAGATCACGGCGACATCGTGGCTCATCTACAGGGTTCCTGTAATCACGACGAATAGCTGTAACACGCATTCCAATGTTCATTCCTTGTATCAGGTCAAATGCAACAGATGCGTCGTCTCTTGCGGGCTGGGCTCGTCGCTCGTTTATCCACTCTGATCCACCTCGGAGTCCAAGTTGCACCGCAGTGCGGATCTCGGTGACTTATCATACATAGGATTCCATGAGTGATAGACTAATTGGCGTGTCTAGATTGAAATCTCAACCGTGTGCCTCGGTATACTTGCAGTTTGACCCGGACAGACGGCCCCGCGCAAGTACTTACCCTGCCCCATTCTAGGCCGTCATCGAACCTGCTATAAGATCAACAACGGTTATTGTGGCATGCTGACAATGCTTATAGGGCTTCTCGGGGAGTCTCAGACGGACCGGATGATCGACGATCGACAGCCAGCCCGACCCTTCGCGCACTTTCCCCAGCTGGAGGGGAATCGTTGTAGGTGCTTGGGTCATCCCCCATTAATTCATACACCTTCAACTATCAGGTCGCAAACCATTTCTATTCATACATATGCCTTCCAGTAGGCCCATCATCGACCACGGAAGAGCGCCGAGGACTAACCAACTACAACAGTTGCCATATAAGGCAACCGTTGTGGTTCGTCAGTCCAGGTCGGAAGGACAACGGAAGGACGTCAGATTCATTTGATTCCGCGATCCGCTGGCGCTTCGCGCCCTGCATCCGTCCCGAGTAGCGCGCCTCCCAGGGACCGTCGCGCCATGGCTGGGCGCGGATATTGCCCCACAGGATGACCATCTCCGCGTCGTTTTGCCGCAGAGGCGGCCTGGATACGAGCGTTCGCCCCGTCTTCCATGATCGTACGTGCACCACTGCAACCGACACGCCCGAACAGGCAAATTATGTATAAAAAGGAGGGGATGAGGGGCTTTACTCCTTCAATTTTATCACGACATCGAACTACGCTCTTGGACTACTTGCATCCTCTCCGGCACGAACTTACTCTGAACTACCTGCGCTTCACTCGCCATGCAAGCCAACTCTCCCTTCGAAAATATCACCCTCACGCCATTCGCCCCGCAGCGCCCTGATGCGTCTTACTTCTCTTTGAGTCGCCGCAGTACCTATGCGCTTTCTCCTCTACAAACGCCCTGTTCGCCGGGCTCGGGCGCTATGACACCGTCCGACGAGCGGACGCGTATGCTGAAGAATTATGCACCGGATGTTCAGCAACTTCGGAAGGGCCTTTTCAAGCTTAACATGAAGCCAAAGGTGCGCTGCTCATTTCCTCTTGTCCTGTTCTCTCATTCATTTTATCTCAGCGCTCGAAAAAGTCCGCCGTCCCCGCGGATGACAAGTTCACCACCCCCAACTACTCCTGGGACCCCTACCCATCTCCCAACACCAACTCTCGGCCGCGTCAGTACTCCGTTTCCTCTAACATGACCGTCGAGTCCGATACCCAAGAAGCGGGCTTGCGCCGAGGTCGCGCCCGTCTCGACCCTGCCGATACCTCGTACGAGATGAAAGTCATGCCGAAGAAGGAATTTATGAAGAAGCTTTCTGTCCCGTCGGCGGGGAGACGAGAGTTCGCGTCGATCTCGTCTGTCTCAAGCGATACGCCTACGGTGTGCGATAAGGACTACGCCTGCGACAAGGAGAAGATTATGGCACACGACAAGCGGCCGTCTGTGTCCTCCGGCTCGGAACAGGAGGATCAGGAGCAGTACGCCGTGCCGCGCAAGTCATTCTCCGTGCCCAACGCCATCGAAGAAGAGGACCCCACTGGTAGTGTGCCGCGGGCGCCCTCGCTGCCCTACGATTACGCCAAGGTACACACTGAGATCGAGGTGGTATCCCGGACGAGTGATGGAGAGTCCACGACTCTCGAGGACGAGCAGTTTGACGATGAGGAGCCGCCCTACGTCCCGCCAGCCTTCGAGATCGTCGATCCCGCCATTCCCATGGTCGAGCCGGAGCCAGCGATGACCACGACTGAGGTGCCACAGGCGTCTCATCCGTGGACCGTTCCGCCGTTTAACGTCGTTGAGCGGCCCAAGCCTGTTATCCACAAAGTGAGGGCTGCGATCAAGATCACGCTTTCTGTGGCCGTCGTCTTGTCGCTGCTTGTCGGTTACGGCTTGAAAGTCAAGATTATCACTTTCGGACGGTTCTCCTTCGGAATGTACGGTCTGCTCCTGACCATAGGCACGTTACCATAGTTTGTCTCTTTCGCCCAGGAATTGACCGTTTCCTTCCAGATTTCATAATTCAGACCATTGCGGCGTCCATAAATCGTCGGAGGGTCGTCAAGCTCACCGCAGCCTCGAACATGACCAAAGGCGTACAGCAGCTCAAGGATAAAGCGGAAGGCAAGGACATCCAAGGCGAGGAACTCAAGTTGCCTGAAGTTAGTATCGCTGTCGTCGGATATCGCGAGGATGAAGAGGCTTGGATTGCAGTAAGTCAGCCCTTCCCGGATCCCAAGACGGCGTCTAACGATCTTCCAGTGCTTGAAGAGTCTTCAAGCTCAAGAATTTCCTATCAAGCACATCATTGGTGTCGTGGACGGTAACGACCCTGCTGACTTAGACATGGCGGACGCGTTCGGCAAGGCCTTCCCTGAGGACCAGCGCCTCATCGTCCACTTGCCAGTCTTGCTTTCCGTCATGTACAAGGAGAAATATTGGGAAGCCATCAAGACCCTCGGTTATGCCAACCCGACCCGTTGGCAATACTTCAAAATGTGGTTTACGCAGGCGCCTCGCCCCGGCCAGGAAGTCGCCCATGAGGTCGCTTGGAGTCACGTATTGGACTACCTCTATACCCGATCTACTATCGAGAACTGGTCGCAGTACAAGGGCATATGCTTCTCTCAGCCCCACGGCCACAAACGACACGCGATGTTCACCTCCTTCATGGTCGGCGCTTACGCGTTGGGGACCAAAGATGCCATGCTCACTACGGACAGCGACACTTACGTGTACCCGAACGCCGTCACGAACCTGATGAGTCTTTTGATGAGCAGCGAGAAGATGGCAGGCGTTACCGGTGACGTGCGCATTTGGAACAAGAAGGACTCTTTCCTCGCGCTCATGTCTTCGTTGCGGTACTGGTTTGCTTTTAAGTAAGTCACCTCCCGTCCAGACCACCCGGCATGGCACTTACGATAACCTGCAGTGTCGAGCGGGCCTGTCAAAGTGCTTTCGGTTGCGTCGGGTGTCTGTCCGGCCCACTCGGGTTGTACCGCACCAGCGACCTCATGTCCGTCCTGGGGCCCTGGATCCTGCAGTCTTTCTTAGGCAAGGAGACGACTTTCGGCGACGATCGTCACTTGAGCAACCGAATCCTGTCCCTTGGCCATAAGACAGGCTACACTCACCTGGCAATGTGCGACAGTGACACTCCTGCTGGTTACGTCCGATGGGTCAAGCAACAAACTCGCTGGTCCAAGAGTTTCTTCCGCGAGGCGTTCTGGTTCCCCAAGAGTTTCGCTTACCATGATGCAGTACGTACCCTTATGATCTGTGTGACATCGTGATGTTGACTGGTGTTCAGTGGTTGACGGTGGAGACTACCAAGCAGTTCTTGTATCCCATGATTCTGACGGCGACAGTCATCCAAATGTTCTATCGCCCATCATACTGGACACGTCCTGTGATCTGGCTGTCGACGATGTTTGGCGTTGCGCTTATCAAGTCCGTCTACGGTGTCATTTGTATGCGCGACCCTATGCATTTCTTATTCGGAGTCTACGGCTTTATGGTAAGTTTAGCAAACGCTCGGCCGGCCGCTCTCCAACTTACACTTGTTTCCTCGTAGTACTTCTTTGGTCTCCTCCCGTCGAAGCTATTCGCCTGCTTTACCGTCGGCATCACGACATGGGGTACATCAGCGCGGTCGAAGTCGGAATTTGCTAGGCCAGAGAGTCTGTACTCTCGTACCACCCACATTGGACAGTGAGTGTTCGATGTCTACTAATTTCCGTCGCAGGGGTTGATGATTATATTTCAGCTTGGTGACGTGGTACATGGCTCTTTCCTTCGGCCTCGGTTATTTCATGGCCTCCACTTTTCACAACCCCATATTTTGGTCTTTGGGCGCAATCGGGATCCTCCCCACCTACCAGCTTTACCATGACGTCATCGTCGGCGAGTCCAAGTACTGGTTCTTCGTGTATAGGAAGAGGTATCGTGCTCGTCGTGCGAAGGTGGCGGACGTGGAGAAGGTCAGCGTTCGGACAGCCGCTCCCTCGGCGCCTTCGATCACCGACAGCGATGGGCCGTCTACTGTTGAAGTCCACGAGTCGACAGTGCCCGCGATTCAGATCTTCAGCTCGGATAGCCCCTATCACTTCGAGGATATTCCCAATCCCTTCGAGCAAGAGTATCCCTCCAACAGCTCTCGCGATTCTATCACTTCGGATTCTCTTTTCGTTGGCGGACGCGGACCTTTGGTTGACAGTCGAAGACCGTCAGAAGCGACTCTCTTCGATTCTAGTCGCCGTCCTTCCGAAGTAACTCTCCAGGATGGGCTCGGTGGCCGTAGACCAATAGACGCTACCTCAAATGAGGAGCTCCAGAAGGTGCCCGCGACAAACTATCGTATAGAGGTGGTTCGTAGGCCAACCGTTGCGGCGATTCAGGAGGAACCTCAGGACGATGCCAAGGTTTCGCATCACAAGCTTGCATCGGTGGAAGACAGCGATAGTACTCCAGCGACGACCCCCGGCGCCAGTGATTTGGAGCTTCCTACGCTGAAGAAAAGGAGGAGTATGGGTCGGCACATTCCGACACTCAAAAAGGGGTGGATGAAACGCGATTTTAGTAGAGAGAAAAGCGTGTCGGTTTCCGAGGATCCGACTCCGCCTTTGCCAGTGGGAGTAGCTATATAGGCAATCGATAAAAATTGTATAGACACACTCAAATCGTAGATTCCACACTTGTACCATTCTCGATAATATACCATTTCCATCCTCATGCCTTGTGAGCCTTTAGAATTGTTATTGCCTGGTTTATATCATGTCAAACCTCAGGCTCTTCTTGCCGGGGCTTCGTCAAAGATTGTCCTGTGCACCTGCCTCAAACATATCGCTAAGATGTGAGACCCCTCATCCGTCGATCAAAACATGTCCAAAAACGGATGTCTGCCATTCATCGAGCTGCCGCCGGAACTCATCATACTCGACTGCCGAAGTTGAGGTTCAACTCGCGGAGGTTGATTGATTACTCTTGGTCTTTGTTTCTCTCTGCGACAAGACCCTGCCAGGGTTAAGACTGTTCTTTACTTCACAGCGAAAAATTCCCTATCACTAGCATTTCCTAGGAATGCCTCCGGAAAGCCGAAGCTCTTCCTCGAGAGGCAATCGGAAAAGCAGTGCCAACGAGGACGAGCTGACTATCAAGCGACTGAAGGGAGAAATTTCTTGTGCCGAATGCAAAAGGTGCGTATTCCACGGAGTCCGCTCGGATCGGCCGGTTCACCAGTTTACAATGCTGGTATTTGTCAAGGCTAAAGCTCAAGTGCGACAAACGGGTGCCATGTGGGTCCTGTGAACGAAGGGGGTGTCCTAATATTTGCCCAAATGGTGAGACCATTTTTGCCTAAACAAACAGTACCACCTGATGTTCGTTCAGGCACGTTATCGGCAGGCCAGGGCTCCAGGTATGACACTATCGATGGCTGTATCGTATTCTCCAATAAGTTGGGTAGGTTTATCCTCGCAGACACAAAGGATCTTCACCGGAAGATCACTGAGATGTCGCATCGAATACATCAACTAGAGGATGCTTTAGCAGTGTCACACGGCAACCAATCGAATGAGGCCCATCCGTTACTTTGCGATGAACTCTTGGAAATCAAGTTTTGGCCCGAAAGAGGGAACGGCGCACGTCAGTCAGAGACACAGAAGGACGACGTCGAAACATCGCTCGATGCGTTCGGAACTCTAACACTGGGTGGGCAAGGTGAAGCAAAGTACTTCGGCGGGTCCGCTGGCTCAGAGGTACGCGGTAAATCAACTCACTCGTATTAGTCAAGTTGCTTAGACACACCAGGCACTCCTTGTCGTGCGTTTCGATCTGGCACGGCAGTACCGCTGTATGTTGATTCTGATTACTACAGTCCAGCCTCGGATGGGATGATTCAGAACGGGACGACGACTCCAGCTTTTTGCCGGAAAGTGTTCGCGAGTCCGTTCATGAATTAATCTGGTCGCAATTGCCGGAGCAGATGCGTGAGACCTCATCGTCTAGGTTTTCCATAGTGGAACTGATCCTTCCACAGGCGCTTGGTCCCTTACTGAGGCGTACTTCGAGCATGCTCAGTGGTTCCTCTCTGCAATCAGCCGCGATGAGATTGTCAACGAAATTATGGTCCCCATTTACAAGAGTCTGAAAGAGAAGGGCAGGCCGAAGTACAGCTCCCAAGACACCTCGGAGACTAATCCGCACAGACTCGGAATCTTGTACTTCGTTTTCTGTCTGGGTGCCCTCATGGATCTCACGCTACCGCCAGCTAATCCGGAGGCGGAGAAATATTACAGGCTGGGCCGTGCTGCAATGTCGTTACGGTCACTAGTAGATGCACCTTTGATTGAGACGGTACAAGCGATTGCGATGATGGGGGCCTACCATCATATGTCTGGACGAAAGGCCAGTCTAGATAGTGCGTGGTCCCTGACTGCCTTCAGCGTCAAGCTAGCCCAGAGCGTGAGTCGTCGGTATTTTACTTAGGGCCAAAAGGCTCACGAAACACATGCGGTACGACAGATGGGCATGCGTAAGTGAACGACTCTAATCCAAGCAGCGGACGACTTAAATGCTTTTCAGATCGCGACTGCGCTCGCTGGGGCCTCGACGCCAAAACCGTCCAGAAACGTCGACACACATTTTGGTCCATTATGGCAGCAGATGGTTTCCTTGTAAGCGTTGCTTTCACTTATGATTGATCGTGATGACTCACCCTGTTCCGGGGCTGCGGTGCTCAGTCACTGCATATGGGTCGCCCCTTGGCCTGCCCTCTGGACACTGTGGATTGCGAGTTCCCTACAGAGGACGATCTGGAGCCGGCTGAAGATGGGACGACGCAGATGGGCTGTGGGTCTCACGACGCCGAGACACCATCCATTGATCTCATCACTCTTGTATAGATCAGCGTTGGCGATTCCATATCATGAAGAACTGGCTCTTGCCCGTATGCGAACAGATGACACTGGCCAAGGGGCCGGATTACAAGAAGCTGCTTGCCCTTGATGCGAATATACTTCAGCACCAGGCCCCGAAGAATTTTAAATTCCTGATTGACCCCGAAGAGCAGGAGAGACCCTCAAGCATTGCCAGAGCGTATCTACTCTCTCAATTCCGATTGAATAGTTAAGCGACCCTCTCCTACCTCGTTCAAGCGATAACTTCATCTCTTCGCAGCTATGATGTTCATACATCGCAGCTTCTTGTACGTCCCTCTTTTGCGCAGACACATGTTTCAATTTGTGACACACTACGCAGCGCACAGGCGATCCTCGATCATCCAACTAACCCCTTCCGGAGTCCGTATGCACCATCCTATCTTACAGCCTACCGTTGTGCTTCGGCGCAACTCGCGGCAAGCATACATTTCTATAATCGCCTTCCCGAACTATTCATTCGACTCTCGTCTTTTTGGACACATGCTTTTACGGCTGCAGTGAGTTATGACGCCCTTCGCAATGCTAATGGAATTCATCGCATGTCTATAGCTCATCGCCGGGTTTGTCGTATCTCGTACCCCTCATTCGGGTATAGCCACGACGGCGTTCATAGAACTAAACCGTGCCATGGATTTCTTCGAAAGTGCAGCCACAAAGAATCCGAGAGCGTTCCGGGCTTTGGTGAGATTGCTCTGGCTTACCATTCTATATGTGTTTACGCCAAACTTCTGCAGGTAATACTCCGGAAGCTGAAGGACAAAGCACATCGCGTCTATTTTGAATCCCATAGTAAAGCTCCGTCTCCGAGTCTTCTGAACTCCGATGTTTCTCAAGGAGGGAAGAAGTCTGATGAACCCGACCCTCTCGCCTTGTTTGGCGGGAAGTCATTCACCTTTTCCACACCTGCCAAAGGCCGCCATAGCCCGCAAGGGTCTCCAAGCGAGACGCTCGCGGCAGGCCTTGCAGCTGCGTCTGCGTCTGATTTAGCATTTTCAGCACCTTCTAATTTCGATATGATGCAAACTCTGACAGCCTTTGGCGTCCCTTCGCCGCCAAATGACAGTTTCGCCGATATCGCAAATTCTCAGTGGCAATCTCAGGAGGCAGCCTCGTGGCTGCCACCGGTACCCGCGTCTTATCCAGACTTTGTCCCATATAATCTGTTTAGAGATATACCGTCCCCGGATGGTCGCTTACCGACCCTCGCAGAGACCGCTGCCACAGCCCCCACAGACTTCTCCTACCTTGGTCTCCCTGCAGTCGGGGCTAACACCGATTGGCAATGGGCATCTTTGCTACGAGACTCAGGCTTACTGGACGGATCTCAGCAGCAAAGTGAATTCGATGGTAGCTCATTGGCGTGATGAGGTGATATCGTTTCTCATTAGTATTCCAGACTTCTTCCCCGTCGTTTGTATTTTCATAGGTCGGTTAAAGCTGTAACACTTCAAGGCGCTAGTGTACCCCTACTGAGAAGATATATGGATTTGTCATTTCCATCATGTGGCGATTCTGTAAACAGAATCTTAGCTTATATTATATTGCTCCAGTTCGGACATAAACCCAGACGCATGACTGCGGACCGTACCATCCATCCCGAGTCCAACCACGCTTGCTGATCATGACTGAGTTCTCTCTACCTCCTTTACTTTACGCCTATTCTTAGAAGGTCCAACCCCGGCTTTCTCGGCGTTCTATCGGGAGACCTACCAGCTTTCTCCCCTTGATTCTTTATGCATGGCTTTTCCCGAAGTAAGTCCTCTCTATGGCTAGGAGTTGACGTTCCGGATCGGCATCTCACCATTGCCTCGTCTTGTGATAGGTATTGCGGCTACAGGACTCGAAAATAGGCGCCTTTCCATGCACACGCTTCATCTTGCTGCAACGAGCAAGTGCTCATCCGAGAACTCCCTCAGATTGGACATGGAAGATCGCCGTGGCTGATTTATAAAGGCAGCGTTCCACGCAGTTCTCGTCCAACGGGATGCCCGCGTAGTGCTGCATACTACCCCAGGCATAGTCGCATATCCGCCGCAACTGGTGCCGCCCACTCGTCGATATGCAGTGGATACTCACTGGGCTGCTAGCCCTACTTCCGAGCTTCGCGTGGGCGCAGACCAATGCGTCTGCAGCGACATCAGTTACGGCTGCAGCGTCGTCCTCTGTGTACTATCCACTTCCATCTACGCTGTCGACGTATTATACAATACCTGTATCGCCGGTTGCCTTCACCCCAATCCCCTCCCCAAGCGATCCCCCGTCAATTCCAGGAATATTTCCAAGCGCAGTACCTAGCAATCCCCCTCCTGTTAGTCAGGACCCCCAAGTTGTTCCAGACTTTGGGCCAGCTTGGGCAATTGCACTTGAGAAGGCTGCTGCCAAGGTTTGCATTTTCCTTTTTTTTGGATGCGCTCGCGAGGCCACTTCCTGCCCAGGTCGCCAATTTTACTCTGGAGGAAAAAGTCAACGTGACTACTGGCGTGTATCCTAACTCAAGATGCGTCGGTAATATTGCTCCTGTGTATCCAATCGAGGGACGAGGCTGGCCCGGTCTCTGTCTCATGGTGCGGACCTTTTACTGCGAAAAGGGCACAGTCGACTCATGCGATTGTCTCATCTGTCCTTTTATTAGGACTCACCACTTGGGATCCGCTACGCCGACTTTGTGACCGCCTTCCCGACCGGGATCAACACTGCTGCTACGTAGGTGGTTCCATGTCCATCACATTCAACCTATCATGCAACTTTCGTCGCACCCGTAATGTTATAGCTTACACATTCGCATAGATGGAACCGTGCAATGATGCGACTGCGTGGTCTCTATATAGGTCAAGAAGCTGTAGGGAAAGGCGTCAACGTACAACTCGGACCCATGATGAATATGGGGAAGAACGCCCAAGGTCAGTTGTTTCTCGCGTGCTATATAAGGGAGTTTCTGTCCTCGTCGATGCTCTCGTCCTGGGAAGGCGCCTTGGAGGTATGATGTGAGCTCAGAAGACTCCTCTCAGGTGGCAGGAACTGGGAAGGTTTCGGCGCCGATCCCTTCCTGGCGGGAGAGTCCGCATATGAAACAATCCTCGGTATGCAACAGGCCGGTGTACAAGGCTGCGCTAAACATTATATCAATAAGTGCGGTTTCGTTTTCCATCCGTCCTTGGGATACGTTGCTCAGTTTCTGCGGTATGCCATATGAAGTGAGCAAGAGTACGACCGTATGCAAGAATCTAACACCGTTGATGACCGGACGGAACACGAGATCTATGCTCATCCCTTCATGAGAAGCGTCATGGCCGGGGTCGCAAGCGTGATGTGCAGTTATAGTGGGTATTCCTTCTCGCCGTTGCATGCCTGTCGCTGTCCCTTCCGGTCCTTGTGGTTCCTACCACATCAGTGGCACAAAGTCTTCTATCATTTCACTGATATTGCTGATCCCGTGTCCAGATCTTATCAACGGTACCTATGCATGCGAGAATGATAAAACACTGAACCAAATCTTGAAGATGGAATTCGGCTTCCAAGGATGTACGTGGCGTCCGGAGATGCACACGAGACTGTACCTTGAGCTGTCTTTGCAGACGTCATGTCTGACTGGACTGCAACCCACTCTACGATGAGTGCGACGGCAGGATTAGATGTGCGTTCTCAGTTTGTGCCGGGCGCTTCTTCTGAAAGGCATGAATCTCTCCAGATGACTCAACCCGGAGATATCGGTTTCGGAACCAACTCTTCCTACTTCGGCGGTAATCTGACGGCTTTTGTTGAGAACGGTACTATCTCCCTGGACAGACTGAACGATATGGCGACGCGCATTATTGCTGGCTGGTACCTCCTGGGACAAGACTCTCCGTCTTACCCGCCAACTAACTTCAACGCCTTCAATATCACGGACCCCGCAACCAACCAACATGTGGACGTTATGGTATGCATAGATCAGCATGTATCATGGGCGTCTATCTAGATGACACTGAAATGCAGGACGACCACTACACCATCGTTCGGGAGATTGGAGCGGCAAGTACCATATTGCTGAAGAACCTCGGCAATACGTTGCCGCTGAAAGGCATCCGGAGCTTGACAATGATAGGTATGTTATCGACTCGTTCGAAGGAGATTCTATCTCTTACTAGAGATGATATCCAGGTTCTGATGCGGGTCCCGATCTTCGCGGACCAAATGGATACGCGGACCGTGGTGGTGACGACGGAGTTTTGGCCATGGGCTGGGGATCCGGGTTCGTTCATCACACTTCACGCACCAAAGCTAGACATAGTTGACAGGATACTCGACGAATACAGCACGGATAACTTCCCTTGGCTCATTTCGGTAAGTTCCTTCTGTTATGTCTGCGTACCAAGGACTAATACATCTGCATCAGCCTTTGGAGGCAATCCAGGCACGGGCGAGGCTTGACCACACCCTTGTTTCGTGGTTCCTTGAAGATTTCGATTACGCTGGTGTCGCGGCGGAAGTCACAGGCAAGCAGCTGGCCATTGTTTTCGTCAATTCAGACTCGGGCGAGGGTTACATCACGGTTGACGGAAATGAAGGAGATAGGTACGTCTATTGGTCGCTCTGCTTCTATCAATGCTCAGGAGTAGTACAGGAAGAACTTGACAGCCTGGCACGGAGGCGACGAGCTAATTCTTACGGTGGCTGCAAACAATAACAACACTATCGTTGTAACACACAGTGTAGGGCCCTTGATCATTGAGCCTTGGATTGACCACCCCAATATCACGGCAGTACGTGCCTTATTTATGGTCGCGCACGTCCTCCTCATCTACTATTTAGGTTCTGTGGGCTGGTGTCCCGGGCCAGGAGGTTGGTAATTCTCTCGTGGATATCCTTTACGGGGCATGGAGCCCATCTGGGAGGCTTCCATACACAATCGCTCGGAATGCCTCTGACTACCCGTCCCAACTCGTTCTCGGCGGAACTCCAGAGGACATCTTAAGCATCAACTATACTCAAGGGTAAGAACTGCTCGCCCCGGAAGCATTACCCTGTCTGATATATTATAACAATATAACAACAGGTTGTTCATCGACTATCGGTGGTTTGATGCCATGAACATCACGCCTAGATATGAATTCGGCTTTGGGATGAGCTACACGACCTTTGAGTATTCCAATTTGAATATCGCCGCCGTGCCCAATGCCGACACCTATGACACGGAACTCATCGCCAACTGGGAGGCCGGGCTGCCCAACCCGCTTGGCATTGGGTCAACCACCGCGATATGGTGCGTATGCGTTCAATGACTTATATGAGATTGCCTCACTGTGCCGTAGGTTGCACACGCCAATTTACATCGTGTCCTTCGACGTAACGAACACTGGATCGTACTACAGTGGCGAGGTATTCTTCCCGTGGCGTGATCCCGTTTACATTGCGCTCACCTCATATCGCAGATACCACAACTCTACGTCCACTTCCCAGCTTCGGCCAATGAACCACCCTCTGTCCTGAAGGGGTTCACGAACATCAACCTTAACCCTGGGGAGACGCAAACAGCGACGATCACCCTGAACCGGTACGATCTGTCAATCTGGGACGTCGTGGCGCAGGGCTGGGTCAAGCCGAACGGGACCATCACATTCACCGTTGGCGCAAGCAGTCGGGACGGTCGTCTATATGGTACAATCCCGTCTTAAGGGCAGCTTCACATTATATGCACGTACAGTGTACTTCCCTTGCGTTCGATTCAGCGGTTATGAATGACACTAGGATGACGCCAATACCGCCTGCTTTCGGAACAACATCCTGGTGATCTATTGTTCGACGTCCTGCTTTAAAAATATCGACAAGGCCAAGTACCAATTCTGGTCGTCCACAGACGAGAATATGTATCCGCCTGTTTGTTTCCTCAACGAATTAGCGACAAGTTCTTTACGCGTCGTCATGTCTTAGGACAGGATAAACGCAATGAGATCTGCTATCCGCGGGAATGTCGACGTGCTGGTCGGCGTAGTCGAACGCGACACCGTCCTTATTCTGAGTCTCGCACCAGTTGCACAGGGTGATCTTGACGACGACGACGCAAGGAAGGAGTCAATGCCGATCGCGCCAGGGCATTCGCCTCCGCCTGCACAGGGTTCTGGTCCGCGTCCTGCTCGCCTTGTTTGCCTTTTACCACCTCAAGCCCAGTCAGGCCTAGAGGAGGACGACTGAGGTGAAGAAGAGTCACGCCCGTGGAAGCGGAGACCTGCTATCGGAGTCATAACTGAGCAGTAGGCGTACCGGCGATAGACTGTCGTGGGCATCACCATAGGTGACTTGGCGAAAGTCCGACGAGGCGAGTGTTGTAGCCTCAGGATTTTTTCCAGAAGTACATGGCAGCGTTGGTACAGGGGTCCGCTGAACCTCTGCTGGCGTGAACTCCTGGAAATGCTACTCCATAACTAGTCAAAGAAGCGCTGCCCCGACGTGTATTTTGGCGATTAATATTCCCTGCGACATACGTGAACTGGTGCACGGACGAACGTTGTCACGACGTCCCAGGGTATTGGCATCCGAGTCCGAGGAATCGCTCAGTGACCAGTGGTCAGATTACTGGCTTTGTACATTAAATTGCTGCAAGTTGAGATACGTTGGTGACTCTTGTCAAGTTGTCGGGCGTACCAGCCGTACAAACGCCGTCAGTAGACCTGAGCTATGTATGTGGAACGGCAATTATACCCGAAGCCGCCGGCATATAAACGGATTCAAGTCCACTTGCCACAGACGCGTATAATACCCAACTTGTACGCGACGGTAACGCGTCTTTCGCATCTCAGGTAAATGGAGGAGGATCATCCACAAGTATGACTGTACCACCGCATCATACGTGGACTCATTCCCCACAGATTACCCGCACTCCGCGGTGCAGTCACTTAGACTGGCATGGGGGGAGGCAAACCTGATTTGTCTATAAGCAGGTAACGTCAAGATCACTCGAGCTGCTGCCCGCACTTCACTTTTGTATCAACCAGACGTGTATGGCATGCCGGAGCGATTCCTAGTATAGACTATAGAGTTGCTCTGGCCTGCTTTGATGCCCGTCAGCTGCAGCTGGATGCAGGGTGGACGTGACCGAACTCCCTCCCGAAGAATCTGAGCAAGCTCTGGGCGTTCGTCTTCATGGTCTGTCTTACTCTCTTGACTGCCCAGCGTCTGCCCAAGCGCGAGGACGTCCGTAGTGGTAAAAAATGTTGCCCACTGATCTTCCGAACCACCGATCAAGTCTCTGCAGGAGTAGACATCAGCCCAATGTAAAGGTGCGCATTGTACACCCTGTAAATACATATACACCCTCTTTCTGAAGACCACAGCGTCCCATGTTCAAAGATGAATCAAGGGTTCACGAACAGGTCTCAGACGTCATAACAGACATCTCGTTCTGGTACACACACTTCGACGTCGACATCATCGCCGCATTCCTTATCTCCTTCTCCAGCGCCGCGACGTTCTCGCAATTCACATATCCAAGCTCGTTCAGCGCCGCGACGCCCGCCAGGAACCACGACCGGTCCGAGAACTCGTCGAGGTGCACCGCGCCCTTATCAATCCGTATCTGCTTCAGCACAGTCCCGATGCTCTCCACGACGTCCTCGTACGCGCCCATCGCAGACAGGTCCGCGAGCTTAACGGCAACCACCATGTGGGTCTCCTGCTTCAAGTCGACCTCGGCTGCCTCGTACCGCCACTCGCTCTCCGGGTTCTCGAACGTCGTGCGCCATCTCAGCCCGACCTCTCTCTTCGCATCGTTGCCAGGCTTCGGGAGGAAGAATGCCCAGTGCCAGGAGGCACCCCTGCTCCGGTCCTTTAGGATAGCGTAGAGTGACTCGTAGTCCAGCGGCACTACATGGGGTCGAAGGGTATAAGAGTTCCTGCGAAGTACGCGAAGCGTCTAACGTTAGACTGACTATATACTGAGGTTGCGAAAGTCGACGCCGACGTCAATGCAGCTGGGGAACTCTGATGTGTAGGTAGATAATCACCTCGGAGTACATGATCACTTATAAGGGGCGGACTTGGTGATCACGGGGCATGGCTTTTGGTATGTCCGGATCCGGAGCTTCGCGGCGTGACCTCGGTCCGACGCGTGCACCTAAATACATTCCGTAAAGCGGGGAGTGAGAGATGGGATTGAATTCATAAGTACCCGAGTCCAGCTAGGTGATGCTTCCGAAGAATACAGTAGTAGCGACAATGCGACAAAGCAAGGATACAATATGCAAGTGCAACGACGTATGCATTCCGAAACAAGTGTCATTAGATAGATAGTCCCATGCGGCTCGCCGCTTTAAGATAGTCACCATACCAGCAACACAACCGACGCTGGCGTCGCAGCGCGCTAGCCATGACTGATGATCGCCTCCCTGCCCTGCTGCACCCGCGCCATCCTCTCGTTGAACCCGGCCGCGTCGAAGCGACTGCCCAGGATCTCGTTCGCGAGCGCGTTGATCGCCGCCGCGCCTGCCTTAGCAGCAGACGAGTCTTTTGACAAGGAGCTGTTGCTGCCCGAGTGCCTATGGCCGCCGATCTCGCCCAGGTACGCGCGCACGGCTGGGTGGTCGGAGGTTGGGCGGTACAAGCAGGCCGCGAAGAGCTCGAGTTGTTTAGTAAAGTTGCGAGTGCGGTTGAATAGGGGTAGGGCTGGAGGATGATAACATTGTAAGTTATCAGTCTGAACTACACGTGTTGCGGAAAAGGACGCGCCGTTTTCGAGCAAGGAAGTCGCCTGGCTCGGTGAGATACGTCGAGATGACATTACTGATGGGAGGAGATTTACGTCAGATTCAGGCTTCAAACGTGCAGTTTGATACCGCAAGTACGTACGATAAGCGCATATAATTACCGCAGCTTTCCATTCTGCGGAGGAGTATACCAGTACTTGGCCGCCAGCCGCGATGGCATCACGGATGAAGCTACAGGCATTAGGGAGGGATAGGAGTAAGCTCTCGGGTCGCGCTTCGCTGACGTCCAAATGGTGATGCTGGACGTTCGAGGGTATCAATCTAGGGGGGATCTCTCCCGGATATGTTGTAAGGACGTGGGTCATGCCCATATCCATGAGCAGTGATTGTGCTTGTGTGGCGTCATCAGGAAATTCACTGTCCCGAGACAGGGCCAGCAAGTCAGTAAAGGCTCGGTAGGATGGAGTATCACGACACGCACCTGCTGATATAGAGTTTATCGGGTATGATAGATATGGTGTCGTGAACAGCGTTAAGATAGCTCGTGACGTCTTGCGCTTGTCGGCGCTTCCAGGAAACGTACGGTCCGCTCGTGGGTGAGGGATGGTAACCGCTATCCTCGAATGCCTTGAGCTGCTTGATGAACCCATAATTCGGGTGGATCTGGGACCGACCTAGACCGGCGTGGGATCATCGTCAGACTAAATCAAGAAAACGATGAAGGAATCGCACTCACGTTGTTTCACATACGATAGGGCCTTCGCGGGTGAGATGTGCCTAGTCTCCATGACTGCACGCGATGGCGCTCGCGTAAGCCGGCGGGAACGAGAGTGCTAAAGCCGTTTGGGAAACCACTCACGAAACGCGCAGACGACGGTGACGCTTCGCGATATTCCCATGACGCAGTGCACGAGGACCTTACCACCTGCGTCCAAAGCGGCCTGAATGAAGCGACACGCCTCGGGCAAGTGAATGAGGAGATCCTCGTACTCTGAGTCCTGCACGGGTATGCTGAGGTGGTTCGGCCCTTGCGCGGGGTGCTCCGGGCATACTGAGAGGACGTGCGTGATACCGAGTTCGGGATGGTCGGCCAGAGACTGCGCGGCGGCCAAGCTGCACGTCGGTCAGTAACGCTGCGACGCCACACGCGCTTCAGCCACACTCACTTCCCAACGTAGACTCTATCGTCGATGATAGCATCCATGCTCGCCGGAGTATACATTGCCGTCAAGGAATGAGAGACAAAATGAAGAAAGAGCGAGGGCGACCGAGTCTAATATATACGTTGGCGCCCCAACGGAGGAAGAAAGAGTTGTGATAAACACTGCACGGCCGGCTCTCTCGGAGACGCCTTGCGCGCCGCTTAGGTAAGCAACCCCCGGAATGACACGCGTGCGTCGGAGCGTCGGCGTCGTCCGACACGACGCCGCCCCCGCCTGCCTTTTGACCGTCACCACCGTCACAATATTCACCCTCGCCTCGTAGTTATGGCAATTTCGTGTGCTATACCCAGATCTTGCTCGTCGACGGTGCGCGACCTTTTGTCCAGTGCGGCGCCAGGGGATCGGATTAGTAGATACGAAGTATTTCCTCGGTCTACATACATCGGGAACATCAGAAGCCCTAGCTATGACATGTGCCAGGCAACCTGACTGCTGCCTGAGGCATCTCTGAACGGAACGTGACATACGCTTTCCCGGCGGCTCGACGTCAACGGCTCTCATGTCGACCATGTTATCAGCGCGAGAGCAGAACGAAGGCTGGGACCCATCCCACCATCTTCATTTCTGACGCTTCCAGGACTTGTGTACCGCTATAGGTCCACTCAGAGATTAGACGCACGTTTCTTCGCACTCCCATCGCCTTGCATCCCGGATCCACTGGTCATACCTTCATTTACAGTCCACGCCACCGATGCCAGAAATAGCAAAGCTGCCTCAAGAGGAGAACGCCCGCAAAACGTGAAGGGTACGAATGCAGTTTGGGCAACCCCGATAGTGCCGATGCTTCCGTCTTCTAGCTTCAAGGATTCGTTATACCGTCTGAGTATCGAGTGAGAGCTCTAAGACCGCGATGCGGTTTTATATGAAAAGGGCCGCAAGAACGCTGTAGGACTTACCTCCAGCTTGGGTCGGCGATGCTTCAAGCAAGCACGTAGATAGGCAGCAATTGTCGCGTTATCGAGGCTAAATTAGCAATATAGCCACTAGGGAGAGGACCCGGCCGGTCCTGTTACACGCTCTACATCAGGATACTGGATCAGACTAGCGGGGGTCGATTTACCGTTTGCACTTGACCAATACATTCGGCAGCTCTTGGGTATAGGAACTCTGTACATGGCTGAATTGAACTGCTCGCGTGGTCGTGTAGAGCGATCGCGTCACGGAAGCAAACCGTAATATACTTCCGCTCGAGGGACATATATTCCCATCATATCTGATAAGGGTCTATAGGCTCACCAATGTTCGAAGTTGCATCTCGCCTTCTGAAGAGAGACAGCAGCTTATAGGGGGGCCAGTCCTTACCTTCCGTACGTCCTCATGGAGCTTTGGTAAGCCTAATATTAGAATCAATTCGCGAGTGAACGGAAGTCTCACCACAACTACCAGGTGCACGACTGTATCAGACCCCAAGCTTGACAAGGCATCGGTGTCCCGGGCGCTATGGCAAGAAGGAGTCGTGAAGGAAAAGCGCAGGGCTACCAGGCTCACGCACGGACCTTCTACTCGTATTATCATCGGCGACTGGTGTTGACTGGCGTATAGGAAGATCAGGCTGGATCAGCTCACGGGATGGCAAAACGGCTGATCACACGCGAGTGCTATGGGCAACATACGAGCGACAGCGGGCGACTAGAGGTTCTGAGAATACCCCTTTAGCTCCTGACAGAACTCATGAGTGAACAATGATCCACTCGTTGGCGCGTCATTATCTGGGATTCGGATTGGGGTAGGACGAGACGAGGCCCGCCTATCGAAGACCTGCCATCCGACTGAAGCAGGTACCCGGCGGGCTCGAGCGACGGAATTCGTCCCTGGAGTACGTCGACCACTGGTTCCTCCTGTGTACCTATATGACGATATATCTAGAGAAGGAAAATAATCGATTTAGATGGCGTCGCTGACATGACTCACCAGACCCGATGAACCTCAGTCGTTGAATATGTGCGGATCCTCGAGTCCATCAATGGGCCAGAGATGCCCGCTCACTATCAACGTGAGCGCAGAAGAAGAGGTTGCTCTTTCCTCGCGTAACTGAAATCCTGCTGATAAGGTCATTGGTAAGGCTCTTGAATCGATTCGGACAATCATGACGTTCCCGCGCTGCATTCGAAGGGTAACTCGGGCAAGTTGGGCGGCCTAGACGTTGCCATGCAGATATTCCTTTGTTTAAGTTGTGAGTCGGTCTTGCCCAGTATTCGAGACAGTTTCCGCGGATACAGCTACGCAGGTATCAGGTTGAAAACGGCAGGCGTGCATTGTCGCCAAAGACAGTTATCGGCGGGGGAACTCTACCCATTGTTCGCTCACGAATGTGAAAGAGGGAGAGCTGCGAGGATCTTTCGTTGGGGCGGCGGATGTGATCAGAGGCAAAGCGACAATGAGCTCGACCCTCGGGACTGCAGGACGGGCAGGGGAAATAAGCTCGAGAATTTGCCTCGTTTCCTTGCAGCGCCGTACACGAGTGCGTAGACAGGGTAAATAAGCTCGGGATTTTGCCTCGTTTCCGTGAAGTGTCTGGACACAATGCAGAGACCGGACGAATAAGCTCAGGAATTTGCCTCGTTTCTTCTTGCCATCAGAGTGGCTGTGTTACTCGCCTGGTTTGGCCTATATTTGCACAAAACGGTCTGAACCGCGACATCTCGTCCAGTACTTACGCCAAATCTTCAGCACAAGTTTCTATAAAACAGATGAGCCTTGGGAGTCTTCCAGCCCTTTTGGAAGACAATGAAACGCAACCCAACCTCGTCGCTGTCGGAGGGAAAGGAATTTTCAGCCAAGTGTACATGTGAAATGCCCTACGTCACAAACGCGGTCACGTGACTGATCCTGTCGCGTCGGGTGGCACAGTAAATTCGCGTCGCGTCCTTATTCCACCCCTCGTTCGAGAGCTGCTGCTCGGTAGCACGTTGCAATACCTCTAAATGTGCTCTGACATGCGTGGCTATCTGAAATATAGGACTATTCCCGACTGAGCTCTGAAGTCAAGACGCTGGGACGCGTGCAGTTTGGACGCTTTGTGACCTTTGTCCTCACGCCGAACCGATGCCACTTGGACAATGGTAACCACCAAAGCTGTGGCAGGGTGTGTCCCCGTATCCAAGCGCTTTTTGCACTTACTTTGATTGATCTTGCAGGAGCCTCTTTCATTCCGTTTTGGTTGTGGGTGCTTGTGGCGCCATCAAAAGCCACCACGAAACCCTGAAGTTACCTAATACCTAAAAATCCGTTCATCCCATATTGTACACACAATGCCCTGCCACCAAGAAATGTGGCAGGCCATCCTGCCCCTATAAAAGCCCTTATGATCAGTCTGTCCTCCATCCAGTCCTTCGCTCTCCGGTCGTGAATTCGCTGATTTCGTCTTCTTGTATTCATCTTTTCCGTTCTTACGACCAAATAATGGCCTACTTTGATCTTCCCTTAATCCCCTCTGTCGGCGCTGGCGCCCCCGAACCAAAGCTCGACGTCCAACTCACAGAGGACTGGAGGGCCACTTTGAGCCCTGTAGCGTTCAGGCGGATCGAATTCCGCTACGCTGGGGCATCCCGCCCTGGGATTTTTTTTCGAGACTGCAAGTCGCGTGATGCTCTGAAATCTGTTATGGAGTGTCCCGAAGAGGTGCCGTTTCCCAGATTACAAGGGGCGCAGAGATTGAAGATCGTGGTAAGTCTTGTATGTTCCACAGCACAACTAACTCTCCGCTCACAGTATACATAGTGGCCAACGACTACGCTTCAATACGAGCCGGTGTTACATTCCATTACGGAGAACATGGCGACTTTGGCTGCGGAAATTGTCCAACACTTCAACCGTTTTGTCGCTGTAAGTTCTTGTATACCCCGGAGGGGTTTTCGCTTGATATCCTCTGCATAGGCGTACGCAGCTGCAGATGTAGGCAGCGCCGCCTGGTCTATGCAGGGCCGAATTTCGTGGAAGGACGAGATGCGGTTGGTGGCTCTCGTTAATATTGGGCCGGGCCGGTGGCAAATGGTCCTCGAACGCTATCAATACGTATTAAACTAGTGGGCTTCCATAACGGCCGAGACACCTGGCGCGTCTCAGTTCACGACTTCATGCGCAGGACACTTTCACTTTGACCACATCACACGACTTTGGGACGGGACTTCTTCATTACGACGCATTGTTTATTTATTCGCATGCCACATCTGTTGTAGAGTAGACATCCTCCATCATGTAGAACGCCTGTAGCAGTAGTATTTCGTTCCTTTGGCATTCTACGCGCTCGACGCGTGGTATTTGTAGCAGTAGTCTTTTCGTTCCTCGTTGCATTTTGTATGCTCGCGCAGCATCGTTCCACTCACTGACTGTACTATCGTATTCATGTACTGACCACCATGACGCAATACATACACACCGACGATTCATTTTGGACGTAGTGCTTAACGCCTTCGACACTGAGAGACGAGAGCAAATGTCGCGGGACCCGCTGTAAATTGTGAGCGTATTATATCGTTCTGGAACGTGATGGGAGGCTCGACAGATAGGAAATTCCGACTGCCACGAATCAAGTTGACAGGGATGTCAGGTACCGTATTCTACATCAATTCAAGTCCCCGCTTGGAATGTTCGTTGTGAAATCGCTCGATTCACGGCTGCCAGGGCCATATATTAGCCCGAGACTCATCTTGCAAAGGGGATAGACTGGAAACTGATATCTATGAATCCATACCTATTCCAAATGAGACCGGATTTGCCCTCCTCAACAGCGACGCACCTGACACGAAGTGGAAACCATCCCAGCAGACTCTAACCTACCTCTCCCGCCACCAAGCTCGCTCGAACACTAAGAAGCACGAGAAGCACCGAGGCGGCGCCCACAAACGCCCACAAAATCACTGCAATTCCACCGAAGCCGACTCGGAATCCTATTCAGGTAATGCGGGTCGCCTCGAGATCACGCCGACTGTCTGGCGACGCGGGGGTTCGGTCGCCTATTGTTCTCCATATCCGTGTGCATATCTCGGCAGCCCTATCGTTTGCGAGCTTACCAGTGGTCATGGGGAGCGCAAGTAGCTCGAGAGATAGGTTCAGGCCATGTGTCGGCCGATAGATAACATGGTCTCCGCAAGACGGAGTGGCGTTGGGGGGATATCGAGCCATTACAGTGGCCGAGCATCCATATAAGCGACGGATACCATTTGCATGTCGCTTCCATATTCTTCTTGATCGTGTTATCCGCGAGCAATACAATTTCCTACAGCTACAACTACAACAATCGACGCATCAATCCAAGCCATTCGATGCATAAAAGGGTCCATACCTACATTCGTACACTTCATACCAGACTTTCTTGACAGTCTCGCACCAGCTTACGACTTCTTCTTCTTCTCCTCGATCAGCTCCACATTGCTTTCCGGCACGCCCTTGAGCACGCCCTTCTCCTCCCTGATCATGTCGAACACTTCGTCGCTGACGTCGCCCTGGACGACGATCTCGTCTAGGCCCTGGGCGTTCTTGGTGACGGAGGCGCCCGTGGCGAAGGTCTGCGCGAAGAGCTTCGCGGCTTTCTTCAGGTCGATGTCTACGGATAGCAGATGAGCGGGCTCGGAGTAAATGAGGGAGAGCAATGAGTGCGCACCAAAGGCTTCGAGGCCGTGAATGGCTGTTACGTATTTGTTCTTTTGTCGCTGTATCCGTTTAATTTGGACCTGCAAGAGGTAAATCCAAACGCGAACAGCAGACGTAGATGGAGAACATGCCTGCGATGCCTATAATTTGGATTAGCAAAGCGTTCAGTAACCAGGAGACAAGAGGAGGGTAGAGGGTGGGGGAGAAGATGGCAGCGGCGGGGAAGAGATAAGATGGGGCGATGATGAGGGGGGAGGGTCACGTAACAACTATCTCCCAGCTCTATCTAGACATAGTTGAAGTACCGCATACCATTTTCTTCTTCATCTTCGCATCAGCCTTGGCCTCTGCCTTTGCCTCCTTCTTCGCCGCCTCCTGCTCCAGCTTCGTCTGCTGCTCCAGACTCATCGTGCCCAGCTTCGACTGCAGCGCCTCTGCCGGTCATCATCCAATACAAGCAGGAGGAGGGCAGAGAGCACACAGAACCGTTCGTCATCCACGAAACGCGCCGCAACGATCAGACTGGACCGGTACTCACCTTCGGAGTAGTAGCGGTCATACAGATCCGGATGCTCGCTCTTCAGCCACTCCTTACATTTCGACAACCTCGAGCCGAACTCGCAGTACTCCGGGGGAAACGTGCAGACTAGAAGCAGAGCACAAGGATATAACCGACACCAAGCAAGACCGGGGAGATATTTGCGATGGACAGCGAGAAGTGTAGATCCAACAGATCTGGATTAATCTGGTACTCCAAAGAGCTAGCATTGGGATGTACCTTCGCAATACAGAACCTGTACGGGAGGCTTTGGTTGTGGGGCAGCTGTTGTCGCTTGTTCTGCAGACATTGCGGCGGATCTGACTGGAATGGCGCTCTTGAAGAATTCAGACCGAAAAGCCGTATAGAATGGGAGTGACCGGATCCCTAGTGAATTATTTATAATGTAGACAATAGCGGCTGCCCTGTATCGGATATGGTGTAACGGCTAACATTACCGCCTTTCACGCGGTAGCTCGGGGTTCGATTCCCCGTATCCGAGTAATACCATACCACACAACTTTTTTGACCCAAGTCACTCCATCTTTTCGACCATCGGCCGATTTCCCAGTCAACGGTGGGCACCTGCGATGTGGGCTTATCCTGGTCCATGGGAAACGAATATTGGTCCACGGGAGACCTGGCATTTGCGCGCTTTTCGCGACTTGTCAATGGATGTTGGAAGGGGCGGGCACGTGCGATGATGTCATGGATGCGCGAGTGACGATGAAGCTCCTCCAAGTTGCCCATTCGAAGATCTCCAATGTCGCGTCCGCCAGACCCTTTTAAGCCCAACACGCAGTCTACCGACCGAGCTACAACATCCCCCCATCATCCAACATGATTCCAAGTCGCTCAATCATCCGCTCGTCGCGTCTCGTCCACACGACCGCCCGCCTCCGCGCCGCCACGAGCGGCGGCAAGGACCCCTCTGTCTCGCAGGGCCACGCCGTCTTCGACAGCAACCAGTCCCCGCAGGACACCCAGTCGCAGCACGCGCGCGCGGGGCTCGCCGCGTCGGGCGGCGCGAGCGGGCAGGACGCCGCGACGCACGACGGGCGCGCGCAGCAGGCGCCGCACAAGGGCGAGTTCGCGGGCAACCAGGAGGGCGTGGGCATGCAGGAGCAGATCGGCGGGAAGAGCGCGCAGGGCGCGGGCGCGCCCGGCGAGGGGAAGGGCGGGCAGGAGGAGGCGAGCCCGCCGGGGTGGTTCGCGGCGGCGAAGAGCAAGCTTGGCCTGGGCACGAGCGCGGGCGAGGTGAAGCAGAACCGGGGCGGCGGTGAGGGCGTGACTGGCACCGGGACCGGGCAGAGGCAGGTCGGCCCGCGCGGCCTGCACACCAGCGCTGTTAGTCTCACTCAGGGCACGAGGAAGGCGGAGCCCGACGGCAGCAGGCAGCCGAAGGACGAACACGTAGCCGGTGAGCAGAGTCCGCACTTGACGCACAAGAAGGCCGGCGCGAATGACCACGGGCGCGGGAACGCAGCAGCGGAGCCTGCGCTGCCGTCGAAGCGGAACGACGCGCCAGAGGACAAGATCACGAACAGCGCGGGCGGGAAGCAGCAGGTGCGCCGGTTCGCGACGTCTGCGCGCGCGGGCTACGTGACGGGCGCGCCGAAGGGGAACACGCCGACCGAGCCTGGCGCGGGCGGGCCCACGACGAAGCTCGACGAGGGGAACCAGCTCGAGGGCGCGTCGCCGCTGACCGGCGAGAACCCGCCCGAGGCGCAGAAGGAGCAGGCACCCGACGCGGAGGAGGCCGACAAGAACAAGCAGCTGCCCGCGTACCAGCGCGACCAGTTCGTGAAGCAGCAGCACGGCGCGGCGAGCGAGAGCGTGCAGCCCGGCCCCAACGCGTCGGCGGGCCAGCAGCAGCAGCGGCGCTCGTACCACGCGAGCGCGCGATGGCGCGATGAGAACGCGAAGGGGCACAGCGCAGAGTCGTACTTCAAGGACGTGGACGACACCGCGCCGCCGGACTCGAAGACGCACGCGGTCGCGTACGGGGAGGAGGTGCAGCGCGCATCGGAGCCGCCCAGCGGGGAGTGGAGCAGGAAGGGCGCGGAGAGCAAGGAGTACCAGACGTGAGTATCTTGAGCATATATGCTCGTCGCGATGCTAAGACTTCTCTTGGACGTGTAGGGTGTCTCAGGATGAGCCGTATAGTCCCCCAGCACCGGGTGCTCAGGACGAGAAACTGCGATATGGGAACAGGGAGGAGTGGGGCGGCCAGCCTGGGAAGGGCGCCGGCGGGACCAGCCATCCTGGCGAGGGCCCCGAAGGTACCAACGCCGGAGGTAGGAAACCTGAGAGAGCCTAGGTTGTACCTATGAAATGAAGCCAGTGTAATTGTAGCGTCTACAATGCGTCTCTGCAGCAGACGAGCATTATCGTACACCTAAGATTTATTTCCGTGTATTCTACTTTGCAGCCTGGCGAGTGCCGATTTTAAATGTAGGTCGCGATAACGATAAAACATATGGTGAAGAAATGACACACTGGTCAAGCAGCGAGAGATATAAAAGATGGAGCTATTCCCCAAACTCTCGGATACGGGGAATCGAACCCCGAGCTACCGCGTGAAAGGCGGTAATGTTAGCCGTTACACCATATCCGACGGTACGATTTGCTCGTCCAATACTTGGTATCCCACCATCTGGTATCCGCACACCCGCCCATTCCAATCCATCATCCGATCTCCTTCATTCGCCGATAACATACGTACACCCCTCCTCGCCGATCCACACCTCGTGCAGCTGGCCCGCGGGCACGTCGATGCGCGCGCCGGGCCCGAAGGTCTCCTTCTGCGCGTCTGGTTTGTCGGGGTAGGTGACGGTGAAGGTGCCGGAGAGGATGAGGTGCGTGGTGATGCCGGGGTGGGTGTGCGGGGCGTAGTGGGCGTTCCTGGGGGGTGGGAAAGGTTAGGTTAGGTGAAGTTGGACCAGGGAGAGGGAGAGTGGCGGGAAGGAGAAGGAGAAGGAATGGAGGGAAGGGGGGAAGCGGGGAAGTGGGAAGAGAGGATTGGGGAGACGCACGCGCGGTCTGTCCAGGTGTAGACGCGCGGGAAGCCCCAGGCGCGGACTTCGCGCTTTGCGTCGGCTTCTGAGAGGGACATTGTGCGCTGTGTTGTGTTCTGGCTCTCGGGGTTGGGAGGTGGTTTGGTGCAGGACGATGCTGGTTGGGAACGCACGGGAATGTGTATGTTTATCTTCGGCGCGATGATGTCATTTCGCCTGGGCAGCTCGCCCCTCCGGGGTTGGTACCTCGAGTGCCGTAAACCGTTGTGGGCTTTTCTAGTATATCGTACATACATAGCAGGGCATGTTTTTTCTCTGACCTCGACGGTCGAACGAAGGAGCCCAAAAGAAGTCGCGTCGTGTAGAAGTCACTTCCTGAGATTAGTACTGAGAGACTGACGACGGGAGCCCGACGCGACGGCGGTGAGACCGACCCGACGAGACAGCAGTAATGCTCCTGTACGAGCATCCGCAAGCGTTCGGATCATAGCGTCGGGAGATGCGCATGGCGCGTGTTTGAAACCAGGCGAGGGGGTGGGGGGATTTCCTTGCATCCGGGGTTCTGCCTGTGCAGAGGCGGGCTTCCAGGCGTCTCTGGAATTTCGAAAGCAGAGGGTAGGCACCTCGACCCAGTTGCGCACGAGGCGACTTGCGCAACCGTCGAATCGAAGTCAAGCTGGCGGACCATTGACATCCGTTCGGAACCGCGAAAGTCTCTCTGTGTGGCTTTCTTCGCCAAGTCCCGTCCTTCCTCTGCGACATCCCGCCCGAGAGAGTGATCATTGCCTGAGATGTAGCCTGGTGAACGAGTGGCGACGTAGACTGCAGAGGTCGAAGTGATCGACAGAAGATGCTCCCGAACTTAGACATACCCACCCCGGTATGTCATTCCCACGCCTTCTTTCCTCCGCCCTTCACTCCCGCCTCGAACATGTCGCAAGCGATAGGCAACGTACGCCCTTTCTTCCCCCTCTCGTTCTACATTCACCAGGTGTAACAACTGCGTAGACCGCGCTTGCCTACGCGCGGGTATGGCACCACGTCGACGCCTCCGACCGGATACTGGGTAAGCTCGCGGAGCGGATCGCCATCGTGCTCATGGGCAAGCACAAGCCCATCTACGACCCCAGCGGTGCGTTCTCCCTCCTATGGTTTCTTTAACATTCTATTAAAAAAGAATGCACTCTCCTAGTGGACTGCGGCGACTACGTGATCGTCTCGAACGCCTCGAAGGTGAGGGTCACCGGCCGGAAGGAGGAGCAGAAGGTCTACCGCAAGCACACGATGTTCCCCGGCGGGCTGAAGGAGGTGAAGTACAAGGACATGATGGTCAAGAAGCCCGACGAGGTGCGTTGGCCTTCCTTCCTTCCTTCCCTCCCTCCCCCCCCTTCGCGGTCTCATCGCCGTCGAGCGCAGATCATCCGCCAAGCCGTCTCCGGCATGCTGCCCAAAAACAAGCTGCGCGACCGCCGGCTCGAGCGCCTGCGCATCTTCGAGGGGCCGGACATGGGCCGCCTCGGCGCGAACATCGTGCGGCGGTGGCAGGACGGGACGCTGGGGCAGTCGTACCCACGGGGGACCCGGAAGGCGGGGAGCGGGGAGGCGGGTGCGGCTTAGACCTCGAGGGAGGGTGAAGGGGGGGCTGTGCTCGGTGTGTCTAGTCTATCGCATATAGTGTTTAATGTCTCTGGCTGTCTGCGCGGCCCATGAACACGGCTCGCCTCCAGCATCGACCGCACGTTCGCCGCCGCTGCCCATTCACAACGTTAGCCGGGCTTGTCAGCGGCGGGCGCGTTAGCTCCACCAATTTCTGCGTGCGCGCGACCTCCCTGGGGCGACGTATACGATGTCCTGCACGGGTATCTTCGCACTGCGCAGTACTTAGACCATCTCCCAGGCTCTGCTGGACGTATGCCTATATCCACCGCAATGCAGCATTCGCAGCCATGTCGGGGCTGGTGGGCTTCCTGGACCATGTCTGCGGTCGCTGGTGACGCGCCCCCGATCCGGTCGCCAACCATCACCAGGACCCTCCACACCACCAGGGATCCGCGCGAAGCGTGCGCCACGCCGCTCAATTAATCTGCTCCAAGGCCGCGAAGGAGCGATACTTACGAGAATGGGCTATCGACTAACTTGTTACGGGAAGATGCGAGGTCGCCGTCGGTGACGACAGGTGACGGAGGCGTACGTATGTTTTGCTCGTCAAAGGTGAGGCGGGGTGCGGAGGGGGTATACAAGAGAAGTTGGTGGTCCACTCAGACACTCACTCGCTGGCTTGTCTTCCATCCCAACGAACATCTGCACGCACAAATTGAGTTCTGTCTTTCATAACCATGTCCAAGGATATCAGCAGCGTAGGTCCACACGCCCACACTCGTGTACCTCGCCCAGACTGACTGACTGTATGCGCTCCCCCTAGGTTGCCCGCGGCCACAGTGCGTCCCGCCGTCGCTCACGATTCCGCGCACGCATCATCTGACTGACGCTTGCTGTGACACAGAGGCGGCCATCAGCAACCCGCACGTCTCGGAAGAGACGAAGGAGCACTCGCGGCAGGTGCTCGAGGAGCTCGCGGAGAGCGGCGAGCTCGACTCTGCGGAGTCGAAGAACGCCAACGTCGTCCGGGGGCACAAGGTGCGTTTCCCCTTCCTGGCAGGGGACTTGGGCTGACGCTGGACGGACGCACAGGCGAACCTCGCGAACCCGCACACGTCTGAGGAGTCGAAAGACCGCTCGGAGAAAGTCCTGGACGAGCTTGACGCGTGATCATGAATATGACTGGATGCTGAATGAATAATGTAATGTAATGCGATATGTACGATGCAGGTTATTGGGGTATAATACTTTTTGGCTACACTCACAGTGGGGAGGGCTCGTCACTCCTGCAGGACAAAGTACTCCGTCCCGTAGAGCGCCGTGGTGGCGAGCGCCCCGCCGGTGAGGACGACGGTCATTGGGTGCCTGGGCGCTTTCACGCTCCGTCGTAGGTGGAGGAACAGGTACGTCAGGGACCACGCTGCGTCCCGCGCATGCATGCATGGAGTCAGTCGCGAGAGAGGTATGCTATGCATGCCAAACGCACCTGTGGCGATCCCGCTCCCGTTGCGCGCGTCGCCCTGCGCGAGGACGTACCCCGCGACGGAGAAGACGATGCCGAACCCGAAGCGGTGGAGGAAGGGCGGGATGTGCGCTCTGGGCGGGTGCAGCGTCGCGGGGATCAGGGCGGAGCCGAGGACTATCGGAGGATGGGTGTTACTGTCAGTGGCGGGATGGTGGGCGGGGGACGTACATAGGGCGCTGAGACCGCAGGCTGGGAGTCTGAACAAATCAGATCATCTGAGAACATTAGAGCCTTGCACGTATACGACGACACGCACGGCGATTGGGAGTACGGGCGCACTGCGGAAGCCAGTTGAGACTTGGAGCTCTCCATAGAAGTCGTTGGCGCATTCGTGGCAGGCGTGCTCGGAGGTGTGCCCGACTCGGAGGAGGACATGGTCGACCACCGCGGGGACGCGCCTGTGGCTCCGAACCCGCCCTGCCGGAAACTTCCGTCTCCCGCGTGCCACACACGAGCCAAACCGTCCGAACCGAACCATCCGAAGGCTCCTGGCATATGTATGTATGTGTACTAGTATGTCCCGCTCTGCGCGGTACTGTATGTCACCGCACCGTGCTGCGCATGGCGAGACTGGAACACTGCGACAGCTAATTCTTCAAGCTGCGTGCTACAGCTACCTCGCCAGCTGGTTCTTATCGGTATTATGTAGCGCTGCGCGTTTCGTGCTCTGCGATACGCTGGGAAACAGTAAGTCTAAGCCGCGCTGACCAAAGCGTGTTCTTGCGCGTCGATGGCCCCGAGGTAACATTATTTTCGCTGACTGGCCCTGGGGGTATCCGTGGATTTGAGGTTTGGGTCCACGCGGAGCGGGCATGCGCCGGGTTTGCGCAAATCCAGGTATTGAAATGTCCGGCGGTTTGAAGAGGACGGTATGGCAATCAGACTGAGCATTGGCAGAACAGAACTCGAGCTTGAACGTACAAACGACGATACTCGACACGCGCGCGTCACCGCCCTCAAGGACGTCGCCGCCATCCTCGACGTCTTCCAGGCGCACGGGCACCACCAGGTATTTCGTCCTCGACGCGTGTCGTGCAGCCAAGCAAATACTGACGCGCGGGCACAGGTCGACACCGCGCGGGTGTACGCGCGAGGAGTACCGGGGCAAGCTCGACGCGGGCTCGCGGTGGACACGAAGCTCGATCCCACCGTCGTGCGTGCTCCGCGCTTCGCCGCGTGCCCCCAGGTGGGCCTGCTCGTCGTGTGGTTGTATTTTCTCACCAGAAATACGGTCAGCCCCCCCGGCATCCCTGCGATCTCCCACTCTCCGGAGGTACGCCACGCCCATCGCATTTTTGTGGTCCACAATACTAGTACTGATGACCCCGCCCCCCCCCCTACCTGCAGGACCTCCGAAAGCACCTTCAGGACTCCCTGATGGCGCTAAAGACCAAGTCAGCCTTTTCGTTCCCTCTACCCCCTCGCCCCACTCACACCCCATCTCACACCCCGCCCTTAGCAAAATCAATCTATTCTATCTCCACGGCCCCGACCGGCGGACGCCGTACGAGGTCACCCTCAAGGCCGTCGACGAGCTGTACAAGGAGGGGCTCTTCGCGCAGTTCGGCATCAGCAACTACATGTCGTGCGTATAGACCCTTCTCCTGAGGGCATCGGCGATGATTTGTTTATGGGATCAGGTGGGAGGTTCGCCGACGGAGATAACGCGCGCTTGGAAGGGCTGTCGAGCCGGAGCTGTTCCCGTGCCCGCGGGAGTACGGGATCAGCTTTTACGAGTTCAACCCCCGCAGGTGCTCTCCGAGTCCATGGCGGATGTCCTGCTCACGCGCAGTGGCGGGTGGATTCTTCACTGGGAGGTACACCCGCGACCAGCAGGACGGCCAGCGCAGCGCGCGGTTCGACCCGAGCAGCATGCAGGGCAGGGTAATGCACCTCTACATTGATACCCTGTTGGCCCCCCTTATTCGAATCTCCTCTCCCCTTCCCGCAGGCATACCGCCACAGGTAGGCCTTACCCTCACACCCGCTTGAATGGCGCTCTCACGGAGAGTATCGTGCGACAAAAGGGTACTGGAACGACGCGACCTTCGACGCGCTCGAGTCCGGCGAGGCGGTCGGCGACAAGCACGGGCTGACCCTCGCGGAGATCGCGCTGCGCTGGGTGTCGCACCCACAGGCTCATGAAGCGCGAGCATGGGGACTCGGTGTTGATCGGGGCGTCGAGCCTGAAGCATATCGAGCAGGTAAGTGTGCTGATGCTCCCTGCCACCCCCCCCCCTCTCACTAACAAGAAGCGTGATTGGCTTTTGGATGTGACAGAACTTGATCGGCCTCGAGAAGGGCCCGCTTCGTGAGTAGACTGGTCAGACATGGTCGGTTGGTGGGCGGTGCTAATGTGAAAACGTGCTCAGCGGAGGACGTCGTGAAAGCTTTGGATAAGGCTTGGGCGTGTCTCAAGGGCAAGGCTACTCCTTACTTCCACTGAAGGGCAGTCCCTCGGCGAATGAGCGGATGTCCTCGGTTAGCTGGGTGTGAATGCAGAGGAAGGTTCGAATGATTTTAGCTATCATGTACTCATCCATTAGCCAGTTACGGTCTTGCGTTGTGCGGAATAGCTATCGCGATCTGTTAACTGTGCGTGGGAGATCCATAAGAACATAGTGGGTACACTCATGACCCGGTATATTCGACTCAACGCTGGCCCGCGGAATCGCGTAGGCTTCCTCGCTTCAAGAACTCCGGATTCTCACTGGCTCCCGGCACGGCACAAGGGTGAAGGCCTGCTATCTATGATCTGCCAACAAATCCGCCTTCAATGGAAGTAAGGCGTAGCTATTCCCTTGACAGCAGCCCAAGCATTGTCCAAAGCCTTGATGACTTCGTCCGCTGTTGAAATAGCAGTACCTCTCTCAGTCATCACCCCTCTGCGCAGGAAGGCGGCCGGAGTACTCACGAAGGGGGCCTTGCTCGAGATCAATCAAGTTCTGTCATATTCACGACAGGAAGGACAGTCATTGAATAAGATGCGAAACATGCTACAGGCGACCAACCTGTTCGATATGCTGCACGCTGGACGCCCCAATCAAGATGGCATCGCCGTGCTCGCGCTTCAACAAACTGTGGTGTGACACCCAGCGCAGCGCGATCTCAGCGAGGCTCAGACCGTGCTTCTCGCCGACGGCCTTGACAGACTCGAGCGCGTCGAAGGTCGCATCGTTCCAGTACCTGTAGCGGTATCCCTGGGAGTACCAGGGATGCTTAGCAAGGAGACGTGTATGATGACAACCGCGCGAAACTGTTACCTTTCCCTGCGCTTTGTTCGGATCGAATCGCGAGCCAGGCTCGACGGTCTGCTGGTCTCGGGTATACCGACCTGTGAAGAATCCTCCGGCCACTGGAGTATGGGATGATGAGTGGGGTGTCCCCTGGTGTCAGAAAAATACTCACGTGGGTTGTACTCGTAGAAGCTCATTCCGTACTTCCGTAGACACGGGAACAATTCTGGCTCTACGCCTCTGACAGGATTTATAACATGGTGATGAGCAGGCGATGCATCCAGACGACTTCGGTACAACTGACCTATGAATGGCGTTATATATGCCTTGATATACGGTAGGCTGGATATACCCACTGGCCTTGCAAATCTGAACGATCTCTGCCACCTCCCATCTAATGTGATAATGGTCAGGGATATATAGCCAAGCCCCGAAAGTGAGAGAAGACATACGCCATATAGTTGCTGATGCCAAAGTGCTCGAAGTACCCTTCTTTGTAGAGGTCGTTGACGGCTTTCAGTGTGACCTCGTATGGTATCTGACGGTCGGGGCCGTGCAGGTAGAATATGTGGATTTTGCTAAACGTGATGCACGGTGAGTTGTGACTGGTGTTTCACATCCACCGCCGTAATACAGACTCTGTCTCAAGCGCTTAGAGAGACGCCATCAAGTGCTTGCGGAGATCCTGGGCGAGGGTGTAAATGAAGTAATTTAATTCTCAATAAATTCAGGGACTACTTGCCTCCGGAGAATGGGATATCAAGGGGAAGCCTGGAAGCGTCGGCCCATGCTGCAAGCCGGAACGCATAATGTAGCACCTAGGTGAGTACTTGCCCCCGTCCAACGACGGGTGGCTCGGTACGCACAGCGGTGGGATACAGCTTAGTGTCCATTGCGAGGCCACGTTTCTGCCAGTCGAGTTTCCCAAGATATTCCTCGCTGGTGCCGTTGCAGTAAAGCCGGGCAGTGTCGACCTATAGCCGGTAACTCGTTAATGCGGTGCATTACTCTTTGGGGTCAATGGAAACTATTACCTGGGAATGGCCATGCGCCTGGAAGACGTCGAGTATGGCGGCGACCTCCTTCACGTCGGTGACTCGCGCCTGCTCAAAGGCCGCCTCGCCAAAGGTCATGGCACCCTATACCTACGTTAGAGTGCGTTGGATAGGTCTGCTGTAGATAATTGCATACCATGATGACTTTCAAAGCGGACTTCTGAGTCGGTTTGTTGTCAGCTGACATTTTGACTCTTGTGATCAGTATACTCTGCCGTGTCCAGCTGTAACATTCAGGCTCTCTTTTACGGGCCTCAAATCTTTGAAGCCGAGGTTTGCGCAAGTCCTCGGCCGGGTTGTGGAGCATGGACCCACAAGCCCTTGAAGCGTCCGACGTACCCAGGAATCCAAAAATATCTGCTAGCACTCGTGGGTGAACATACGGTGATCTCGTCTTCCTCGTCTGCCCGCCCCAAGCATCTGCGATGCCAGGGGATAGGGCATTTGGTCGGCAGCTTTCTGTTTGTCAGGCAGTCTTACTATTTGAGTTCATACTACAGACGAAAATGGATAGCTGTAATGCCTGCACACACCCGCATCAGTGATGGATTGCAAGTTTGACGCATGATCACATATTTTATGATTCACCAGCTCAGGCGCGCGAGATCTGCGGGGAAAGAGGGTGAACGAGCTACTGGAAAGAAGGTTAGATTTTGTGTCTCAGCGGCATGCTTTGACAAGGTGACAGGGCGCCATAGACCTCAAGGGTAGCAGACGGTACAGGTTTAATCAGGTGTGACCCCGCCTTAGCGCCGAGTCTCGTCTTGTTTGCACTGAAGGTTATAGTGAGCTTGACGCTGACGCGTCGTAAGGTGCATGGGTGTATGCCACAAGTTACTTAGAAGTAGTGCAAACGTTGCGGTGCCACAGCCTGCGGCAAGGATCGAACCGCTGACATCCGCCTCGGCCTCTCCCGGCGGAGTTCAATGCCGTCTGCTATACGGGCTAGCGTCGCCAAACTCTAATTTTCCTCACATCAACGATAGCGGAAGAAGACATCGCACAGGCCCCATAAATCCCAATAAAAGTGCGTGTGCAGCCCTCACGGACGATGTCCACTAACCGCTGTACTCAGGATGTCTGACGCTGGAGATGAAATTCAAGTCGACGCCCCGGAGGCTGAGGTTGAGGTCACCGCGACCGATGCTCCCAAGGGCAGAATGTCTGTGGAGGACGCTCTTCAGGTGTGTTGCTGTCTGTTTGCCCTGCCCGCAGGCCTCATCGTTTCCCCCTTCACAGCAAGTTCTGAAGAACGCTCTTGTCCACGATGGTCTGGCTCGGGGTCTGCGCGAATGCGCCAAGGCCCTCGACAAGCGTCAAGCGCACTTGTGTGTGCTGGTCGAGACCTGTACCGAGGCCGAGTACATCAAGCTCATCGAGGCTCTCTGTGCCGAGCACAAGATTAACTTGATCAAGGTCGGAGACGCCAAGGTCCTCGGTACGTGGGCGGGCCTGTGCAAGATTGACAGGGAGGGCAACCCCCGCAAGGTTGTCGGATGCTCTTGCGTGGTCGTCAAGGACTACGGTGTTGAGAGCGAGGGTCTCCACGTCCTCCTTGAGTACTTCAAGAACCGCTAGGTGAGTAATGTTGCATATGGCCAGAGGGATGACAATACAGACTCCCTCGACGGAGGACTCGTCCACTGAGGATAACAGTCTATCCGGAATCATTATAACTTTGTCTGACTATTTGCTTGGTCTAAGAGAGCGTTACAGCGCATGCTGACTCCTTTTCACTATTAGGTTAGCCGACCACTATATGGCACCTGCGTTTCCTGTCTACTCGTAGTACAAAATGCCACTTGCTTTCCTCCGTCTGAGTTCACCTGTGTGCATGTCTCTTGACCTGAGTTTCCGTGCAGTCAGTCGCCCGATGCCGTCTATATGTAGTTAGGTATAAGCATTCGACGTCATTGATCATTCTACTGTACTGTGTAAGCTCGTGATAAATGCCTCGTTGCGCCTTCTCGTGACAACCGGCGGCTATGCGTTCCCCAACCCCGCACATTGCTTGTCTGGGGAAAACCGCTGACGGGGTCAGTACCGGCTGTACCTCCCACCCACCTTTACCCCGGCCATGGCGGACGTTGAGGCTGGTGGTCCCAGCCGGCCGAGATATAACAAGCGACCTCCATCCTACATCCAAATGGCCCCTAAACGCGCGATACAATCCTTCGAGAACTTAGTTGCTTTGGCAAACTATGAAGAGCGGCTTAGTGAAGCGAGAAAGATGGTCTGGAGAGACAGAGGGGAGCCCGTGGCAGAAGTGGATGATTTGTGGGAGTGCTTAGAGCACGCCGGCAGAGGGGGGATGAGTGCGTGTTCCGTTTCCTTCGCGTGTATCTTCTGTTTCTGAATGTGTGCCAACCTGGACCAACTTCAGGAGCTGGTGCCCTCGCATTCAATATCCGGGCAGGGGTTAATCTCTTCCTGTTAGCCTTCAGACTGAGGAGACTGTCCAGGTCGGTGAACACTCGGTCCTTCCTACCGTGCAGCCTCAGTTTGATGCCTCCCACAGGAAGTTATGGCTATCGTATGTGCGCACCGCGATCTTTGGCCCGGACACCTTGCGCTTCACGGCCATGTTCGGTTCCTTCGTCTTTCTCTACAAGTTCATATTGAATGCGCTACCTATATTGCGGCCCTCACCCACGCATTCCCGCCGCCTGTCCTTCAGGGAGTCTGCACTGGAAGAGGAGGACGACTTGGAGGCATCTGGAACGTCTACCCCGATCACCCCCGGGTCCGCTACCCCTCTGGCCATGACGCCGAGACGCCCTATGCTGTCCGAGCGACGGCCGCGGCTATCCCTGAGCGCGAGCGCCCAGCAGGTGCTGATCAGGAAGCAGACGCGACGCTGGCATGCCATTGCTGCCGGCTCGATCGCGGGTGCAGTTGCAGTCATGTTCGAAAAACGGGCGAATCGAGTGGCTGTTGCTCAGCAGATGTTCGTGAGAGGACTGCAAGGCTCGTATAATGCCTTTACCTCGAAGCGAGGGATCCGTGTACCCCACGGGGACGTCATCGTGTTTTCTTTATGGTGTGTTCCCTGCGAATCTGTCTCAATTGGAGCTAATCACTCGAGTATCTCAGCTGTGGGCAGATCTTGTACGGCTTCCTCCTCCGACCCGACACCCTTCCACACTCTTACAACAAATGGTGTGCGATATTTCTACGATTCCACCGGTTCTGCTGAGTTTCCCGAGACAGGATAGAAGCAGCGTCCATGACACCTCCAGGAGCCATCCGCATGAATCGAGATCTCGTCAGGGACGGCAAATTTAACATTGCCGATCTCGAAGGCATCCTTCGCCGAGACGTAAGTCTTGTTCGACCTTCGTCTCCCATCTTTTGTTGATTTTCTGAGCTAGGACGTTACCCCACACAACCGGACCGTTCTCCTTGATCTCTACAAGAGCGCGACATCGTCCTCGCCCTCGTACGGTCCCCACTTCGGTCCATGTGAGGCCGTCCACCCGATGATCGATTCGTGCATGTGGCTGCCCCTTCCACGTTTTATGGATGTATTCAAGTGGATGCTCCCGATCTACGGCGCACTGCACTTTATCCCCATGCTGCTGTTCAAGCGGGCGGCGTTCATGAAGGACCCCAAGCATATGCTTCTCAGGGCGGGTTGGGGGACAACACGCAGTTCGGCGTTCTTGGGGACGTTTGTGTTGATTTACCAAGGTAGGGTACCATGTATGTGCGGCAGGGACATACTAATGTCTGTCGCTGGCAGCGTTTTTCTGCTTCAAGCATTGGATGTACTCATCACTATCTTCGAGACCCTCCTCACCCATCCCACAGTGGCTGCTGAACATGCTCATTTCGAAGCCGTCATTCTGGCTCGGCGGCCTCCTTGCGGGGTTGTCGCTGTTCGTTGAAGAGAAGAGGCGTCGCGGAGAGCTGGCGATGTACGTCCTGCCCAAGGGACTGCAAAGCGCGTGGGTGATGGCGCGGGGTAAGGGCCTCGTGTTCAAGACGGGGAAATTTGGCGAGCCGCTGGTGAGTGGTGGATTGCATGGGTTCTTCGGGTATAGGCTGATTGGCCGTGGAATAGCTGACGGCACTCGGTATGGGAATGGTCATGAGTATCTATCAGGTTCGTCCGCTGATGTGCTTAGTGTGTTACGGCCTGGCCTTTGTGCTCATGTTGCTTTCTAGAACGACCCGCAGTATCTGTCTGGTCTTGTCCGGCGGATTCTGTACCAATTCATCGGCCCGAATTGAGATGGGCACTTCCGAACACATATCTGATGATAAGACGAGAGGCAGGAAAGGAATTACAGTCCTGAAGGATCATCGAAACGCGAGTACCCATCAACTTATATGTAATAATGTAATCATTGCTCGATACCATTTACACTGGCCACACCAATATAGCCATAGCTCAGTCGGATTATGAAACATCACAGCTTCGAGGAATCGACTGCTGCTCTGACCAGCGACACTATCTTGCATTTCACTCTTGCGGCAGGTCCAGGGAGAAGTGAGGCAAGTTTCATAAATACCGGTATCGGCGAGCTGCTCGACCCCGGTCTGCTACAATGACAAAATTCCAGGAGATCCTGTGCCTTCAGCTATGCTACAGGCTCCCTTCACCCGCCACGAGTACAGATACAATATAGCAATCCGTTCAAAGCAGGCTCCCCCCAATGGCTCGTTATTGGGGCTGTCGAGGTACTGAAGTAGGCAACACCAGACTTGTCGTCGGGGCTATACATGAGAGGTGGGATACGCGGGATTGCAAGGAGCCATAGTTCCGCTCTGGTTGATCCCAAATATCGACGCCGCCAGTAGCACAGAGACGTCTTCAGTATTTGACTGAGTCCGGCTGCGAGGAACTTGACCCCGATGTACATGGAAAACTCTGCATCACACGGTGATGTCTGATCACGACGTGCGGATTTTATCTGTACATCTACAGCCCAAGTTGGTCAACGCCATGATGCAAGGGTCTGAGAGGACCGACGTACGAGGCAGTATATCAACGGCGCAGGAATCATCTTGCATTTGCGTCCGATGAAGTATCATCTGCCAGTGGAAATGATGCTGTGTCTCGGGACGTGATTCATCCTGTCCCAAGTGCGACACACTCCGTTCTATACGTCTCAGACAAATCCATCAAAAGGACACTGGCATGCCAGCAATTCATGGAACGTAGTCGGAGTCATCCGAGTTGTCCGGAGCCAAGACTGGCTCCTCGCCGCCGCCGTCGAACAAATTACCGACACTCTCGTCACTGTCAGACTGCGTGTGTTCTTCTGGCGTATCATGGGTTGCCGAATTTTCATCGCGGGCTGCTGGACTGGCAGTTACGCTGCCGCCCGCAGGCGTCTTCCTGGTGTGGACCTGCTCAAGACCGCGGCGCGGCGTGCTTTTCTTTTGCCCTCTTTTCCGCGATCTTGAGTCCTCGTTAGCGTCCGTGTTGTTATTGTGATTCTCCATATCTTCTTCCCATTCCTCTGGGATGTGAGGAGCGACGAGACTTGCTACGTGTTCTTGCACAAGCATACCAAGCGCTACTAAAGCGCTGCCGTCAAACGCCTTGTACATGTCTCTCCGTAGCTGGGCCTGACCCCGACGATGTCTCTTGGGGCGAGAAGTCTTGTGCTTCGAATTTGCTTGAGATGAAGGCCCGTCGCGGCGAGTCTCCGCGATGGAACCGGTGGATTCATCGCCGCTCCCGCCGTCTCCTTCGGAGCTCCCTTCGCTTTCTTCACTCTCTTGGATATTTCCACCTTGCATTGTACTGATTTCAGGGGAAGATGAATTGGCCCGAGTATCTGACCCATCGTCCGCCTCCGCTGCCTGGAGCCTTTTCATTCTCCTAATTTTCTTGATCAGTCTTGCTTCTCTTGAGGCGTCAAACAGTTGACCTTTCCCAGAGTAATGAACTGAAGCGAAGTGATGTATAATTTTCAGCAGATCCTGCAGTTGCAGGTCAGACCCAATCGAGAAAAGGAGGCCTCAGCTACTGACCGACGAAGGTATTGCCCAGTTGTAAAGAGGATCGCGACCCTGCGCATTGTCAAGTGTTGCCTTATATCCGACGTCTGTCGTGACAATTCCCTGGGAAGACGGTTGACTGCGCGACGTGCCAGAAACAGGCGAAAGACCTGGCAGGAAATTGTAATCTTCTGCGAATTCCCTCCGCCTCTTCGCTCTCCTGTCCTTCACTTCCTGAGCAGCACGTTTCTTGCCGCGGGAGCCATTGTCTCCGCCCGGCGTAGTACCATCCTCAATCCCATGTGCTTTCGCTTCGACCAGACTTCGATCGAGTTCAGACGATTCACCCTCTTCCTCTTCTGTCCTTGCCGCACGCAACCTGCGAGGCACTTGTCCCAGTCCACCAGCATCTCTCGCGAAGAGATTCCCTCGCGTATCCTGCACAGTGTATTTCGCTATTCGCGGACGAAGACCACGCGAGAAAGTGTCCCCAGCGTTTACAGCATCTTGAGCTTTGGCCGGTAGAGACGAAGGTACCCGTGTGCCGTCAGGATGAACGCGAAGGGCGGCAACGTCGTGTACTGTCGTGTTCCGTCGTCCCATTATCAATCAAGGCATTTTCGTTGGTGAGTTATGGTCGCCAGGGAATCCGGTCGAAGTGGACCTTGCGGCTTGGAAGCCTGAGCCACAGTTACATACAGCTCGGCTGTTCCCGGCTTCAGGTACTGTGTCGGGCCTCGGCGGCTTTCGGACGCTAGCTCTCTGCCACATTGCTGCCACAGTCCATATAGCTATGTGAAATTACTGTTGTATTGCGGCGATGAACGGTACGTTCTGGTAGACTAAGTTTATCTATGCACATCGTTACGGGGAAGAAGGTGGTCAATGCAGATCATGGTGACACGGCACCAGCGATGTCGTAGGTCAAACGTCTCCTGGGTGGAATCACGCTCGTGCCGGGCAGCAGGGGCCTTGCCGCATTGAGGACTCCAGGAAGACGCACACGAGACCTTTTACTTCGAGTATCTCGCTGGGGTCCGGAGAGTGATGCATAGGATGGAGGCATTTGCCCGCTACGGCCCGGGCCGTGCTGAGGGACTATGTCCACTTTCTGGCGAATTAATGGAGTATCACGACCACCTGCAGAAGAGAATTCGGATGCTAGAAAGGGGTACATGGCTACCTCGTACTGCAAGCATCTGAGCAATATGCAATTTATAGGGTTAGTATGACGCACCAGCACGACGAATCCGGGAAAGAAACAGCTTGGGGTAAGGTCGTCCGCGACCAAGATTTCGCCGTTGAGCGTACATCTGGTTTGATTGTGGGTTGGTTTATCATCCGGTTTCCACCACGCAGCGCTCTCGATCTTTGTAACGGATACAATGTTAACCTGGTCCTCCGGAATACTGCGAGGACGGTCATCGAGTCCACTATGGAGGGCTTGATCTTTCTCGAAGCCCAATTTTCTCATCAACTTCACCTGTGGGGCATGCTCAGACGTTAGAAGGTCGAGTACCAGCGGATCGTCCGTCTCGACGGTCAAGATACACCGAATGACCGAACCTCTGACATAGCAGAGCTACAAAACTCGGTAAGAAGTGGGAACGCAAGCACGAAGGTATCATGGTGTAACTCGCCGGATTTTCAACCTGGAGCTGAGACCGCTGTAAACACGCAAAGCTGATGTGAAGGATTGCGGCTCACTTTGCATGTGACAGCGATGGGTCTGCCAGTCACCGTCGTGCCCACGACGAGAGTAGATTCCGGCGCGCTCCAGCCGTTTGGGTCAAGACCGTATCCCAGAAATGGTGGATCCCCTGGGCATGTGGGCTGTATTAGCGCCGGCCTGTCTTGTAATCCAGTAAGCGGCATTAATTCGACTGGAGCGACAAGTCTGCATCCACAACTAAATAAGGATAGCCAGCAAGATCTAACCTGCTTACTTATCGTCTGGACGTAACAAATGATCCCTGTCAAAAGTCAGCTGGACTTCATACTGGACCTCCCATCCCTTGGTGTTGTCATAACAGGTAGGTGGAAGAAGAAAAGATCGCCGAATGTCACCATCCAATTGGAGGAATGCTTTCCTGGGGATTACGAAGGAAAATGGCCATACGTATTGTCCGCTGAAGGTGCCACATCGGTCGGATGAAGACGACCAAAGAGTTCGTTTCATTTCCAGAAATACGTTACTCGATATGCGGCAGTCTATCTTCCCGCGATACTGAGTGGAAGAACAGGTGCAAGTAGACGAGCTTACCATAACAGAGATCTCTTTTACTCGTTCTTCATGCTTGATGTTGAGCTCTAATTCCCCTTGCAGCATGTCCCCATCATGATATAAAGGAAGACCTTCTTGGCCTGATAAGCGACTCCATATTTTCAGCGTCGCCCATCGATATCCAAGCGTATTGGTCATGTAATATGGATGCAGGACTCGAGTATCTTCCGCTAGGTCCTATTAGCGCCTCGGAAGCGGTGATGAGTGGGGAGTGGTGCGTACAAGTCCGAGTGGGAAGTGGGATTGCCGAAGTCCCCTCGCTGCTGGCTTGACATTCCAAAGCCGGACCCACGTCATCACTAGAGTTATAACATTGCCAGTCGGTACACCCACAAAGCCCGAGCAATACAGTACTTGCCTTACGGTTGCATACGGCGGTGGATCTTCCGTCGTCGCCATGAAAGACAATAGGGAAGGGGAGTCGCTTTATATATAGCCACTCCGGGCAAGCGCCAAGGTCGTAGTAGGTGACCGGCGTGTGGCCTGATCACCTGCACACATACCGACGAAATGCAGTGCATGGAGGCTCCATTTGATATCTCAATCATGGTCTTGTTCCAGCTGCATAACCAATCAGTGGGTAATCTGGGATGTAATAACAGTTAGCCACCTGAGTTAGTTATGCCATAGGGCTGCATGTGCAGTTTTGGTTTTGTTTGAACTTGCCGTGTCAGGGGTGTCAGGCCTACTCTGAAATGTCAGGGCAAGAAACTCTCGACCTTATCATACCGATATACAGGGCAGGGGTCGGGTCTTACTGTAGGCCGTACTACAGCCCCGGTAGCCTGAGCGCTGCGTTGGGCTAGGGTGTTCCGAACCAGCCGCTAGACAATGCGATCAATCAAGGGGTCCATGGATCCATAAAGACGACACAATGACGTCTGACAGACGGAGTAGGTCCACCAGAATAGCCCCATTGAAGCCTAAAACGAAAGTGAAGTAGCATTGCCATGGACGAGACATGGATACAAGAATAGAATACAAGATTTGATATTATAGCAATAGATATATCGAGCAAGACGTCAGACCTTGGGTGGTATCGCGTTTCAATGGTTGAGGACCTGTGGAGACACTTCCTATTTCCCTTCGTTGGAGAACCAGCATCATTAATGGGGCGTGGCTTGGCCCTCGCGGTTCACATATTTTTCTATTTTCCCTGGCCTAGAACCGGAAAGTTAGCCCCCGCCGTTGCATGGAATGTGCATTATATCTTTACCATCAATCAAGCCCCTCGTGACACTCGAGCTATTCTGTACAGTCATAGATGATCAGAAACAGCGGTAAAAAGACTATGAAGGCCTGCATACCAGGTGAAGAGTCCATATTGGCGAGCTCATCTCTCTCCTCCTCATTCTCATTATCCCCATTGACATCCGTGGATGCTCCCGCACGAGGCATTCGCATAAAACGGGGCGGTATTGACGATGATCGGCGCGAAAAAAGCTGGGTGCTCGGAACGAGGAACATCCTATTCCGCGGCGACTCAGCAGCCGACTCCAGCCCGTCCTCGCTGCGCGACCGCTCCAGCGTGATGGGCGGTGCCAACGCAGGTGTCGCAACCTCCCCTGGGACACCTGATGGATTGGGGGCACTCACGCCGCTGGAGCCATTCAGGCCGTCGCCGACCTCGTCATCATGTACGCCGGACGTCGTGAGCCGCTCGACTTCGGTCGCAGAGTCGTGGGCGTCCTCTTCCGACTCCGGGGAAATATCTGGTGTCGGTGTACGAGAGACGACTATGATGTCGCTTCTGTATTTGCCCTTCCCCTTTGGTCGCCCCCGTTTTCTGGGACCATTCTTGGGATCATTTGTGCCTTGAGAGGCCTGTTCCTTACCCTTCCCTTTGTCCTTCCGGCCTTGACTGGAATTTATCACGGCCTGGTTCGCCAACAGATCCAGACCAGAGCTCTCCCTCGTAAGCGACGCAGGTGTTGTATTCTCAGGCCGATCATGGCTTGCGCTAGGCGTAGACTGCGTCTTCGAAGAGCTCGCCGTGCTCGAAGCAGCGGCCATCCTCCTGCGTTTAGGTACTGGAGACTCTGGAAGTTCCATGATAGGCAGCGGGCGAACCTGCCCATACGCGCCAGGACGCGGAGTGCGCATATTCCTCCCACTCGGAGTCGAAGGCCCTTGCTCGTCTTCGTTCCCCTGCACATGCGCAGCAGCGTCTATCAACGACTGCAACGGCGTGTGCGGCGTGGCCGACGACTGCTGCCTCGACAACGTCGACGGCGTCCGCGCGGACGTCCTGGACGTCGTCGGCGTCTGCGGCAGGTGCGGGAAGTGCCCAGGCGCGATCGGCACGAGCACCGGCCCCGCAGGCGTGCCCGTGAACGAAATCGGCAGGTACGCGTACGCCTGCTGGTGGTAGTTCATGTGTGGCATTGTGGCGGGCGTCACGTGCGCGGTGGTCGTCGTGTTCGCGGCGGTGGTCCGTCTGGGCGTCTTCGGTGTGGCTTGGACGCGCGCGTTGGCTTCCTCCTCCTTCTTGCGCTGTTTCTCCCTTTCCCTCTCCTCGGCCTCGAGCTTGCGCGTGATGCCTGCCATTATGCCAGCACGCTCGCGGCCCACTTTCCGCGCAGCTAAGAGGAGGTGCTCGGCTCGCGCGTCTGCGAGTAAAGGTTTACCGGCGGATGTGGACGGGCCTGCTATACCTGCCACATCTCTACCCTTTGGCCCTTTGGTTTTCTTCGCCTTTGCCGCCGACTGGGGCATGAGCGATGGTAGTAACGACTGTGTCTCTCGTCTGTAGTGGTCCGCTCTACCTTTACCCTTGACATTGGGTGTGGCGGTCACGTTATCGTTCATATCATGCGTTTCCGCATCCTCAGTGCGTTCATCTTGAGATAGGTGCGCATCGGACTGAATAGGTGATGGAGGAGGCTGTTTCTTCTGTTTGGGCTTACGGGTTGGTTTCGGTTGGGCAGGAGCATCTGGCAAGGTAAGTGGCTCCATCAGTAGAATGGGACGCAGACTTGTGAGCTCGTTCTGCAGTTGCTGTATACGGAGATGGGCGCCTTCAAGCTTATTGATCTTGGGGTGAGCGAAAACCCTCATATAACGTACCAGTCTCACCTTTTGCCTCAAGGCTTTAGCGTCGGAATCAAGGTTGTGTACTTCTCGAGCTAGCTCCTGTTAGCAATAAACGGAAGGTACGGACGACTTTAGCAAACTCATAAAACTTGAAAAGACTGAGAAGCAGGGCCAGAGTAATGTCCGTGGCAGCCGTTGACCCGAAGGGCACAGTCTGTCACCATCGATCACAGGCGAAAACATACGGAGGCAAGATAACGGGAGATAACTTTCCCTGAAGCATGTCTGGCATTCTGGCGGGACAAGCGTACGTACCTCTTCGCGATAAGTGGGATGGTTTCCTCTACTGCGATTCGAGATGAGAGCCTCTGCCATCCGGTCCCAGCCCTCCCTCTCTGCCTCCCATCTGATGCGTTCCTCTTCAGCTTGTCGTAAGAGAAAATCCCGTTGCCGGGTCAAGTGGGCAATAGTCTCAGCCTGCCTGACTAACTGGGAGGAGTCTGGATACGTCATTGAGGTGAGCCGCAATACCTGATATTCGGGGATCGTCTCTGGATCAAATATGAACGCTGACGTTTGGAACTCACTATTGTGGCCAGTTCCCTCTCTCTGGGAGTCAAGTCAGCGGAACCTCGGTCCAGCAAGCCCATATTCCGGATTTTCTGCTTCAATTCCTGGAACTCAATATGATCCAGAGGTTCAGGGGACGGACTACGTGAAGTCCGTGCCGCCGCATGATTCACAGATGAAGGCGGCGGCTCAGCAGGCGGCTCTTGCGGTGCTTCAGGAGGCAGAGGCGCAGGCGAGGGCGATAACGGGTGCATGATGTCCGACAACTCTAGTGGCGGCGCCTCGTTGTTCGTCATGGCGGCGGCTGGCAGGGGCGGCGGCCACAGCGTCCTCGTGGTTCTGGGAAATGTGGGCGACGCTTGCGCCGACGCCAAACACTCGCAACGCGCCGTGGGCATCACGTGCACGGAAAGCTGCACGTGAGCCGTCCACACGCCACCGCTGCCTTGAATCCGTATTTGTGCGACCGCCTTCATTTCGGCGTCCATCTGGTCGAGTTCTGGTTTTGGTTCATTTCTTGGTCTTCGGCCAATAATGGGCAACACATATCACTGCTTGACGTTTTCTCTGGTCGTCCTGCCCTCGGTCTTGCTTACGGCGTATTTCTTTGCGCAATTTCCGCGTCTGCCCCAGTCATTCCACGTCTATCCGTCTCTCGCCAGTTTGCCGCCGTCCAGCCGGTCATGGAGTATCTACCCGCCCGATTTCTACGAAGGGGGGCAATATGTTGACCTTCCGTACGGCAGGGTACGTCGACGCGCATCTTCGAGTGGGTGCAGACGCTGAACGGCGCGATTGCGACACGTATGCAGATTCGGTACTGGGTGTTTGGCCCGGAGACGGGCAAGAAGGTCAGCTGCGCCCCAACGGATTGAATTGTGAGAACACGCGCTCAAAATCTGATAAGATCGTCTTTATACACGGGTTCTCAATCCCTGCGATTATATGGAAGGATGTGGCGCCAGAATTAGCGGCACGCGGGTTCCGTGTCCTACTCTTTGGTGCGTGGTTTCCGCCTGCGTAATATGAGAACTCTCTTCCTATGCTGTTCCCAGACCTGTATGGACGAGGATACTCCGACGCACCCCAGACGGCCTATGACACAGCCCTGTACACGACGCAGCTCGCGTTGTTGATGCAGCATGTTAAATGGGATAAAGCTTACATTGCCGGTGTATCAATGGTAAGATCCAACGAATTCCCGAGAGAATACTGGCACGTAATCTTGCGTCCAGGGCGGAGGAATCGCCGCCGCTTTCACAGCTACCTTCCCTGATTTAGTAGACGACAAGATTGCCCTCGTCTGTCCAGCTGGCCTTATGGATGTACGTCTTATCCGTTTCTCGGTTGAGCGGCACTGAATTTACTGCAGACGAGCGATATATCACGTACCATGAAATTCATGTCCTCCCCCGCTTTGCAAGCGGTCACCTCCAGCTCACCCTTCCGAGTGCGTCATACGATATCCTCCCGACGTTACGCAAACTAACGTTCTTGATAGTTTTACCTGCGCCGATTAGCAAACTCGACTTCCGACACGGATCCCATCGCAGAGGTAAGCACGTCCCCAGGTAAACCACGGCCATATCGCTCACGCCGCGTAGCTCGTGCGGATCCAATCAGCGTACCTACCAGGTTACAATCCCGCGCTCGCCTCGTCCCTCCGCGCGGGTCCACTTCGAGGTCTCAAACCAGCTGTCGAGACCCTCGGTCGCTCGGCACGCAAAGTGCTCCTGGTATGGGTAGGTCTCCTTCTCATACGTGTTTAGTAATCGAGAACGCTGACCTTAACCCTAAGGGCACCGCCGATAAAGTCGTCCCTTACAAATACTCCTCTGTTATGCAGGGTCTCCTGCCGAACTCGGAGCTAGTCACGATAGAGGACGGGCCCCATGATCTGACGCTTACCCATCCGAAACTCGTGACCGACGCTTTACTCCGATTCTTCGAGGACGCCTCCTCCTGAGTTGTTGAGGAGGATACGATATCGCAAGATTCGCTCCCCTCAACGATGTATCACTATTCCGGTGCTGCTCATCCCGGCATTGTACACTTCCGACATAATCCGTCCTGATGTCACCCCATACTCGTTCGCTTCTCGCGCCGCCTTGTTGTTGTTCACCCTTACATGTAGCTTCTAGCTTCCTATTATTTCTGCCTTGTTTGGTTATCGGGTTTATGAGTAACCTACAGTATAGATTTCTAGTCATGCCTACCTTAGATCCGCAATACATGGACCTCTAGTATTTAATTAATTCCATGTGCGCTTCTCGGAATGACCACTGGTTTTTGGACCGCTCAGTGTTGTACCTATATCTGCGGCTCTATGGTGGGACACAATGCGGACACTTTATTAAACACTGCCCAGGATAGCACCCAATGACACTCAGGACAGCGGTAACAGAAATTCCGAGCATATCAGAAGCTACCGAATGCGTTTCCATCCCATCCACCCCCTTGAGTACTATTAGCGCCGCCCCTACACGGACTAAAATACGGGAGTGCAAGCAGCCAGTGACCAGCTGCACCAAGCGAACCACCGATTAAGCTTCTTTCTTCGGACGCACCAACGGCGCAATCAGCCATGCCCTTATTCATGTTGTAAGACAAGGGATTCTTTCAAGGAACGCCTGAGCTCACTGTCGCGCATCCCGCTGTCCCGCCCTCCACGACGTTGGCGTTGGTCGCCACGCAAGGCGCTGGAGGGTCCATGGGCAAGGGTACCAAGAAAGGTATATGATGCCCAGCGCCTCTCTCCCACGCCCTCCGATCCATCTTCCCCTTCTGCACCCCCGCCTTGTCTCGACGCTGGGAGACCTTCTGCTTCCACGCCTCCCGGTGCGCCTCACCTTCTGCCAGCACGCACACTGCGTTATGGTCGCTAGGGTGCGTCCCTGCGCAGGCGATATCGCTGTCTGCTCCCGGAACGAGGTCCGAGTGTGATGGCGGCTCGGAGTGTACGAGCTGATGTAGTGTGCGGTTGCGCAGATGGGAGACGCGGGCACCAATGGTGTCCCCGGGGAGCGGGCATCCGCAATGGACATAGGGTATGCCAAAACGAGACTGTGGATATAGTCAGCGTCGAGCCACAGTCGAGATTGCTTGAACCACCTTCCAAGTTCGACAGGTGGTATCGAACGCCGTTGACAGGAGGCTCTCCGCGACTTTGTCATCACTGAATATCGTTCACAGATCAGATTCAGTATGACAGGTATTACCAACGAAAAATATGACACTCACTGGTCAACGAAGCGGGACATATATTTCCTACAGTCTGAAGCATACCGGTCGGCGTACAACTGATGTGTATGCCAAGCAAGGTCGATGTCTAATGTCGGGACGTAGTATTCAAACGGAGGGGTAGCCATTAAATCAAGAAAGCTATCGGTAAGCTGATGGTGAGATCATGTTTGCGTGGTTCATATGTGGAATGAATCACGCGTGATATCGCGCTGCGGCATGGTGCAAAGCAATCTCATCTTCCCGCGCCTCGAAGTAGGTAGGATCCGTCCAGCCAAGATTGACCATCTTGTCTATAAACGACTCCTGACGCAAGACCTGAGTAGGCGGTATTAATGTCAGGATCGTACAGTGACGAAGGAAGCGCACTCACTGCGCCAACGAGCTCGACTGAGAATATGTGGTCATCGGCGTAAGCATTCATGATCCTCTTCCGACTGAGAGCACGGAGATTAACAATCCACAATAGATACGGAATAGCAACTCATAGACCCAAGCCCACAGGCGGCGAAGCCCCCGAGGTTAGTGCCTCGAAACCGGCGAACGAATTACCCGCCTTCTCCTGGATGGCCCTCGCCCTCTTACGCTCGTGGGTCACCTTGCGCAGGTTAAGCGCGACCGCAGAGGGGGATTGCAAGAGCGCCTCTTTCACACTCATGGCTCGAACAATATTCATGATGTGGAACTGTGTATGTACCGTGCCCCTGAGTAAATAAGTCCGGCACGTGAGTCCTACGGGAGTTGCACTCCAGCTGGCGTCTAGTAGTACGTACGCCAGGTACTGACTCGGCATCATAGCCGAAACCTCGGGATGTGCAAGCAGCGCACCGTCAGTCGGGTCCTGTGGACGGGCCAGATCTCGAGCAATCTTCGCGACGCCGAGCGTCTCCTTCGTGATGCGGAGTGAGCAGTACGGACATTCTATCTTGAACCCCTGCTGGGCATAACCGCTCCCATCCTCGAGGAGAAAGGCTGGCCACCATTTAAGATGACAATGTCGGATCTCAGGTTGTGCGACGTACGAACTAGTAGCCCCTCGCCGCATTGGGGGCAACCCACCCTTTTGTCGCTGAGTACTGACATGGATTCCAGGGGATCGAAAGGCGTCCGCGCGCCCTTTAGCCACGAGTCCAATCGAAATCTGGAAGGGACGTAGGTAGAGGTATCACCCAGCTGATCCTACGTGGACGTGAGCGACGCTGAAAGCAGCGGAAAGATAGGTTGCCATACGAGGAGCTCGAGCGGGGTATGAGCAGACCTCGGCAAGGCTGCGATCTCACGGATTCGCAGCCCATCCTCAGTATACCACCTGTGGAAACATATAAGTGAATTCCCTACAGGGAATAATACATATAGCCTCACATAGGATTGAGCATGTACGCATGCCATGTTAGCAGGACGTCAATCGGGGGAACATGCGAAGCTGCCCAATTTGGAGACGTGTAAGAAGCGGGGAGCGACAACACCCAACGCTCAAACCTAGCCGATTCGTATGTCAGCTCCTCGCCCAGGCGAGTGGCTCAACTCACCGCTCTACGGCAAGATGGAGGAACCATGCCCACCGCTGGCGCTTATTCAACCTCTCCGCGCCCGGGGGTATTCGGGAAGGCTCTGTGTTCTGGACAGACGTTCTCAAGTCATGGAAGGCGCGCAGTAATCGCAAATGCACCTTCAACTGGTGCGTGTCTACTAGTGGGCAGTCCGTAGTCTTGTCGCCTATCCCGTACGTCTTAGTTGGTTCGTACCCGGGAAGAGCGATCCCCTGAGCAGCGTAGTCAGGAGGCTCATTTCGTTGAACAGCTGAAGAAAAGCCTATGATACCTGGCGAACGTGTTAGGAGTACTAACGAGAAGGGCAAGGGACATTTATACGGTTAGTGTTCATCAAGTTCGGATCACATATGTCCTCAGCCTTTCTCGGCTCGATTTTACAATAGTATTCACACCCACGGAGACGCGGTAAGAAATGCACTTGTTTCAGGGAAATTAGCCCGGTGTGCTGATTGACACCGTGTCCACTCGAGCGGGATATGTCGCAGGACATGATACAGAGCAGTTAATGCGGCGTGGTTCTGCCCCGACTTTAACGTTGAGCGCCACTCACGAGAAACTCGCTAGATGCGTGTGGATTGGGCAACATCGCAAGTTGCGCGCCGGCCGGTTCCTAACTAACGTCAAAGGAACCCAGCATGGAGACGACGATCTCAATGATTGCAAGAGTCCCACCATTTCCTGTTGCCTGTCATCGCATATCATCGGTACATATCTTCAGCTACCACAGAAATAAGACAGGAGACTACCACCCACTTGGGTCCCTGAGTTTATCGTTGATAGTTCGAGGCTCAGATGAGAGATTCAGACTCACGCTGCGAACCCCGGCAGAGGCGAGGTGGTGGATGGGATACCAGAACAATGCACTACTGTCAGTGAGGTACTTAGGAACTCATGCAGATACGGACGACGGCAACGGGCCAACGACTGTGAACGGGAAACGAAGTGGTACCATCAGTGAGTCTATGTCACTACGATTGCAACAAGCAAGATCTGTACAAACGAGTCTAAATATCAGAGGCCATTTTTCCGGACGAAGGGCAATTATGAGTTGACAGCATTGCCGTGAGCCATGGCGTAGAGCGTGAATTTATCGTTACTCTCATCTACAAGAGCACGGAGAAATCCCTTCTCGTTGGTTAGTAGTTCGCTGGGAGCTCCGAACTCCATCTGAAAGGATACAGGATGAGTACACGCTCCTGATGTCAGTCGTAAGGGGACTTACGATGCGACCGGCATCAAGGACCATCTTGTGAGAAGTATGAAGGTTAGCTTACTCCCAGAATGAGCCGCGAAGCACGCACAATTTTATCTGCATCCATAATGGTTTGCAGGCGGTGCGCCACCGTGATGATGGTAACATCACTGGGCAGCTGAGTCCTTAGGGACTTCTGAATAATAGTGTCCGTCTCATAGTCAATGGCGGACGTGGCTGCCACGGAAGGATTAGATTACGCCTCGAGTTAGGCAGCGAATAGGGTAACGAACCTTCATCTAGGATGAGTAGTTTGCTCTGTCGGACGATGGCACGGGCAAGTGCTAATATTTGCCGCTGGCCAACAGACAGATTGCCCCCACCACTCGAAATCTGAGTGTCGAGAGTTATTCTGCCTTCATCATCGGATGATTGTAGAGAGAACAAGCCAGCGTGCCGAAGTGCATCGTTGAGCGTCGCATCATCATATTGGTCGAAGGGATCCAGATTTTGACGGAGGGTGCCACTAAGCAGCTCAGGCTACATTTATTCCATCAGCTCATGAGACGGTCGGAGTATATGTCCTACTCACCACCTGTGGAATGATGGTGATATTCGAGCGCAGAGCGTCCAGATTGATGCTGTCGGTGGGAATTCCATCATAATAGACCTTGCCTGTCGTCGGAATGCACCGGAGCAGAGAAAGCGTTAAGGAGCTCTAAGGGACATTAGTGGTGGACCCCGAGGAAATGGGCAAGACCATCTACCTTTCCACTTCCAGTCCGGCCAACTGTACGATGAAGTTAAGAGACTGGTGACATGTTCCGGACGAATGGACTCACCAATACCGACGCGCTCGCCAGCTTTTATTTCAAACGAAAGGTCATGCAGAACTTCAGGTCCATCCTGAGTGACAGAACATCAACGCAATCAGGAGACCGAGTAAGAATTCACACGTTAACCTACCAGAGAATACCTAGCGGACAACTTCTCAACCTTGAGGTCGCCGCTAGAAGGCCAGTAGGCCGGTGGTACGCCATCCTGAGTGGGCTTAGGCTCTTGTTCGATGGAGACGTATTGTTGGATACGCTCCAAACTGCAGACGTGTTAGCCGTTGCAGCCGTTCGAGCCTTTAGGACATACCTGTTGCCTGTAATGGAAAGGGAGTATCAGTGCAGGTTCGCACAGAGTTGCAACAGCACGCACCTGCAACCTCGAATTCGTTGAGGATTCTCACCCACCACAAGATCATGCCACTGAATCCGACGGCCATTGTCAGAGAGAAACCAGTGTTAGAGGCGGTGCTACCAGGCTGAGCATATACCAGCCATGCAGCAAGGCAAGAGGCAAACAGAGCCCCCAAGGCCTCGATGCGGAACGATATCCATCTATACGCGAAGCAGGTCATACGTTGTGCAACTTATTTGTCGGCGATGGAGCTTACCGATTCAAATTGTAGAACATGCGGGCGCACTTAGTGTAGCGATCGATACGAGTCAAAGATTCCTGCTTGAAGGCTTCCTGGGAGCCATAGGCTCGGATTGATGCTGAAAAAGAGCCAGTAAGCCGCAGGCGTGTAATATTGTCAGGATCACATACTGAGACCGGCGACCGCAGCTCCGAAATGACCCAACACAGGTGCACGGGCGTTGCTCATCTCTCGCTTAACCGACAGTTGAGCCTTGATGTATATCTGACCCAACCAGCCGCCGAGCACCCCAACGACAATACCAGGGATGATGAAAATCGGCGTGAACAGCACAACAGCTGCGAACTTCAGCAGCATTGTCAAAGATATCTCTATCACCCCTCCGAGATTCTGCGGGATAGGGCCGTCGACTGCAATGATGAGTTAGGTCAGGGACATAGTTATTACCACGCACGGGAACATACCAGCTCGGATGTCCTGCGTGCATCGTGCAATGACCCTGGACGTAGGTGTCTTATCCAACCACCTGCGGCGCGGGTTCAATGGTAAGGATAGGAAGGCGTGCATGCTACGTACCGTAGGGTCGTACCAAGAATGGAGTCAATCAGCCTCTTGTGGATGTCCCGAGAGGCCCTGATCGACCCCACGTAGTAGAACGCATAGCCGACACAGTACATCGTGATAGCGGCACAAAGCATCAGAATGTATATCGTGAGGTAACTGTACAGACTGCGTGAGCTTGATCGCATTACCCGTGAAACGGTCAGACTTACTACGGCACGGAAACCTCTTCTGCAGGTCGGGTCTGGTATTGCTGCGCCCAGTAGCCGAGGAACCATGTCTGGACGGTGTTGGAAAACTCGCATGCAATGAGACATGCCATGACAAAGGACCAGAACAGAGCCGGCCAGTTGCCACTCATTCCAAGCAGATACAATTTGACTGGAGGAAGGATCAGCAATCACCGCCCAAACGGGCTCTTAATGCACTCACCGGCAGACCAGCTTACGTGACCGACTGCAATCTCTTCATCCACAACGAGCTTACCAGCGACTTTCTTGGATTCATCCGTGGGCTTCGTCGGGTCCTCAGTGGCGTCAATCTCATCCTCAGCCTTCTCCATCGCTTTCTCCTCTTTGGCGACTTCAGCTGAAAGCGCTTGGTCCTTCGCGAGAGCATCAGAGACCGATCCTTGACTCAGGACCCGTCCGTCTGAGCTCAGAGATACAACAAAGTGTGCTACGGAGCTCGCAAGTGCAACATTATGCGTCTATCCATGCGGTGAGTTATAGAGCAGAAAGGCTGATCACTGCGTACGTACGACAAGGATCACTGTTCTGCCCCGGATGAGGTCTCCTTTGAAGCACTTTTCGACTATCCATTTCGAAGTGTGCACGTCAAGCGCAGCTAATACCTATGACCATGCATTAGGACTAAGTGGGGCGAAAGAACGTCAAGATACACACGTCATCCAAGAGGAGTATTCCTGCCGAAGAATACACAGCCCGAGCGAGAGTAATGCGAGCCTGCGTAACAATTAGTGCGTGCCCACAACCACGGATTCAACCTGTAGTACCTTCTGTCCACCACTATGAAAGAATCAGTACGGTGGCCACTCAATGCATCGAAGAACCGACCTCAAAGTCAGACCCTTCTCACCCACTTCAGTCTGGTCACCAGCATCAAACAGCGTAAGGTCGCGGGTAAGAGCGCACTGATAAATAACTATGAATAGATGAGAAACTGTATGCTTCAGCATATGTTGTAACATTACCTTTCTTGTAGCGTTCTTCGTCATAAGGCGCGCCGAAGAGAATATTGTCCTATATCATGGATAAGAGATCGCATCGATAATGAAGTGAGACTCAAGTTCCTACCCTGATCGTCTCATTCTGTACCCATGATTCCTGGGCTGCATAAGCAACACCACGTGCCCTTGGGAGCCCGAACCAGGACCCAGGACCAGACGGAATGAAGTGCATCTCGCCTGTACAGTTCCCTCATCAATATTTCTCTTAGCCTACACGCTAACAGCGACTTGCCCAATAGAGCCATCAGAAGCGACGTCTTGCCAGAGCCGGTAGGACCGATGACGAGATTGATAGAGCCCTTCTTGAAGAGCAGCTCGTCTTCAACGCGGAGCCGGAAGTTCCTCTTCGAAGGAGTCAGAGATCCACTCGTCTCCTCATTAGACCAAGAGAACGTCGCGTCCCGGAACCCGATCGCATCGTCCCCTGCGTCGGGCGGGACAGACATTGCAGCCAACACGTCGGCAGACTCGGAGAATGAGTCGAGGAGCTCCGTCTACACCAAAGGGAGTTGATGAACGGTCTACTGAAATGTAAGCAAAATCGTACCTTTTTGAGGAATTCGTCGACACGGTCAAGAGAGACCTTGGCTGTTTTCCAGATCAGCGATGATACTGGACAGCTCGACAATATTTTTTACCTTGGATGAACATGGGAATCATGAAGAAGATGGTGAACAGTTGGTCTCGCAGCAAATCGAACACTATGCACTCGGTGGTTAGTCTCATCAATTGGTTGAGGACCGGAGAAGCACGCACGAGCCATGGCAGAGAACACGATAGACGCTACGACGAAAATTAGTGTCATTAGTCGGTATGTCGGATGCCTGCATACCGCTCAGCTCCTTCTTCATTATCAGAGTCTAGCATCGAAAGTTAGTAAATCCTTCCTCCACCGTATCGCACGACGCCAGGCTCACGTAGGTCACAAAAGTAGCAATCATATGCGCGACGGGGATAATGTAGCTGATTAACCCCAAGTTAAGCACTACAAATATAATACGAACAGGAGTCAACGTACTTGATGTTACCGTTCAGAAGCCCCAGGATCTGGCGCTTCCACAACCAATGGAGCTCCTCTTCGCGCTTTTCGGAGAGCCGATCGCCCATCTTGCGTTCCCAGCCGAACAGCTTGATCATACGAAGGACGTTCATCGCTGGTGAACAAGATCTCCTGTTCAGCATGTCGTGTCATTTCCCGAAAGGCCGATACATACTCTCCGTGACAGTCTCAACACGCGCATCCGTCTAGATGGAGATGGACAATCAGCAGGTAGCGTAATCTGCTCTCCATATTACCAACCTTTTTCATCCTCTCTTTCTGCACGTTCTGGAGGAGCTTCGCGATATACCCAGGAACGGGAGCCAAAGCGATCATGACGGCCAACCCCACGAACGCGCTGCATCGGATAAGTTAATCCGCCGAGTGGCCAGCGCAGACAATATCCCCTCACCTCCAGCCAAGGATCACGTAAAGGAATATCATACAGAGAATCACTTGCAACGGACCGTACAACACTGAAACAGAGGCCCTCAGCGTTTCCTCGAGAAACCTAAGCTAAACGAGCACTCACGGACGAACAGGAAATCGCGACCGTCAACGAGATTGTTGAGATCCGTAGTGACCAAGTTATTGATCTTCCCGACCAGATTGCTAGCCTTGGCCTGCACGGCGGCGGCGGCGGCGGCGATACCCTCCGGCTTCTTCGCCTCATCCTTGCCCTTCGTCTTCGCCTTCTTCTGCGATCCTCCCGAGGTACTTGGCTCTCGGGCGGTCTCGTCTTCGCTGCCCTCGCTCCCACCAGGACTCGGCTCACTACCACCCGGACTAGGCTCGACGATCGACGCAGTCTCCGGCGTCCCCACAGCAGTATTATCTGTGCTTTTACCCGCCGACTCCGCCGTTTCAGCCTTCATCCTTACCCTCAGCGCGTGCTCGAATACAAGCTGCGTGATAATCCCCTCAGTGCGGACGAGCGTACCCGTATTAATGAAAATATAGTACTGGATCGCCGCAGCGCTCATTACCGGGCCCAGGAACAAGAACATAATCCACACCCACGGGCGCACAATCGCGTCCTCGTACCCGCTCTGCAGCACATACAGCAGCCGGTTGATCGCTAGCGGGCTGAGCATGCTTCCGACGACGCGGACGATGATGAGCACCGCGAGGAATATGTACTCGCGCCGGAAGACGCGCATCAAGCCCCAGAAGAGGTAGTCGCCCTTCGCGCCCGAGAACGTATCCAGCTCCTTGAAACTACGCTTCCGCAAGTTCTTCCCGAAGTCGTAGTCGGGGATAGGCGGCAGGTCCGTGTGCGAGAGGTGCGGGACACGATACGCGAGAAAGACAACTGGGTCGAGGAACTTGTACACCGCTATCGAGAGGATCGACGCTGTTTGCTCGGGGTTTGGTTGTTGCGGGTCCTATCTAGACTCGTACGAATAATGCGGAAATATGTACTTTAGAACATACCTTTGGATCAAACGGCATGTACTGGCGAGGAATCACCAGCGGGATGACGACGCCAGCCAACAGTACCAGCGCCACTTTCGCCCAGATTAACCAACCCTCTTGTGAATCTTGCGGGCTCAGAGTGAAGGTCGTCAAGGGGTAAACGTCACGATACACGTAAATACCGGCCGCGACAAGCAGGACCAAGACCAAATGGAAGTTTGCCACCGATGCCCATCTTGGTTTCGCGCAAACTGCGACGAAACCCAGGATAGACGTGTACGACTGAGGAAGGTTTAAGGAGCCGGTTAAACACGCAAGGATAGCCCAAGCTTACGAAGGTCATGCACAGTGCGAACTGGAGCCATTCCAGGGGAGTGAATACGGACTCTCCCGCCGTGTGCTTGTGCTTCGGCTTCTTTCCCCAGTGCTTCCCAAATACCTCGATGCTGTCGGAATCCACCTGTTCCCTCTCCTCGAGTACGAGCGTAGCAATCGAAAGACCCAAAAGACCGAGTGATGCCGCGAGTCGTGCGACCTTGAATAGATATATTGTCAGTCCTCCATGACTGCGGATGTGCTCCTTAAGCTCTTCAGCAAGCCCGCTGGGAGGAATGGCCGGGGTGGCTTCCTCCTCGTCTGCGTGATCCTCGTCATTCTCGCTACCCTTTCCTGGCCGCAGCCGGTGGTACACTTTTTGGAACACCCCGGACGCAGCGACAAGGTGCAGTGCCAGCGCCAGCAAGGATGCGGCCGCAATATAGCTTGGGAATGCGAGGGAATCCTTCCATGCACTGCGAAGCATCCCAGCAGTATTAAGTCCACAGCGCTGGTAAACGGTCCGGGTGGGTACTCACCACTGCCTGAGATTCGATGATATCACCGCCCACGACCATCTGCGGTCGTCCAAGACGATCTGGGGCCCGTCAAAGACAGCAATGGAGGCGACGCCTGCCGCCGCCGGTACGTGCATGTCGCGGTGGGCAGAAGAGAACGTCGGGCACGGAGAGGAAGGCTAAGGTATTTGTACAGGCCATGTGGATTTTCGCTGCGATAAGGGCTTCTGCACTGCTTTCAGGGGCTTCCATCAGTCATCCCGTAAATCACACTCAGCGAACCTTTCCAGCCAATTGGCGGCCGCCTTTCTGCCTCTTTATTACTCCTCGATGAATGCTTGTCCTAGCTACTACCAGGTAGCCACCGCTCTGTCCTGCGCGGTGACGTTGAATCTTCTCAACAAAGCTCAGGAATGCTAATGAACGACGTACGCGTCACAGTCGCGCAATCTCTCGAGTCTCGAGTCATTTCTCGATAGCCCGTGGCACCCGGATCTCCGAAGACTGATGCATATGTACGCGGATGGTATACCCCTTTCACGGGCTTGGATCGCCTGCATACGAGACGGTGGTGAATAAAGGGAAAGATGAAATGCGATGCTGACGTCGTCGTCGACCCTTTATGCAGTGAAGCCGCCTTGGACAGCAGCGAAGGCAGTGCAGGGAAATGGACATATGTCAGAGGACAAAGTTGTGACATAACCAAATCAAGCAATCCGATTGCCATAATAGGATACACCATGTCAAAGTCCCATGATGTTTGTATGTTGCCGCCAAAGTCGCTCTACCTCGAACTTATGTCTTGGAAACCTCCAAAACCTCGTTCTGTGTTCTGAATGTCGAGCTCGAGGGTATCCTGGCCTCTAACGACACATTAGCTTAATATTCTTAAACACAGTTCTGCGTCATGACATCTCTTGTTGGACAAGTGAAGACACCCATCGACCACGCATGCAATCATTATCGGCTTGGACGCAGGACATGCTAGCGAGCTACACGGTGAGTTAAGTAGTGCCCGAAACCCCAGAGACCCTTACTGGCGCCCAACACACAGCCTGCGCTAGCTTTCGTGATCAGGGCCCAAACGTCTCATGACTGCTGTGCAAAGCTCTGAACGAGTATAAATACCACCGTGCTCTCTGCATATTCGGGAGTACGAAAGTCCGACTGGTACTGACCATGAGTGTCCCTTGGAAAGACCGTGACGCCCCTCCAGCCTATGCGGGACAGACGCCTGATCCTATTAGCGCCGAGATAGACCTCCCGCCCCCCGCGTACGCACTCCCGAAGACATACAAGATTGGGGAAAAGAAGACGGACCGGCCCCTCGTAGACATCTATCAGCTGAAACTACACTTGCGGCTACTCCGGGCCTTCCACGATCTGAGAATATCTGTGCAGAATGTCGATTCCACCAGTCTACCCCTTGGAGTAGAGAAGCTAAACAGAAGCGAGCGGTGGTCTTGGTTCCTCCACCTCGCTGTAGAACGGTCTGTTTGCATATGCTGGTCGGGCGCAAACCGTATGTCTAACTCCCGGGTTATATAGGTTCGAGCGCTGGGTATTATCGCTCCCTGGTTCGTATGGTTCCTCGACGTGGGCAGTGTCTCACGCACCTCCGCTCGACGTCCTGCTCGTATGGCATACTTATATGCTAAATCCTACGTAAGTACCTACGAAGTCCTCCACTCGTAATCGGCGCAAATTTGATTTGATAAGATGGTATGCAGAAGACGGCATACGCACTCCTGAGGTTGCAGCCCTCCCGAGGTCTGCAAATACTCCCCTGCAACTCCTGGTAAGGCCTGTGCCCCCTACTTTTAGGGGTGTTGCTCACAGTTGTTGCACAGATTCAATTTGGGGACTTACGAACCTATCAACCCTCCGCCGCTCGAATAGCTTCATGGCGGGATAGTACATGGACGCCCTTCGACCCCTTGGAGGCTATGTCACAGCTCCGGGACAAGCCCGTAGTATGTCCGCGCTGCCTCGCCGGCCTCCTCGTGCGTGAGTCCTGTGCTCGCGAATCCGTAATCGACTCGGCGCCGTTCCATTCACATACTGTATCCCGCAGCGTTTTTCCAGGACGACGGATGCGGGTACGCCCAGCAGGGTTTCAAGACCGCGTGTCCATATTGTACGCTCGCTATCACGAAGGAAACGCTGGGGGTCGCTAAGCTCGCGCGCGACCTCGCGCGGCGGCTCGAGCCCGTGCAAGTGGATGGTGCGAGGATCCTCCCGAGGCAGTACCTCGCGTGCGTAAGCATGCCTGATGTTCCCTCAAGTTCGGGGTTTAACCCTCTTGGAACGATATCTATAGGGGGACGGTATACACGCCTCACAACGCTACGAATGTCATACGCGCGAAGCGGTTGCAGGAGTCGTTCCTACGCGCACCGGGCGTGACGTCCCTCAAACTGGACAGCATAGCCGAGCAGTCCGACCGGGCGAAGGCAATCCAGGAGAAGGCGCAGTATTCGTTCGGCGAAGCGATGATATTCGGGGGCAGGGGTTCTGCTGTCGGGGAGAACCTGTGAGTACAGTTCGTTTACGTCGCAGGTGTCGCTGATGATTAGGCTGCGTAGCCGCAGAAGGGTTATGAGCGCGTATTCTGATGACAGGATCTTCTCCGTCGAGCTCGTGGGTGCGGTACGCGTTGCTGGCTCTTGTCGATTACCGGACTTCTCTTCATGTTTGCGCAGGTTCTGCGGCAAGAGTCGTTCATCGACAAGATGGTCGCCCTCGGGTGGACGGACCTGGCGTACTTCGATTCGGAGCAGGACGAGCTTGCGCTGCACCATGCCGTTGCGCGGTATCATGCGTGAGTATCGCACCCGCCGCACTTGCCATGCCGGGAAATCCACAACGAATTCGCCCATAGGTTCTTGGATCTATTGGCCACTCCTCCGGAGAACTTCTATGTCCCGACGTTGGACATTGACCTTGCGTGGCATACACACCAATTGTACCCGGACCAGTATGCTGTCGACTGTAAAAAATATGTAGGCCGATATATTGACCAGTGAGCACTCCCCGTCCCTCTATTTGGCACAAAGCTAAGGAAGTACCGGGGCAATGTCTAGCGACGATAGGGTTGGGGAGAGCCGTCTGTCCGCCGCATTTGACCTAACTTGTCGAGCGTGGAAGGTACTCCCTTGATTGTGTAGTATACCCGTCGATACTGACCGTCACATATAGTCTCGCTTCGGTATCCCTTACGCATACTGCGGTTGTCCACTTCCAGGGGATACTATCGGCTCCCGCGTATCCCAGCTGCGCCACCGACTGCTGCCCTCTCACTCCCGCTCGGACCTCGTCCCCCCGGTGGACAACGAAACTATCTGTGCGGGCACACACCCAAGCGACCACAACGCGGTGTACGTGCTCGGAGAGCCTGACTGGTACCGCAGAGCACGGAAGCGGAAGGCCATGCAGCGGCGTGAGCGCGACAAGGCGGAGGTGCAGAAGGGGAAGATGGACCGCAGGCTGTGGGATCGCGGTATGGGACACGCTCTGCCTTTCTTGGTGCCAGTACCACTGTTCCCTCTGGGTACCTGTGTTGCACCGTGCGGCAGCGTTCTGAGAGGTGGGCCGGCAGGATGTGCAACGGTGAGTCCCATGAGCGTAGACTAGAATCGCATCTGATCTCACTGATTTGCCCAGGGTATGGCTGCCTGCGCCATTGGTGGGTGTGGTGGAGGAGTAGGTGGTGGATGTGGAGGCGGTAGTAATGGAGGCTTTGGATGCGGGGGAGGAGCTTGTGGAGGTGGCGGGGGTTGCGGAGGTGGAGGTGGTGGCGGATGCGGGGGTGGAGGAGGTGGTGGGGGTTGTTAAGTCACTCTATCCTTGCTTTTCGTCTGTCGGCGGCGGATGGGGCGGTGCAAGAAAGGTGACAGGTTGATACAAGCAAGTGGTCGCCAGTGGGTACCGCTGGTCTTTTTTCATGTAATGTACTTCACTCGGCCGATTCAGCAGCGCCGCTCCGTTGCTGAAGCCAACAATTTCCAGAGATCACGGCGAGAAATGTCGGCATTCCTCTTTGCAGCCTCATTTTGCCTGTTAGGGAAGCTAGATTACTTGGTCATGCCTGAATTTGCGTCCGGTACGACGGACCCTAACCTCGCTAATGAGCGTACAAACAAACTACGAATACTGCACTCGAGTGTACTTATGTTCGAAACCCTTCGGAGAGCGTTACACGCTCAAATGTTGCTCAATTGCACCTGGAGTTGGTATCCCGGCATTACGCGTTATATACCGAAGTCCAATTGGTAACCGGAGCCACGGAAACGGGTTCCATTTGAGCTCCCGACCCTCTCGTGGACAACGGACCAGACGCGTTACACGTCAGGCTCCTAAACCACCGTCCTTAGCGTTCTCGCTCCTCCTTTACTAGGGCGCACGTGCAATGTTATGTAATATAAATCTATTTTTAATTTATTACCGGATACAGAACGAACAGAGGAGGAGAACGCTATAGGACGGCTGGAAGAAATCGTCTCCCCGAGATCACCGAGTATGACTAAGCATTCCGAAAGCGGTAGCGGCTGAGGCCTTCCACCAGCAGTCGGCGGGCAATGCAAGGAGCACCTGAAAACTAGGAGGGGTAAAAACTATATAGAAAAGCATAAAAAGCTATCTTACTGGTACTCCTCCAGTGTAAACACCCCCCGTGAACTATTGTCCCTCAGAGGAATTCATCATGTCTTGTGAACCCAATGTTCAGCCCTCAGTGACACTGTCAATGCTTGTATTTGCTTTTGTCTATGTCAGACCATTGGTGCATTATATAGAAATAGAATGTGCTTCAAATTCTATAGGTATGCGCGCAACTGCTTGTACTACATCCCGCCGACTGCTGGTGGAAGGCCTCAGCCGCTACCGCTTTCGGAATGCTTAGTCATACTCGGTGATCTCGGGGAGACGATTTCTTCCAGCCGTCCTATAGCGTTCTCCTCCTCTGTTCGTTCTGTATCCGGTAATAAATTAAAAATAGATTTATATTACATAACATTGCACGTGCGCCCTAGTAAAGGAGGAGCGAGAACGCTAAGGACGGTGGTTTAGGAGCCTGGTTACACGTGCGATTTTAGCAACGCAACCGACCCTCCGTTCTAATTACGCGTTACGTTTCCGACATACACTCGGGTACAGTAGGCGCATGTTGTTCTACTAGTACCTCGAACTCTCTTATGCTTTGGACCTTCCATCTGTCTGCGATGTCAATGTCTGGATATCGGATAGCCAAGCCCTTCGGTGATCTGTTCGTTAGCCGCAACGCTCGGATATAAGCGGCTCATTATCAGAGCGCGGACCACTGGCCACGACAACTCCGCTTCTCGTCTCCAGCGAATCAAGACAGCGACGGGGAGTACGACTGCGCTAGCGACTCGGACTCTTGTTATAGCTGAACCATGTAAGTACTGTAGAACCCGAATATCTGAGACCCCTATTGGTGCCTATCAAACACAGCCTGCGTGATCCGAACTTTTTCAGGCTCACATGTACAACGCGCCTATGAAGCTTACGGCTCAGGTACCAAATGCTGTGAGGAGGTTCAAGCGAGTATAAAGAGCACTGCAGTCGTCGTAAATTTGGAAGGATCAAATCAGGACTGGCCGCATGACTCTCCCCGGCCCTTCACAATACGAGACAGACGGACCTCCCGAGTATACAGAACGGGATGACACCCTAATTAGCCCTCCCTTGTACCCACTCCGAAGGCCAAAGGCGTACAAGATCGGGAACAAGACTACAGAGTTCCCCCTGGTAGACACCTACCAGCTGAAATTGCACTTACGACTGCTTCGTGCGTTCCATGAGTTGAGACTATCGGTGCAGAATGCGGATCCCGCCCAACTTCCCCTCGGAGTGGAGAGACTTGACAGAAGCCAGCGGTGGGCATGGTTTGTTCATCTTGCCGTGGAACGGTTGGTTCGTAATACAGACCCTCGATTGAATCGCTGACTCCCAATACTGTAGGTTCGAACGCTGGGTACTATCGCTTCCTGCATCAGGCGCTCGTGGGTCCAGTCCATGGGCACGATCTCACGTCCCTCCGCTGGATGTTCTGCTGGTGTGGCATGCTTACATGCTGAACCCCACGTAAGTGCATCGAATGGATCATTCCTTGCTACCCATCAATGTTCACGTCTTTTCGTCAGATGGTATGCGGAAGACGGCGTGCGGTTACCTGAGATTGCAGCCCTGCCGAGGTCTGCGAATACTCCGCTTCAGCTCATCGTACGTGGTGCTTCTTCCAATCTCGATAGTGATTCATCTGACAGCCTGACATCCCAGTTCAATATCGGCGACTTGCGCAGCTTCAGACCCTCCACGGCTCGGCTGGCCTCATGGCTCGGGAGCACCTTCACGCCTTTCGACCCTCTCGAGGCCATGTCCGAACTCCGAGAAAAGACCGTCGCATGTCCTCGTTGCCAAGCAGGACTCCTCGTGCGTAAGTAGCAACGAAAGAGCGGCTCATCGAAGCTCGTTGTATTCACGTATCTTGCAGCGTTCATCCAGGACGACGGCTGCGGGTACGCCCAGCAAGGGTTCATGGCAGTATGCCCGTACTGCTCGCTCGCGATCACAAAGGAGACCCTGGGCGTAGCCAAGTTCGCGCGCGACCTCGCGCGCGCGAGCGATTCGCGCGACAGAGCTATTGCGCGCCTACGAGGTAATGGTGAGACTGTCGCCCCGAGGCAGTACCTCGCGTACGCACACCTGCATTCCTCCTAAGGCTAAGGCGTATGGATTGACAACACTGACATTTGTAGCGGTACGTTACACACGCCGCACCAAGTTACGGATCTCGTGCGCGCGACGAGTGTGAAATACGGGTTCTTGCGCGCACCGGGGGTGGTTTCGCTCAAGCTCGGAACGATCTCCGAAGAAACCGTCCGGGCGAGGGCGATACAAGAGAAGGCGCAATATTCGCTCGATGGCTTGCAGAAGCTGCTTTCCGGAGGATCGCAATCTGCCGGACAGAATCTGTTAGTAGTCTTGCCACCTCTCAAGTTATGTATCCACTGTTGACGGACGGCGTTAGTCGGAGGAGGATCATGAGCGCGTACTCTGATGACAGGATCTTCTCGATTGAGCTAGTTGGCGCTGTGAGTTCAACCGCTAACTAGTGCCAAAGCCAACTCATTCCCTCGTAGGTCTTACGCCAAGAGTCCTTCATAGACAAGATGGTCGCCCTTGGCTGGACAGACCCGGCGTACTTCGAGTCTGAAGAGGACGGGGTTGCACTGGATCACGCCGTTGCGCGATATCATGCGTAAATATTACTCCCATTCTTACCACATTCGTTCGGTTCTCATGACGCCCCAACAGGTTCCTCGACTTGATGGCAACTCCGCCGTCTAATTTCTATGTCCCGACATTAGACATCGACCTTGCGTGGCATACCCATCAGTTGTACGCAGACCAGTATGCTGCAGATTGTAAGAAATTCGTAGGGCGATATATTGACCAGTGAGTACCAATATCCCCCTATGAACCATGGCACGCTATAACAATGGGGGGCACTTAGCGATGACAGGGTTGGAGAAACCCGTTTGTCAGTAGCGTTCGACGCAACATGTCGAGCTTGGAAGGTAGGACTCCGAGTTGTAATGTCCCTTCATGTGTTGATGCGTAGGATAGTCCCGCTTCGGGATTCCTTACGCGTATTGCGGCTGCCCGCTCCCAGGTGACACCATCGGCTCCCGCGTGTCCCTGCTTCGACACCGGACGCTGTCGAAGCTGCTCCCATCGCAGATACGGACAGACCTCGTGCCCCCAGCGGACAACGAGATCCTCTGCACCGGGACGCACCCGAGCGACCACAACGCGGTGCACGTCCTATCAGAACCGGAGTCCCATAGGAGAACATGGACGCAGAAGCTCGCGCAGCGCCGCGAGCGCGACAAGACGGAGGTGCAGAGGGGGAAGATGGATAGGCGGGTGTGGGAGCGCGGCGCGGGGCACGCGCTGCCGTTCTTGGTGGCGGTGCCGTTACTTCCGCCGGCGCCGTGTGTCGCAGCTTGCCCGAACGTGGTTCGTGACGATCCATGTGCGACGGTGAGTGTCGTCTGTGAATACGGGAGACATTACTGGTCACACTAATTTGACTAGGCCATGGGTGCTTGCATGATTGGCGCGTGCGGTGGAGGGGTGGGTACGGGAGGCGGACGTGAAGGTGGGGGAAGCGGAGGTTTTGTTTGCGGAGGAAGTGCCTGTGGGGCGGGTGGAGGTGGCGGATGTGGTGGTGGTAGTAGCTCGTGTGGAGGTCGCTGTGGATGCGGGGGCGGGGGCGGCGGTGGTGGCGGATGTGGAGGAGGAGGAGGTGGTGGTGGTGGTGGCGGCGGCGGCAGTTGTTGAAGCACTCCTAACGCGCATAGGAAGACGACGAGATGTGCGAACTCGACTTGAGACGTTTTAAATTACAAGTGCTCAGAACATACCTAATATAGAAATGCCGTTACTTCTTTCGGTAATACCTCCCTATGCCCTCGCCTAAGAATGGTATCCTCTCGTCGTTGCTCGCGCTATCATTTCTTCGAGCTCGCCAGCTAAACTTTTATAATGTCGAGGATATCCTTGGGTCTTCGTTCGTTAGGTCGTGTCCGACGATGGCGTAAACCAGCAGTACGGCACGCCCGCTTCTCGTCCACAACGACAGAGGGACATGACGAGGACTACAACTTTGGGTTGTACGATGTCATTCTACCCGAGGAACCATTTGTCTACGGCACGTCTCATATTATGCCGCACCCTGTCCCGCAACACATCCGGCGCCCACCGTATGTTGGGAAATCACAAGATCAGGCCGAGGACGGGTTCAATGGCGACCCTTGGGAAGGTGATGGGCTGATCAAGCTGGGCACCGAGGAGGAGAGAAGGATGCGACGAGCTGCTAGTCTAGCAAAAGATGTCTTGACGTACGCAGGGGACTTAGTGAAGGTGCGTTGAAGGCATTGGACATATCTACGCCAACGAAACGTAGAGGATGGTCAGTTCCACTCCTTCCCGGGCATCGAGCTCTGCTGAAGAGCCAACGCGGCTCTACGGTGCGCTCGATGCTAATGAAGGAGGGCGTGTTCACCTCTCCTGGTCCGAGGCTCCTAGGCCCATCTCACAAGAATCAGCCAGGTACAACGACGGCCGAGATCGACTCGCTCATCCACCAGTACATCATCTCCCACAACGCCTACCCCTCCCCGCTCCTCTACTCCGGCTTCCCCAAATCCTGCTGCACAAGTGTGAACAACATAATTGTGCACGGCATACCCGACGAGTGCGTCTCTGCCTTATTCACCACTCTTACACTTAACCCTCATCTCTGACCCCCGTCCAGCCGTCCCCTCCAGCCAACCGACCTCGTGAACATCGACATCACGGTCTACCTCGACGGCTACCACGGCGACACCTCGCGCACCTTCGCCCTCTCGCCCTCCTCCCTCGACGCCCCAGGCGCACACCTCCTCGCCACCACCGAGCTCGCGCTCAACGCCGGTATCGCCGCTTGCGGGCCCGGGCGGCCCTTCAAGGACATCGGGCGCGCCGTCCACGCGTGCGTCGAGCGCGAGAGCAGGGCCCGCGGTATGCAGATGTGCATCAGCACGCAGTTCACGGGGCATGGGATCGGGACGGTGTTCCACCGCCCGCCGTGGATCCTGCATCACCGTGAGTGCCCTTCCTAATATGCGGATATGCTGACTATCATGTCCGCGTAAGTGAATGACGAACCGGGCGTGATGGTCCCCGGTCATTGTTTCACCATAGAACCGGCTATCATCCAAGGTACTAACCCCCGAGGATGGATATTCCCTGATGGTTGGAGTACGTATTGAAACCGTCATGCGTCTTTGCTACTTACCGACTACCACCGCGCCAGCTACATCCACCGAGGTACACACTCGAAGTACTGTTTGTGAGGATACACCCGCCTGATAATACCCCTAGAACTGCGCGCGGGCTGCACAAGCCGAACACACAGTACTCATAACATACGACGGAGTCGACGTTTTGACGGGGTAAAGGAAACAATAAAAATACAAGCACCTAATACATCCGATACACACTCGCTATATACTTTTGCGTGACTCGTGTCATGACTTGTCGTACACCCCCGCCAAAATCCTGAACACCAAGAACTGATCCAACAGCGGCACTAGCTCGACACCCTCGGCCTTGCTCAGCACGCCTCTTGCCTTCCCTATCAACACCTGCAGCTCGCCTATAACCTCGCCCATCATGCCCCTCTTCAAATTACCCCCCAGCCCCCCCGTCGACCTCCTCCTTCCGGACCTCCTCAGCTCGTCCTTCTGGGAATGCGAAAGCGAAGAGTTATCGCCGGCGGCGGACGCGTCCTCCACGACCTCCATCTCCCCCACCTCGAACTCGGGCTGTGCGCACCACATCGCGAGCTGCGTCACCGCGTAGAAGAGCACGGCTTCGAGATTCTTCCGCGCCGTGTCGCTTGCGTCCTTCACGTCCAGCGGCTTCGTGAGCGTCGACGTGGACGAGGGCATGATCGCCTGCCCTGGTGGGTGGCTAGACAGCACGCGGAGCACGTCGAGCGTGCAGTTGCCCAGCTCGAGGAGCGTCCCCAGCGACGCCTGCTCGTCCAGGACTACTTTAGTGTGCTACAAGGTGCTATGAGTGAAAGCATTTAAACAAAGATCGCGGGAGGACTCACTGGGTAGATGATAGCTTCGTCCAGCGGCCAGTCGTCTTGATCGCCAAGGAGCACGGTCTCTCCGTTGCTGATACTGATCAGGGTTGATATGAGCGCGCTCGTGAGCCTGAACAGCTTGTGAACTACTCCGGTCAAGAACGGCCGCGTTCGTGGATCCAAGTGCTCCGTGGATTGCAATGACGGCCCTTGGGAGTCTCTCTCCAGCTGTTGCCTCTCTTCCGACGTCACGGGTTCCAGCACGCTGGCGAGATGGTTGGGATGCGTCAGAGCATAGTTCAATTGTTGGAGCAGGAGCAAGGCGCTCGTCGTGAACGCGCGAAGGACCTTCTGCACTGTCTCGTCCCTCTGCAAGCCGGGAGGCGTGCTCTCCGCGATGGCGTAGAAGAGGTTCACCGTTTGTTCCATCTCCTCTATGAGCGGCATAGAAAGAGGATCCCCGATAGTCCATGATAGGGTCCGGGCGATCTGTTGCCCGGAAACCTGGACAAATGCGCAAGCCTCAAGGTCGAAGTGATGACTGCGTCTACCCAGTGCTTCGAAGACAGACGCAATGAGAGCCAACATCATGCAGTAAGCTTGATGAGCTGGACTGCGTTCTCCAGGCAGCTCAGAGATGGTGACGTTTATCTGGCCTCTGCTGACGGCTTCGCTGATGCGATTGTTGCTGTACGCGATGAGCAGGCCGTCCGTCGCCAATCGCTCCGCTGCTGCAGGAACGCAGGCCAGGGCCAAATGGAATTGCAGGATGCGATCGGTGTACAGTGCCCGACGTCTCGTCCGAAGTGCTGGAAGATCAGAGACACCCACGATATCCATTTGAGAGAATAATTCGAGGCTAGCACGGATGACGCTAGTTTCTTGACATCGAGTAAGCCAGAACGTAGAGGAGGCGCTCAATTCTGGGTGGGTACATTGCTCAAAGACCGCTATCAAGAGTTGCAGATCTTGGTCGATGTCCCACTCGGTCCGACTCCTCGCTAAGTCAAGGACCACTCGAAGAGCGTCGATATCCAAGGCCTGAGTAGCTTCCAACATAGCCGAGATGGTCAACCGCTGCGAGGCATTCAGCGTCTTTGGTCGCCGGATGAGGGACCTGGCCTGCTTCAGGCAGAAGTACACGATCTGTAGCAGCACTCGATGGTAAGGCACTTTCGTCAATCCCATGAAGGATTGCATTGGGGACTGAGGCTTGTTAAGCATAATGTCGTGAATGTTCTTTACGACGGCGATGAATTGCTCGATCTCATCGTTCTTGTCATTATCAGAGAACCATGCAGCTTCCAATAAAGCCAGAATCAAAGCCAGTCTCCCGTGGTGGATGGCGGACATCATTTCTCCAGAACGTTTCTCATCAGACACACTTTCGCTGGTCGAGGCCGCCAGAGTCAAAAGAGTCACGCGTACTGGAGAATTCGTCCCTAGGAAGGGCGCGACCTCCCGTAAAAGATGTTGCCACGAGAGACTGAGGGCAGTTTGCGCATGTGTGATAGACTGATTCAAATTTATCGAATAGAGCTTGTGTTCCAGATCATCTGCGAGAGATGACGAATGGCTATCGCCAGTAGACCTGAAGGGATGAAGCCGTAGTTGAAGCAATGAGGTCGAGAATGCGAAGCTGTCTCCAAATTCTCGTTCCATCTCCGGATCCTGCACCCGTAAGTGCTCCAGGTCCAGAGCGGGACAGTGCTGCCTGATCACGTCAGTCATCTCGTCATACAACCCAGGTTCATATGAGCTTATCGCCGCTTCCGAGATGAAGTCGGACAGCTGGAAGTCGTCCTTGATAATGCCTTCGATCGCCTTGTAGCTGGCTGGTTTATTCAGTGTCCGCGACTTCTCATCCAGCTGCGTACGCATCTCTATATCTCGAGCAATGACTTGCACCGCCAGAGCCTTCGCCATTGTCCGATAGGCGTGAAGAGACACTGCTTCATGGAGATTAGAGTGGCGAGCTTCATCGTAGTCCACGAATGTCTCAGATCTGTAATCGGGGACAGGTCCAAGCTCTTCTGTAACAATGGAGACTAACTTCTCCCAGAAATCCGCGTCTTCCCGAAGCGACTTCAGAACGGTGCGATGTTCTATACCGTGAAGCCAGACCATATCCAGGAACTGCAAGATGGAGTGGAGAAGCTGGGGCATATGTTCCCAGAGCTCTCTCCACTGACCGAGCATGTCAGATGCGGCGCCCAAGGCACTACGCTGTCTTCTCCGAGGCTTATTCATGACCAAATCTGTAGACTTCGTCTCGCTGTCGTCGGTCTTTCCCATCTTACCCTCGAGGATGCGGAACGAGCCAGCTACAAATAGCGTCGCCAATGCGGGCTCCTTATCAACAGCTAGCGATATGAAGTTCCAAACAGCAACCCGCAAGAAAGGCTCGTCGTAGGGATGTTGGATGATTTGAACAAGTGATGAGACCGACGCTTCTGGGTCAGAAAGATGGCCGATGATAGTCGGAGGGGAGACCTGGGAGGATGCCAGAGACGCACAAAGACCAAACAATAGCCGTGCAGCCTCGTACGGAACAAATCTACCCACCTGCCTATCTTTGACAAGAGCAAACAGAACGTCCATCGGATCGTTCCGGTACCGTTGACTATTGTTTGAGAGTGCACCACCGGCTGCGCTCCCGCAGAGTACTCTCTCTAATAGAGACAAGCCCGTGCCGCTGGGGACCTGCAATTTGTGGTTCAGAACCATCCGGGCTAATCGAGTGTCAAGCTCCATCATCAAGATCAACCTCCTCGCATCGCTGTAGCGGCGAGCTGTATAAAGTTGATCGAGAAGAGGGCTGCCCTCAGTGATAGAGGAGATCAAGGGGCTGACAGTCGAAATATTGGCTTCAAAAAGGAGGAGATTAATGAGGTCCCGACTTAAGGATGCAAAAGGCGCATTCTCCAGCGAAGGAGGTGATTGCTCGAGGACATCAATGTAGAATGCTGCCAGTCGCTTGCCAATCTCGGACTTGTCTCCAACACGGGCGTACTTCCAGCCAACATATTCCCGCCATATCTTCTCGTGTACAAACAGTGCGACACGCTGGAGAACCTCTTCCTTAACCTCCTGTAATCGAACGTTGCGAGGGAGTACCGACAAGAGCGAACAAGACGCTTCCCGGAATAGTTGCTGTACGAGATTCAGCAAAGCCAGGGTCATCGTATAATGGCCAGTGACCCTTTCAGCGGCCAGAATATTGGAAAGTCCTCCGGTGGCGCCGGTAGAACCAAACAACGATGTTGTTGACCGCAAGAACAGCCAAACCCGGTTAGAATAACGGGGCAGCGGTAGGAGTGCAGCGAGGACGCTCATGGCCGAAATGATGACCTCCCTCCGAGGGGGTCGCTTGGAATGCTGGCCGGACCTGGAGAGCGCCTCTTCCAATATCAAGGTTGTTAATTGAACAAGATCCGGAGCTTGCGCTTCAGTCATCGTGTGCGCAACCACAGCATTACCCCTCTCTAACGAGTCCAAGAGCTCTTCCGCTAGCGGTGGATTGTCTTGCACGGCGCTGCGGATGAGATCAAGACAGTCAGTGATTAGAGATTCATCATTGCCTGCATCAAGCTCCATGCCGATTTCATGCAGCCGTAACGTCTCGAGCTGTCCGGGAGCGTGTTGGTCGAACGATACGTCTCTGTGTCTTGTGCCCAGTCCGGGATGTAGGCGGCGTTCGTAGACGTAAGTGGTCATGATCTCCAGCACGAGCTTCCAACCAGAGTGCGTGTGGTTCCAAGCCAGAACCAGCTGTTCCCCGTCTTCCGGACTCAATAACCGGCCCACCGACAGCGGAGGCAGAATAGTGCCACCGGGAAGTTTGATAGGCCGGAGATTCACATAGATTACGCGGACGTCTGCGGAGTTGCCGACACGCTCGAGCCGTCTTTCGTATAGGGCATGTGAGCCTGACGTTGCGCTCATGGGGATGACTTGAGTATATGTCTCGAGTGTACGGAAGTACTGGAAGACCTCCCGTGAACAGTAGTCCCGCTCTGGAGTCAGGTCTTCGTCGATGCGATTACCGTTGGACAAGGGATCGGTGTCCATATAGCCGAAAGCAGTCAAAGCCCGGAGAATTCGCAAGACTGTACAAGGGCGGACAGGGAACTGTACCCTGGCAACGTCCAGCACGGCTGCGCGAGAGGCACTCTTGATCCTGTCAGAGTTCCAGTATTGCCTGCAAAGGCCCGCGACAGCTTCGGTCTCGCTCCGCCCAAATAGCGCAATCCAGACCTCGACAAAGGAGTCAAAGTCAGGCATGAACTCGACTGGTGCGGTTTCAAGAATAGCCATCAGCAGACCTGTGTCAATGATGTAAATCGTGGGTTATAGGTTGAGTCCGCTCGGCTCCTTAGCCTCACCTTTAAGTACAGATCTGAAACCAATCTCGTTGAATTCGTTAAGCGAAGATCCTACTTTCCAAGCCACGGAGGTGACGAAAACCGGGGACGTCGTCAATAGGGACAACATCCGCTCGAACAGGCCAGCCTCTGGGCTCAGACAAGCATTGAGCATCAGGACATGGAGTGGTTTACCGTCCTTGCTGTACGCTCTGCTGGAGTGGAAGAGGTGATTTAGGACGTCTTTATAACTATTTGGGATCTCCTTGAGGGATTTCGCAATGTCTGCCAAGCGCGACAGCACGTAGGTCCAAGCCATATACGCGAATACATATTGACTGTCCGTTCTTGACGTGATGATCTCGTGGATGCGCTTGAGACTCTCAGGAGAAGCGGTGTAGCTCTTCTTGTTCTGAGGATCGGAGGAGATCTCCAGTTCGCCGGGTTCCGCAATCCGCTCCAGTTCGAATATCTCGACAGTGATCAAGGACCACATCGCGGCACTGTCTTCTAGCAGCTGTGATCCCTGAGAATCCATCAAGAAGGCCGAGTTTTGTTGAATAGAGCCCATGTTCGTTTCATAAGCACCTTCGAGCACCTGCACGACCAGCCAACCTTCGCAGGGAGTGTAATATTCCAGCAACAGCCAGAACACTATCTCAAGCATGACGATCTGCAAGCGAACGTTTTGTTTAGACCAGCGGGCAGCAGCCCTATGATCAGCGGCAATATGGGGTTCCAGCGGCGACTGGGTGCTGTTCACATAGTCTCGAAGCAAGGATTTGATGAACTCGGAGCTGTCCTGCAGGATCTGGGGCAGGAGAGTTGATGCAGCAATGTATGCTCGATCAGGAGGATTGCCATAAGCGCGGATCAAGGGTATGACGATGCGTGCAGCGAAGAGACGCTCGGAGAAGTAGAACGGAGTAATCGCGTTCAGCACACTGTCGAGAAAGGGTACTGATTCCGTCCCGGCTTCTGGAGGGACACCCTCGTTGTAGAAGAAGGAGCGAAGAAGAATGAATGCCTGCACCTCGTCAATGTTGAACTTCTTGCTGATAGCAAAGATGACCTCCTTGTCTGCATTCTCCACCCGGAACTTTACTCCGTCGTCTAGCGTCACCATACCCGAGTCGATCCTCTTCCTCGACGCGTCTGAAGGCTTCCCGAACGGGTCTGCAACATTTCGGAAGCGGTCTATACGGGGCTTCAGCAAGTCTCGGAGCTGTTCACTGTCGAAACCTTCTTCGGGCGAGTAGAGAGCGGAATGCAGTTGCTGATACGTCCTATAAGCGCGTAAGCAAAGCAAAGGAAGTCGTCCAAGGACACGTACACGTCAATCAAGTTGGAGCGTTTAGAGGACTCGCCCGACATCGTGGGCGACGACCGACTTGGGCAGAAATGACCTTTGGCCACAGCGGGGAGAAACAACGCGACGCGTGGGAAACGCCACATGAGAGGGCGCATCGCGTCTACCTGCACCGTGACCTGCTTTAAACTTAGTCTGAGCGGCTTCAGGACTCTGGTCTCCGTAGGTCACTACTCGACAGTCAGCACTGAGAAATCATGGTGAGAGACGCAAGGTATCAATATGAATGTTTTGACAAGAAGAAACAGGTCGTCTGCCAATACTTTCTACAAGGCCGCTGCAAGTTTGGCAATAACTGCAGAAATGAACATCCCAGAGACGGTCAGAGGCCAGGGGGATTTGGCAGTGAGGATTCTCTTCAAATCACGTCTTCCTATTGATGGACCATTCGTGAAGACTCGTCATGGACGCCGGCCGGGAACCAGAAAATCGTGCCATTTAGGTGAGGCAGCCTTAGCCTTTCGTCTAAGACCGTCCTCTGGACATACTCGACAGTCTTGAAACTATCACAAAAGACCTAACGCCTCAAGTGGACAAACCAATGTGGCCACTTTCGTCTTATGGTCCCGCAAAGCACGAACCTTTGCTTGTTGCGGGTTTGGATGAATCGGCGGAAGAATTGCGCGTCAAGGCGATGCTAGCCCTGAAATCGGGTGCAGTGAACGATTACGTGCGGGTAGCATCTGAATATCTTGTGGAAATACTAAATAGTGGCATCTCAAGATGAAATACGAAGCAGAGAAAATAGCTGCTGCTGACCAGATCTACGCTAACGCACGTGCCAATGTCAAGGCAGCATTCGACCAGGCTGTTAAGGCTAGCGAGGCGAGCAGCGGGTCTGGCGCAATGGGGTCCGGTTTCGGTGCATCCCAGCCCACTTTCGGTACTTCTGCCTTCGGAAGCGCTGGTAACGCCGCTTCTGCGTCTTCAGTATTTGGTGCACCTTCGTCCTCGACCGCCACTTCAGCGTTCGGCAAACCTGCTTTTGGCCAGTCTACGCTCGGACAGCCCGCCTTCGGCCAGTCCTCTTTGGGTGGGAAAACCGCTTTCTCCGGGCTGGGGAGTAGCAGTGCTCCCTCTGCGTTCGGGCAACCTCAGCAACAGACCACCTCCGTGTTTGGGCAATCACAAACACCGCAATCCACCTCCGTATTCGGCCAACCTCAACAATCTGCCTCGGCCTTCGGTCAAGCTCAACAGTCGATATCCGTGTTTGGGCAACCCCAGCAGCAGCAGACAACCTCAGTCTTCGGACAGCCACAACAGCCAGCCTCAGCTTTTGGGCAACCGTCTGTCTTTGGACAAACTCAACCATCCACATCTACGTCTGGCCAGCCATCACAGCAGACGTTAGTTTTCGGGCAATCATCGCAACCCGGACACTCTTTCATAAAACCCGCAACGGGCGCATTTGGGGGTTCCGCGTTTAGTGGCAGCGGCAGTTCAGGAACATCGGCGTTTGGCACGCCTGCTGCAAGTGGTAGTACAGGAGGGGCTTTTTCTGCCTTTGCCGGGCAAGCACCATCTGCTTTCGGCGCTAGTCCTGCTGCTGGTCCATCCACGACAGGCGGTTCAGTATTCGGCCAGCCGTCTCTGGTTACCCCTGCTACCAGCGCATTTGGCTCACCCGCACCAGCACAGAACACGACGTCGGCTTTTGGTTCCAGCTCAGCTTTCGGAAGTCAGACGCCGCCATCGACTTCGTCGGTATTTGGCTCGAGTACGCCACAATCATCTGCCTTCGGGTCTACTGGTGGTGGCAGTGGCGCGTTCGGTAGTACAAGCAATGCAACATCGACACCGACTGCGTTTGGCGCCGCTCAGACGACATCCGTATTCGGGGCTCCGCAACAGCAGCAGCAGCCCGTCTTAGCATTCGGCGCTTCGAGTAACATGCCTTCATCCCTTTCTATGTTTTCGCTGCCTCAGACAGTGCAGCCATCCAAACCGATTCAGGGGCCCCCTGACTTCGCTAATGCCAAGGTGACTTATAAACCTGAGATCAATAAGTACGATGCGCTTCTTCCGCCCAACTACTTGGAGATCTTGCCTCCGAGCGCCCGGAAGGCGTTTGAGAATGTGAAGTTCGAATGGGGGAATATACCGGAGTGGATACCCCCAAAGGAATTGCGATAGGTGATTGCTCCGATATTAAATCTGGACTTCTATGGACTTGAGCTGTAGCGGTTTGTATAAACTATCTTTATCCAGGTGTATCCAGTTTGTTCCAGGCGTGTTTAGAGGAGCTCTTCTTGCAGATCAAACCCCTTCCGTATACACATATCTGAGCTTGACTCTTTTCCGTGCTTCATCAGTGTGTTCCCAAGACCTTGGCCGTTGCTGGAAAGCCGTCGTCCAGGTGGAGTGCAGGAGCATCTGCAACTGCCGTCTACAGTCGAGTCTGTCAGAACCCACACCGCTCATAACCCATAACCTGCAATAACCCATAGGTCCATGCAGTCAGTTCCCTTTTAAAAGCCATAAGCCTGTGATACCCAATAATCCATGAATTGTAGGAGGTCATAGCCCATATTATTAGCACATAATGGGTGATTTTGACCTATAAATGGGTGTCACTATGGTCATGTATGGTATAAAATGCCCATTCATATTCTAACCTTGTCCCAAAGTGGTGCAAGTTGTCGTTTCGTTGATGTCGCACATGCAATGTCAGACTAGGAGATCGTTCGAATGCCAAACTAAGCTGTTGCTGTGCACTGAACGTATCCCTTCCAGGCCTGAACTGTACCACAAGTACCAGCTTCAAGCCACTACATTTGGAATATACAGATCGGTAATGGAAGGTTTGGTGGACAGTATCTTCAATAACTGGCTGGGAATCGACAATGAAGACATATATGACATTGACTTCAATCATGCAAAACACTTGCTATTGCAAGGAGAACAATTTCGGTGCAGCATCAAAGCAGGAGGACTGTGAGAATATTCAGGGCGCAGAATATTCTAGGAGGATCCGAGACATTCCACTGTTTTCCCTTGATATGACTCATTCTATGTCCATATGACTCATTCCATGCCTTTATGACTCACTCCCTTACATATGACTCACGCTATGCGGATATGACTCATTCTATGTCAATATGACTCATGCTATTCCCTTCTATTTATAGAGATGAGTCATGTTGACTCAGCCTATGCTCAAGGACCAATCACAAGTCCACAAGCTAGCTGACTCATCCTATTTGCTCACACTATTCTCTCACACTATTGTCTATGTTGCCTAGTAACCAGGCAATTCTCCCACCCTATTGTTATGAATTTCGAATTACTGTAGGGTATATAAGGAGCTCAGTAGACAGTCTTAAAAAGGGACCCCCAATAATAATAAGAGACCCTCTAAATACCAGAGAGCCTCATTGGTTCAAGTCAGCCTCAGAATCAGTTGTGCTACTGTGTGCATCTGTACTGTCTTGGTTCCACAAAGTGCTGGAACAATCAGCGTTATTCTGGACTTAAGCTATCTGTGATGCCTCAGAGAAGGGAAGGACTTACAGTACTGTCTGCTGTCTGCCACAGCTAGTCTGTTTCTCTACCGTGAGAAATACTTCAGTCTAGGTTTGGTGTTGGAAGTCTAGCCGTAGACCTCTGGTCACCTGTGTTTGCTCTCTACCTTCATTCATCCTCAGCTAGACTCTGGTAGTCAGCTATTTTGCTTGTTTAGTTATCTGGAGATTGAAACAAAGAGTTTAAACCTCTATAAAGCCTATACTCTCCCTCATCGAACACAAGGGAA